AACCCCTAACCACGGCTCGCTTCGCTCGCCGATATTTTTTCGATATAAATATCGTTATATCGGCTGCGCCGATCTCCGATACATATTATATCGTTCGGCTGCGCCGATACACAACCCTAGTTTTTTTCTTATTCTCAACCCAAACGCACGAAAAAATTACATAGATACTGCTGTGTCGTGTCTAAATAAAAACCACCATCTTGTGTCCCCTAGATAATGGAGGGGACACTTGTCGAGGGGAAACTTGATCTTGATTTTCAGAGTAGAAAGCTCGAAGCGCTGCAAAAGGGGGGCAAAAAAGGAAGGGACAACTTGTTTGTCCCCAACCACGTCTCGTCTTGTCTAAACAGACCCAAACGGGCAAGAAAAAAAAAACAACGGCCGATTGCACTACGGCACACCCCAAAAGCAAGCACACTTTGATGTCGTCGCAATAGATCAGCAGCATTGTGTATCCAAGTTCACTTGAGTTTGGCAAGAATTCATCCTCCTGGACAGCATGGTATCCATACGGGTAAGCGGTCGTGTGCATATGTGAGGCTTCAACGTTGACCATATGTTGACATGTTGCTGTGAGCGGAGGGTTTGGTGCTCGATGGACAGATCGACAACCTACTTGCTGAACCTGATTCGACAGAGTTGTTTTTGTACGGGTTTTACGCCCCAAGGTTTGTTGTGGGAAAACACCGCGACACGGCAGTACAGTCACCAAGTGAGGTTGCAGCGTGAAACCCAGCTCAAGATCGAACAAACAACAGAGATCACCCGTTCGCACCTGGAACATGGCCTCGAAGATGGCAACAAACATGCTAGATGCGCTCTTGCGAAGCTCCTCGAACGAGTTGATGGGCTTTGCAGAAATACCCACGCGGTTCAGCAGAGTGTTGATACTCGCCTGCAATAAACAACGAACGTCCCGGAAAGAAAGTTCATCGCTGGCACTTCATCCGACGCGGCGATTGCACACATGAGCGGTCGAGGAGTTTCCTCGGGATCCATCTCTCGTGCCGAAAGCACAAACTGCCTCCTGTGTGCGGGGCTTTGGATCTTGACGTCATAAGAAATGGCGCCAACTCTTGTACATAGCACACTCGACGCACCAACACCAAGGCCACGCTGGCAAAACATGCTCTCCTTCGGTTGCTAGCTCCTCACCAGTATGAATCCTTCTTCGGTGGCTTCATCCAGAGACGAGTCTGGCGGGGACGGTGAAGCACCGCTCATAGTGTGATTGCTGTCCTGCTCTCAGTTTCCTCCCAACGTGTCCTAACGGCGCGCGCGGTTCAAGTTCAGCAGAGCCGGCTTATGCTGTGGTCGGACGCCGACACCACCGGATCTATTGGCATAGACCACGTTCCAGCACACTTGTAACCGATGTTGTAATGAGAGAGCTTCCCAATCTTATCCCTTTCTGTGTCTGTCGGCTGTACAGTACAGGTAGACAGGCTGGTCTGATAGGTCCGCCGAGGGTCCGCCTCACGACAGGGGGCCCCGCGAGTATGACTGCCACCATATGTTATCCCCCCGCATCAGCCGATCTGTTGAATCGCTGCCCCCTACTGGCCCTGCCCTGCCCTGTGCTTGGTGCCACTCGGCACTTTGTTGGGTGTGGGTGGTTCAACTATGCTGGACTCTCAAGAGCTAACCCCCTTGCTGCAGTTGCTCAATGTGAGTCCACTTAGGTCCAGGAGTTTACGCAGTATGCGGGAACTGTTCCTCTTCTTGGTACCTATACGCACGCTCGATGGCCAATCCGGACGCAACCCTTGTTTGCGTGTAGGGAGACCGATAGGTTGCTATAGGCTCGTCAGCAGTACAATGTATATTATAGTCGAGAGAATCAGATGGTCGCGTGACTATTTGCACCTGGTAGACAGGTGTGGTTTTCAAAAAGAGGAGGTTTACCAATCTCGGAACTCTGGTTGATGTTGGGAGTCATGGTCTCTAGACACCGCTGGAAACCTCTGTATGTACACGTGCAAATGGCGGTAGCACACGATATTTCTTTTTGTGTACGGTAAACAGGCTAACTGCTGCTGCTGGTGTCTCTTGTCGTCCTATTGCGTGTATTTCTTGACAATAAGGCTGCCTTGAATAATCATGCTCGACGACCTCCAATAAATATTAATACGCGGATTAGACGATTGTGCTACCGTATATGACACAAGATACCACACCCCATGGACCAATTGGCAAAGCTCGATTACTCCACGAAGACGAGGATGTCGAAATCAAATTATGCGTTTTCGGAAAGCTCTCGACGAGACGATTCCAACGCCGCAATTTTCGGCACCGTCACTGTTTTTGTTCCAGAGTGATCAATTTTTGAAATCGGTCCAGGGGGCGTGGTATCTCATGCATCCCGCGGTACTGTCTACAACAGCACGTTCCAGACGTAATTTTGCTTGATTGAATGTAACGACGGTAATGTATCTCTGTGCGCTGTTCGCTGGATCTGCATGACGCCCCGTCTTGTCCTGCAGGATGAGGACGATATCCTCGAGAACGTAGCACAGAAATTCCACCGGACTTTCACGCGTAATGATCACTTCAAAGTGGGGTGCGCACTGTGCATCCTGCTCTGCGACAATTTGCTGACGCACACTCAGGTGGGCAACGCCTCGGTTGTTAGTGTTTAGTATACCTACATGGCTGCCTCGGTGATGTGTGTGCTTGTGTCGGGCTAGACGGGGTATTTTTCGCGGGGTTTAACATTCCTTTCTCATTCGACCTTTGACTTAGCTCGCAGTGAGGTTTGCACTATTTTAGTACTACCTGTGTTTACAACCTACACGATTAGCTCGGCACCTCCTTCTTCGGGTATATTTGAAGTACAGCCGTGTAGCGCAGCCGATGGGCTTCGCCACAGAGCGAACGAAGAACGAAGAACGAAGAACGGGGAGCTGCAGTTTGTTTCGATGGTTTTAGCTGATGACCAGCATGGCACGCGAAAACATGGAGTTATGCGGATGAACGCCGTACTTCTGCCGCACCATACTGCTGTTGGTTGGATCACTAGTCAGCGGCCGGCAAATTTGTTTCCGACTATACGTTTGTTATCGGGGGACTTGGACGTCTAGCCATGACGTTGCCTTTGCCTTCGCCATGTCTTGTCGCGTCGCCCCAGCGTGTGGTTTCGTTCTCTATCTTGTGCGACCTCTACCGCAACGATGCGAACGGAACGAACCCATTCCTGCCGTTCTTCCTTGAAGCCATCGAGAAAGGAACTGATCCTGTCGAGAGGCAATACCTTGTTCACCTGCTGTGCTCTCCACCGACAAACCGGAATGTGAGTGTCGCGCCTCGTCTGTTGGTGTAACGTTGTCTCTGGAGGGCGCGGTTGACCGCTCGACCTTTAGTCTGGTTGCACCTAGGCTTGGACGGGAGCATTTAGAACGGCCGCTGCCATAGGCCAGGTTAAGTCTTCCCCAGTTTTGCGCGTTCCAGCTTTTCGTGTTCCAGTGTTGAAGTGGATCGATTGTTTCGTCATGCCGATACAGCAGTAAAATTGATTTTCTTGGCAGCGCCGGGCATGTTTCGAGGCCAGGTCAGGGCAATAAAACCCCATCGGTCGCCCGTCGATGTAGGAGCAAGACAGTTCCTTTCATCGCCGTGCGTCGTTCGTGTTTGGTCCGCTCTATCCACTTTGCCCAGTCCGCTCGAAAAAATGCCCTGCAAGTGATTGCGGAGTACGAGGGCACCCCGGCCGAAGCGGTGGAGGTGCCGGATCTGTCAGCGTTGCGGCAGCTATACAGCGAGAAGAATCCCGCCGTACCGAGCCTCAGGTGCTGGTTAACACCTTGCCTCAATAATACTTCGAGCGCAAAGTTCACGGTTAGCTATAGAGGTGGCGCAAATGTGCAGTTTAGGGCGTTGTCTATTCGATCTAACTACAACCCCAGAATTTCAACGGAACATTCTTGTTTGGGCGGTTGCAACCTTCGAGGTGCACGTTGGCGCGGGCCTGATGGGAGACCGCCAATGCCATGACGATCCAAGTGTATCACCATACGAACGACCGTTATATCGTATCGCATCGTATCGTATCGCACCGAGTACGGCACTTACCGATTTAAGTCTTGCCCTTGTTTGTTACCATGTTCGACATGTTTCTCTCCGTTACGAGCATAGAACGGCGGGCGTGCGACCTGTGCTGGCAGATCCATCCGAGAGCAGCAACGAAGTCGGGTCATGGCTGCCGCCAAGACCCGAGGAGCAAGTGGGGAGGGCGCCAGGGGGGGCTGCGTTGCGAGGGGGGGTTGGAGGAAAAAGAGAAGCGCCTACTCCCATTCAGGTAACGACGGACGTTGACAGGATTCTCCTCCACGAGTTGAAGCTTACCGTAACACGCGGAGAGATGGCACCCTCCTTAAACCGACTTTCAAAGCTCGATTTCTCCACAACCGAATGGACGCGGAAAGAACTCGACACGTCTACGGAACGCCCTCGACGAGACGTTTCCAAAACCACCATTTTGGGGGTTGGCATAAGCTTGATTGTGGAACAATCGAGCTTTGAAGATCGATGTAGGGGGGTTGCCACCTCTCCGCCTCTTTCGGTTGTCACCCATTTCGCTTGTATAATCGTTGTGGAAGAGGGCGTTGGCATGGGTGCTACAGCAGTGTTCATCAACTATAACAATGTGTGTAAAGTACGTGCAATCGATGCATGTAGTAGCAGGCATTGTTTCGTGCCCGAATCTGCGCCAACGCTGGTTGGTGTGCTTGTAAAAATTCTGAACCACATCTGCAGGAGGTGTGACTTGCCAACCTCTTTGCCGGTGGCAACATTTTTTCCATCCGTCGTTTGGATTTGCGCTTGGCCAACAAATGATCGGTTGCATACCAACATTGCGCCATGAAAAGAATGTCTTGCAGACGCTATCCCCTGTAGTTTTCGGTTTGATGTGTGCCGTGCGCCCGGGTCCCTCATTTCTCTGCCCTGCAGCCACTAACGCTGGATGACATGCGTCTCAGTAAAGGAGGGAGAGGGGGCTCCCTATCGCTGGCAAGCTTCGAGCCGGAGTTCATGCGTCCGGTTCCCCCAATGCTCCCGATTGCCGATTCCGAGGTGCGTTACCCCTACCCCCCTTCCTTTGTTTCAAAACGAGTACATTGGCTGCATGTACGTATTTCAGCTACAATTTCCCTGCGCGTGCAGTTATTCTCGCTTTGTCGGTGGACATGGGAGAGTCGGCGTAGACGCTCTCTCTGATATGAGTTGGACCTTTAGCGTGCGTGAGAAGAGACTTTTGTGTAGTGTGTGTCTCGGCCATGATCCGCAGTGTCCTCTACAGTGATTGTCGGAGAATATCCGCCAGATTCCATGGCAACCTAGCGGTCAAGCATGTGTACAAGACGTGGTTGCTATTCCCCGGCCAATAGATGTGACTGTGTTGGTGCACGACGTGTTCGTTGCTTTGACCCAGCAATATGCAATATGGGGTACTGCACTTCTCCACACGCATAATACAGTGGTCGTTTTTGTATGTTGGAGACGAAGGTTAAGTTCAGAGGGACCAGTGTTGATGTGTTTTTCTGCGTTGCAGCAGAAAATACAACCAAAAGGTTTGTGGGTTATTTTTCGTTTGTTCGAATAAAATGTTTGGGCAGGATGAAAAAGGTGTTTTTTGTTCAATTCACTTAAATGTTTTGGGATTTGTTTTTTACGGCAGGACATACATACTGTAGGTGCCTTCCACAATCGAAGTCAAAAACCCTCGTGTATTTGGATGAACAGGTGATGTGGCTTAATCCAGACTACGCTCCTCGCTTGCTCTGGGACACGAGTATGGGGCAAGATAGCTCCAAGGGGGCAGAGGTTCGAGACGTTATGGCGAAAGCTTTTAAGGTGGGGCAGCACTCATTTCTGAAGGGTACACTGCATTTCCATTGTACCATATGTTGCTGCTTTCGAATGGAGTTCTGCAAGTATTAAATCCCAAGTTGTTGATGCTGCTTGTGGTATTTACTTAAGTCAGGGCACCCTGCATTGTTTTATGTTTCGGTATTGTGCTTTCGGTTTGTTCGTTAGATATTGCCGACACTGTTTTTCGTTGTAAGATAGTTCGAGAGTCTTCATGCTAAACCTCCCAAGTGCCCCAAAGAGTTCATGGTCATTTCCTTGTATTGCGATACATATTTTTTCTGGAATATGGCGTGTTGCGTGAGAGCTCGTGTCGCCCGGACTGATGTGCTCACATCAAGGTGCGTGTACCCTAACTGCCTTTTCCCCCATCTTGTTGGACAGGGACCACTGCTGCCTACCCAACAGCAGCAAGTGCTGAGTGAGTTGCAGGGGGATGCGCGACTTGTGTACCACTGCGGGCTGACGCCTTTTAAGTTGCCCGACCTGGTGGAGAACAACCCGATGATCGCGATCGAGTGCCTGTTAAAGCTCATGTCCTCCAGCCAGATCACGGAGTACCTGAGCGCCTTGGTGAACATGGACATGTCGCTGCACTCAATGGAGGTGCGTGAGTGTTCGGCAGCGGGTAGATAGTGCGCCGACAGTCTTGGCGAGACTAGGCAAGGTCCAATGTGACAACCGACGAGTAGTTGACGCCTCTTGAACAAACTCCCTGCGGCCGTAGACATCGATGGTCTGAGTGTTTCGAAGACGAAAGATGGGCACAAAATAGTCGATGAAATATGTCGATAAAGTAAGTTGGCGTCGCCTGACCCTCCCCTTGATGCCTGGCGGCCCCCTGCCTGCCTGTCGTGGATGCCGTACCAGGTGGTGAATCGGCTGACGACCAGCGTTGATCTGCCAACAGAATTCATACACCTCTATATCTCAAATTGCATCTCAAGCTGCGAAAACATCAAGGACAAGTACATGCAGAACCGATTGGTTCGGCTGGTGTGCGTGTTTTTGCAGTCTCTCATCAGGAATAAGATCATCAATGTCGAGGTGAGCAGCTCGTGAAGGTGCTCGAGACGGCGCTTTTTTTCGCCAGGAAAACATGTGCAGGGATTTCTGATCTTGGTGGGCTGAGTTGAGAGCTGCCAGTGCAATGTTAGTTGCTGATAGAGTGCACACCGTGATATTGGTGGCCGGTGGCGAGCAAAGTGCTGGAAGTTTAGCCCCTCGCGATATATCTTTTCATTCGTATTGCGACACATCTTTGAGGTTTGAAGACGGGGAAGATGCTGGTAGTCTCGTTAACGTTCGACACTCTTGTCTTGTCTCGTCTCTCTTCTCTTGCCCGTGTCCGTGGTGTGGCTTTGTTGTTTCGTATTGGCAGGATCTCTTCATCGAGGTGCAGGCATTCTGCATCGAGTTTTCTCGAATCAGAGAAGCGGCGGGACTCTTCCGCCTCCTTAAGACTCTAGAATAGCCGTGGCGACGTAGTACGGTAGACGCCGAGGAAGAAGAGAGCGCTGTGCTGGCAACGCACGTTTTTTTACGGTACAGAGGAATGTAGTACAGAAAGGAGTATTTCCCTGTGGTTGAGAGTCGAGGGTGTTCGATTGTACTGATTTGTTTACATCTACTGTACTATCGCACTCCCAAACGTGTGTTTGATCCAGTCGATTTCGGAGAGGTCAAAAGTAATGGCGAGCTGTTTCTCGTCTTTGGCGTTGATTGTATCGAAACACGAGCAATCACCGACAGATTTCACGCAGGCATAAGTTATTGAACGATTCCTTGTTCCCCGGAGTGAACAGCTGGACTTGTCCCGCGCCTCATCTCTCGCTCCACGGCGGTCCTCCCAGCACAACGTGTGGGAGAAATGCTGACAAAGAACAGTATTTCTGGCGCATCTCTGTGGAAGGAAGAATCAGTGCTTCTAGAGATGAATGTGCCGGGTTGGCAGAACCGACCCAGTTTCCCCAAGCATCACATACACAACGAGCCTGTTCTGTCTGGATTCTACCCAAAGCTCCATGCGTTGGCATTGTCGGAGGTATTGGAGGCCGGTCTACCAAAACGGTAGTGCGTCGTTCGTAACTCCTCGGTCCAGCGGCGCCCCGTCCGCCCAATATCGCTTGAGATACTCCGTTGTTGGCGGTGAATATGATCTGTCGGGAATCCTGCCAAACGGGGAGAGGGGGGATGTTTTATTTAGCTTGCGAAGAGCCTCAAACGAGTGAAGACCAACTACTGGTGTACAAATTGCGGTCTAAGAAGGATCAATTTACGACGCCTTACGACACGCAGAGGGAAAGGCTTTACTGCAACCACAACAGACAGATGTGTCCTTCGTTACCTTATTTCACGACTGCTACCTGCGCCCCCACTGGACCTCACATTCGAAGGGGTATTCGGTTCGTCGGGAATTTCAACAAGCTGCTGATGTCACAGCTCCCTGCCCCTCCCGCCCGCGATTGTGCCCCGCACGGCGGCCCACACCCATCCGTAAACGGTGGGGCCCCTGGGCCCTGCTTCCACGTTGTCCCGCAATCGCGCACCGGTTGGTCGCACACGTGATAAGGGCGAACACACCCCGATCGCTTGTGCCGCATGTCCTCCAAGGGTCCGGGGTCTTTGAGGCGTGAATAGACACGTCCGCAACTTTCGGGAGCCAGGCCTCGGGCGGCCGGGAGCCGCCTAAGCTGACGCATGGTGAGCTCGGGACTGACAAACGTTGTCATGGTGCCTGCTTCGTGGGTGAAGTCACCGTACAGTATCTGTGAGAGGCGGGGGGGAAAAAATAAGTGGAAAAGCACACCAAAGGTTGCGTCCCATCTGAGCCGAAGCGACGAGGGATCAAATCCGAGTGAAACTGATACGAGTGAAAAACTCCGCAAACCTCAAGATGCCTTGAAAATTGGCGTCCCGGTACAGTCGGAGCATGTGCCACAACAACAAACTCCGTCGTATTTTATTGGTTGTAGCGAAGATTTTATTCCTCGCCATTGTTGCCCACGCTTGCTAGACCTGAAGCCACGGAAAATTCCAGCGAGCACCGAGTCGACAAACCTCTGTCGCTACCGCCGTGTTCGTCGCCAGCCTGGTTACGTTGGCCTCCACCAAGTCATGCAACTGCTTTCCCACGGCTTGCGCTTGTTCTTTCTCCCTCTGCAGACGTTCCAGGACAATCAGAGATCACGGGATGAAAAAAAGCAATTGGAAAAAAGAGTCAAGGCGACAAAAGCTCCCGTGCCTGAAAAGTGTAAAAAAAAGGGGGCCGCTCCGGAAGATTCCTGCACGACGAAGGCAGCTGTGCGCCATTGTTAAGAGGCACGATCACGACTGACTAGGCTGACTAGTGGTCTAGTGGTGATCGTGCCTCTTAACAAGAGCTAATGTCCGGAGTTCGAATTAATCCTTGAGCATTTTATTCATGAGGATAATATTTTTGCCCGATATATGGTATAAAAAGTCAATGAGACTTCGTGAAATATGCCGATGAACCTCTTGTACCCAGGGGCAAGGCAGCGCTGATCACAGGGATGGCAACCCTGGGGGGACGTGTTCGTGGCTTGAAAGAAAGCTTGACGGACTCGGGCATGAACTTTTGTTACGAAGCACGATGTCCACTAAACCACTAGTCAGCGCTGAAATTTAGTGGTGGAGTGGTCATCGTGCTTCTTTAACAGAAACAAGTAATTGAAAAAATAGTCAGGGCGAAGAAAGCTCCCGTGCCTGAAACGTGTAACAAAAACGGGGATCGCCACGAAAGATTCCTGTACGAAGAAGGCAGTTGTGCTCCATCTGACATGATCTCCCCGGCTTCAACAGTCTTTACGGAGTTCCCACCTCCATAGTGTCTCTGATGGTCTGAGCCTCCACGACGGCAGCCTTGCGCTCCTCCACAGCGCTAGCCCGCACAGATTCTGCTTCCTTCGCCGTGCTGGCGGCCACGGCAGCGTCCCCAATGGCTCTCTATTGGCGGGTGTATGTGTGGACAAAACCGCGTGAATCAATCTCGTTATTTTGGCTTAGCAGACTTTCCCCCTCTTCATCAGTAATCCCGAAAATATTGTACGTCCAGAGGGGTGCGACAAAAATTGTGCAACAGGTTCAAGTTGACAACTGTTCTCCGTCGTGGGTTCATGTATGCGTGTGTTTGAGTTGGCAGCGGAGAACTGATCGCCATAACACAACAAAGGCGTATGGAACAACGTTACGTCGTGCACTACTGCAGGTCCTCGGTGTGGTGGATGACCGCAGTTGGGAAATACCACCACGTAAAGCATACCTCAAGCCTGATGTTGACGCGTCTGATGTTCCCCTCTGCTTCCTGCAGACACCTCGCCACCTTCCCATGCTGCTTAACTTCAGTAGCGTGCTCAACCTTTAGGGCTGAGTACTTGCGCAGCTCCTTGCTGTTGTCTAATAAAACATCCTTCTGCTTCAACAGCGTCTCGTGCAGCTCCTCCTAACGGGTGAAACGGTGTGTCGATCGATGATGATATATTTCCACTGGACAACTATTGCTGGTGCACGGATTGTAGAATGGGGCCAGTGCTTGCTCGACACGGAGAGACTTCCTCCTAACGCTATCGACCTCGGAACGGCATTCCACCCACCAAGAACCAAACATCTATCGTCGTTTTGGTATACACTGAAAGCATCTACATAAAAATAGTAGGACGGCATCTGCCACAACAAATGATGGACCCAGACGGCACGTTTGTGTCTTCCGTCGGGAGCAGAAAACGGATAGTCTACGACTGTTCTACCATGCGTGCCTTATGTAGAGCACGCGATTGCTTGATTGGCGTGTTTGTATTTGGGTAAGCATACTTTTCTATATTTCTATCGTAGAGATCGTCTCAAAACACCAAGAAGCCGGGCGGCACCACATGCTGGACATCCGTCTTCGCGTGCCCGGGCAGGCGCGCTATAGGCGTTGTATGAGCTATCAACATAACTTGTACTTGAAACAGGACAACGTCGAGTACGCCCTTTTGCGAGGCCATCGCATGGGTTGCACAAGGCTTATCTACCTCCGTACCTTCTCAACGAGAAGCTCGTCGTGCTCCTTCTGCAATGCCGCCCTCGTGGCCTCTAGCCTCCGCATAGCCTCTTCCATGTTCGATATTTGTGCGGCCCTAAATACAACCGATTCAAACAGCGGGCTATGTGAACCATATTCCTGGCAAGAGCTATCTCTAGATTGAATAGCAGGCTGGTGCATTAACCGTAAGTCCATGTAAGTATCACTGTGCTTGCTTGACGGCCATGCGATCAGTCTACAGCAGGCATTCCATGATCAGCGGAAAGAGGCGATCTTCACCTCGCGAGAGATGCGGGAAAGCACGTACAGTACGGCAAAAACGGAGACCTAACCCATGTCGGGTTCGCTGCATTCCGTGCCCTCATGACCGAATTCAATCCGGAGCAAGAGGAAGAAAAATCACGACTTATGCATCCACGGTCGGACTGTGACGGCTACTCACCTTTGCTTACAGAGGGAATCTAGAAGCAATTGATCTGAGCGTGCGCCGTCGACTCGGTCGTGGTGCTCCACGGTAGCGATTTGGACCTGAAAGCGACATGTTTCCACGGTCCGAGCTATCAAATGGTAGTCTAGCACCCTTGACAAAATCGGTCCAGATGTAGTGATTTCATGCACGTCTATTGCGTTGTTATTGCGCCACTTGTTCTAAAAGCTCGTCTCGTCATCACGGCACTGGTTTCATAGACTCCGAAACGATTTGTGCCGAACATGCTGGGAAATCCACTCGAAAGTAACCGAAGTTTGTGGTTGGTTACCCGAAATTGAAGCCAGGCGGCCACGGCTCTCGGTCGCTGTCCTTCAAGCCTGTCCTGTATTGACATGGTCGTGGCAGGTGCTCCTGCCGCTACCCCTGCTTCATCTGTGGGAAGAGGCGGTGGCGTGAGACTCGAACGAGTGGCGTCGACACCACCCGGCCTCTGTCTCCTGAGCTTCATTATATCTTCCACAGCACGGGCTTCAAGCGGAGGCTTCGGCAAAGCTGGTGGTTCCGCCGCCAGGTCTCTTTCCCTAAGGCACAACGTCACACGCATGCATGCATACACAGGAGGGCAGAGGGAGGAGCGCTAGAATATAACATTTACTTTCGTACGGGAAATCCGTGAACCGCGACGTCAGGCATCAGGCATGGAGGTGCAAAGTTCAGTGGGAAGCTACGCTTTGCACCCGCTCCGTTTTGTTAGCGGCAAAGTGGGATTTGGTTCACACACAGACCGTGGAAAGCCAACACCAAGAATCGAGCCGGTGCTCCGCCCACGCCCAAAACCTTGTGACACTCAAAGCCGGCGCTTTCCTGAATCGACGCCTGCCGCTATCCCACGCCACGTGCTTGCATGGCGTCCTTACCCAGTGCACACACACTCTTGTACAGTAGTGATTTCCAAAGAACATTATTGGTAGTATTCACCTCCAGGCCAACAAGGGCCCCGCACACCAGTCGTCCAGCAGGAAGACGGAGGAGGTCAAAGCCGCCCACAGGGAACGGCTCAGTTTGATGTTTGCACGCAGATCTTGTTCGGTCACCTACACCGACCAAGCAACAAGCGACAGTCGGTCGGATCTTGAAACCGCGCCCCACCACACACAAACAAGGATAGGTTGGGCGTTGCGCGACTTCGTCGACGTCGTGGGTCACGCTTTATCCCGCACACCGGGACTCCAGGACCCCAGCAATTGTTTTGGCGCAGAAAACTTTCACTTTGTAAAGTGGAACGCCATACATTTGCACACTACTTGCCCGCAAGAACTTGAATATCCTCCACTAGGAGCACCCTTCTTTGGGAAATTAGTCGGGCGGCCCATTTAGAACCACGGCTCGTGATCGGTTGGGGGTTGGCGGCGTTGAACGAAACCAACAAGCAATACATTCGCTTCGCTACGGCACCTTGCGCTGCTGGTTCGATGCTTCCAGTGAAGTCTTGGTTGCACTCAGCTCCACTTGAAGCCGTTCCAATTTGTCTTCAAGACACAGGACCTCTTTTCGCATCCCGTCCAGCAACACCACCTTTCGAATCAAACCAGGTTACACCCGCACAAGACACGGAACGAGACGGTTGACCCGAAATATCTGCATTTCGTGGCGTCGTTGTTACTCCCTCGTCGTGTCTGTCAAGAACTGTGAGAACCAAGCCAGACACTACAAGAGAACTACAACGCACAAGTATCTATGCGCAAGACGTGTTAAAGCTCGGAATTGGAGAGGTCTGTTTTAACCGCGCCAATTTTCACCCTCTCGCAAAACGAAGCAGTTGCGTCTTTCGCGATTGCAGTTTCAAGTCGGGTGTGGATTTGTTCCTACCCCCATGCGTTCCATACAAGTCCGGTTAGATATCTGGTAAAAAATGTTACGTGCGAGTTCGAGCCCTGACGAAGGCGGTTAACGCACTAATGTGTACAATACAAAACATTGTGTACAACCGGGAGCGTTGCCTAGAATACACATGTAGAGCCATTGGGACAAACACTGAAGCGAAAAATCGCGTACTCACCTGCAACTTCAACTCCTCGATCATCGTTTGGTCCTTGGCAGTTCTTTGCCGCATGTCCAAAATTGTATCTCGCTGCGAAGCAACCTCTTCCTCCAGCCTCGCTCTCTCGGCGACGACCTGCCGAAATTCCTGCGTTGGCAGGAGTAGAGCGGTAAACGATCCCAATCACGCCAAACGCAATAGGCATGTTTAGTTGACGTGCATGGGGAGAAAAAACGACGTGCCGTTCGCAACGTCCTTCCTATTGACCAGTGCCGCGATTTAGCAAGTAGACACGAAGAATTTCTTCCCTCGGGAATGTAGTACAGCACCTACCTTCATTTGCTCCGCGTGCTCCTTGGCCTCCAGTCTCCGTCGTTCCAATTCGTTTACACACTTGTTCAGTTCCACGCCAAGAACAGCTATCTGTGCATCGACGAATACCGCACCGGGACTAAGTGCGGTGCAAAAGACGAGGAACGCCCGTACGAAATCTGCAAGATAAGATAAGGCACCAGCATCTGGCAGCCAACACGATAGTGGCATGGCGTGTGCCCTGGCTGCGGTAAGGTTGGAGGCAACAGTGGTATGAACAACCGATTCGTTCCGCACGGTCTGAACTACTAATGCATCCAACCGACGCGATGATACTGTTGATATTGCTTGGATGGGGGCATTCATTGCTCTGCGCGTAACTCCCAGCTCGATCCACAGAGCTCGTTGCGTTTCAGCATCTCCTGCACGCCACTGCACCTACCCTCTCGGCTGCAACCACGTCGGACAGGAAACGTCGTGATGACTCCTCCTCGGCACGCATGCCCTCCGCTTCGGCCCAGGATGCATTGCCCTCTGCGCGCAGAGCATTGCGCTTGGCCTGGGAGGCGTTGCGCTCTGCGGCTGCTTCTGCCTCGCCTTTGGCGGTGGTCATGATCTCGAGGGAGTGTTTTGTCGCCACTAGTCCCGCCTCCAGAACGCCGTTCACCGTACCCATCTGTATTGTAGATAATAGTTTTGAGCGGTGCACGTTACTCTGTGTCTGCAAGGACTGCGTACCACACGCGGGGTTCCGATTCTAGAACACTGGATGTCCACTCTGTTCGGTTCGCCATATGGACGGCAATAAAGCATGTCTGACATCACGGACAACAGGCGCAGGCAGCAACCGATTCACGCGGGGGACAAACTTGGCGATTTATCTATGGTTAGAAACATTAGTTTCAATGTTCACTACCTGGCGGGTTCTACCGCCAGCTAATAAATTAATACTAACATTGTCTTGTTGGCTGCGTTGATCAGAACTCCGCAGACGACCTAAATTTTGTATTGATGACTCAACATCGCTCAAGCAAATTAGCAGGTCCCACGAGTCGCACGTAAACCAAACGCTCGTATCTCCATTCGTCCCTAACCTCTTTGAGCTGTAGTCCAAGTTGAGCCGTGGCGGTCTTTTCCTGGTCGAGTTCCTGCTTGACCTTGTCCGTGCTTTCTTGAGCGTCGTGTAGAGCCATAGAATGCTCCGCAACGGCTAAAGTTGCTTTGGAAAGTAACTCGCGGCGTTCCTGGCGCGTTAGTCAGTGACAATGCTATGATGAACGGGAAAAAACATGTGCTTGTCACAGGGTACAGTCCCAAGTGTGACAAGGTTCAAAAGTTCTTGCCCGGCCGGCTGACGTGTTCAAATACCATGCTCCTGGTGACACAGTGGTTGTTCTGGTGCTCGTTTCTTCAACGAACGGCTACCTCATTCACAAGACCAACTTGCTATGATAGGCTGTGTAAATTAGACAACATATTCACCTCCAATCCTCGTTCGGCTTCTTCTTTTCCTTGCCTTTCGCTCTCAAGGCTGCTCTGCGTCTTCGCAAGACTCTCTTGTACGCTTTTCAATTGACTCTGCAGGTTGTTGCAATATTCTTGCAGCTCTCCTCTGCGTAATAAGGCGGCGGAAGGGCGAGCACGACAGCGACAAAGCAGCCCCCAGTGGACGCCAATCAACACAACGAGCTTGGGATAGTAGTAGATGGACTCTACGCGAGGCTGGTCATGCTCCACCTGTTGTGAACGCCCGACGTTCAAGGCCTGGGCTTGTGTCCGGGTTTACAACTGGTAGAGGTGGCTATTTGCAGGTGGATATTGCCGTCGGGGATCAAGGTACGGCGCTTTGATTGAAGCAAGAACTCTAGATATTCACAGCGAGGGTACAAGCCAACACCCACAGCAGCAGAATGCAGGCACCACTGCCTCAAAGACGATCGATGGCCGCATGTGCCACAATCTTCGTGACGTACCAACTGCACGTACTAGTGTTTCTCAGTGAACAAACAGATTTTTTTACGCTGTGCGCATGACACGAAACAGATGGCGTGTACATAGGAGCTGAGTAGAGGGGTACTGGGGGGAAAGCGTTTCGCGAACCAATCGAACACAAAAGGTACTCGGAGCACCGAGACATGAGCTAGCCGAACGAGCACAGTCAGTTGACCACAAAACCACACTCACTTCGCTACTCCAAGTCGGCGGCAGTCCTCCTCAAGGTACGAAATGGCAACAGCCATCACGCCCTCGGTGTCGTCTTCGTCCGAACTATCGACGGTGTCAGCTGCAACTGCGTCACTTGAGTCCAACGTGGCACTCGGGGTGGATGGGCTTGGCGGCGAGGAGGTGGCGTTGCTGTCGGACGTGTCAACGTTGTTGTTGGACACTTTTCTCATGGATGCGCGCCCACCTGCTCCTACGAAGGAGAAACCAACGAAATAAAACTAGTTTGCGGACTTTGGGTGCTAGTTTCGCAACAAGACAAGGATGTACATAGAACCCGATTTTCGAACGAAGTCGAAACTAGGGCAGCGTTTCAGGGGGTACTACTTGGGCTATCTACACCGCTTGTACCGCAATGCAAAACACCGATACTGGTTGACACCGGTTTGGTGCCAAGGGGTGTTCCTGGCGACATCTAAGTGCATCGGAACGGCACATGAGGCATTGTTCTCAAGGGAGCACAAAGAACGTCTCCTGGTGGTTTGGACTACCAGAGCTGGTACATGCACCCCACTGCGGCGGTTGGCACCTCACATTGCGCACGACTTCGATGGCCTACATACGTTGGTCCAAACGGTATTCAACCACATCTTCTGGTTTGCTGCCCGTCCGAGAAAGCACTCCCTTGCTGTTCCACTGACCGGCTTCGATGGCCGGCTCACCTTTTCTCGTCGAGCGGCGCGCGCGTTTTCCAGAGCGCAGATTGGCAGCAGATTCCTTGACTTCCTCTGGAGGCGCATGTTCCTCCGTTGGTACTTTACTGACGGTGATAGGCAGAGAGAGATTGCTGCTGTCGCCGCTCCGGTCGGTCCCCTCCGCCTCCTGCAAGCGTGCTCTAGCGCCGTTCCACATCTTGAGAAGCTTCTTGTTGTCTCTCTTGCCCTTCAGGACCTGGTGAAAGCAGACCCGACAACGCGGAGAACGAGCACATTGCACGTCAGCTTCGAACGACGTCGTGGGTGACTGTCGAGTGTTCTGCCTGGTCAGATTCTCCAAATCAAGGGTAGGTCCTAACCGTCGCTTACTCCGCGCGACAACAAGCAACCGGTGAAACCAAAACGTGCCCCCCTCACAAGAACGTCAAACATGGTGAATGCACGAACATCATCAACCGCGCGGGCTAGAGCATGCCAACAGACAGCGGTCAACATTTCACCCCGCATGTTCCCGACGCCCCACCTGGGCGTCTGCCTTCGTTAGAAGCGCTTTGAGTTGTGCTATTTCAAGGGCTGCCTGTTCCTCGCGCCTCGCGTACGCCCCGGAGAGGATTTCTTCTCCCACGGCCGCTGTGCTCTGTACGGGTAAAAAAAATCGTTGCCCGGGGTGTAGCGGAAGATGGACGGAGGTGGACACGCACACGATGTTCGCATCGTGAAAGTTATCGGCGATTGAATGAAAGGCGTGTCTAGAGGGCCCGCGATGTGCAGCCCAGCGAAAAACGGCATCTTCCACCGCACGGGGAGAACAGGCTGTTGCGATGCGACCCGACCACGTACGGAGCATATCGCAAGAAAGAGCGACGGCGTTGAGAGCGACAAGTTTACAACAAAACATACGATATCCCCGGAAGCTGTGTGCAGCACCTCTACTGTCGATCTAGCTGCAGCCGCTTGCTCCCTGGCAGCATCCAGCTCCCGTTTCATCAATCCTTTGTCGATCGCCCTGTCCCTTTCCTCGTTCTGCTTCTCCACCTTAGCTCGCCAGTATTCGAGTTCTTCTTCCTACCGTGCGGACGCATGAACCGTAACACAAACATACATGTGAGCCTCCTTGGCACTAGGGCCTATCCTTCGTAATGTCGAAATAGTCGAAGGGTAAATCCAAACTCAAATTTATATGCGACGGGTTATCGCGAAGTACTATAAAATGAAGGAGGGGCGTGTAAAAGAATTGTGCATCTGTTTCTTACTTTGTTTTGGTGCTGGGGAAGACATATCTGCAGCGTTGTGCAGGTTATGGGTGATATTCCCAATAGAAGAGGGGCAGGACGGCGCTACCGGATTCGCAAGGCAAAGCAACGGACATCGATCGGTGTGTGCGCAGATGACGTTTTGAGAGCGACCGCCTTCCGTTCACTCGTGCCGATAAGGAAGAACCCAAGCCACGAGTTGCCATTCAAGCCCAACAAAATATAACGGTGTGATGAAATACCAGGCAGAAGGGAGTGATTGCTGTTACCTTTCGCCTGAGCCCTTCAGTCAGTTCCAAGACCAACATCTTGTCGCTCTTCTCTGGCGGCGGTGCTTCGACCTCAGGTTCGCCGTTGAAACCCGCAAACGACCCATCAGCGCTTGCTGCATCCTGTGGTCGGTCAAGATGCTGTCTCCCCACGGGAGCAGCAGCAATCGTAGCAGCACCCACACAATCCCCACGTGCGGGAAAATTAAGCAGGGGTTGGGGCGCTGATGCGAAGGTTCAGGGGAAGTGCCGCTTAGCGGGCGCCTGTTTTGTGTTACCGTAGGCTTGTGCAACGCAAGGCGACAACGAACTGTATTGGTCGATTGTGTTCGTTGTAGAGCGCGTCAGTGACGTTGGTACAACTTTACGTTCACCCATACATTGTGTTTGCCTGACGTTTTGGGCTGTCATGAAACAATAACACATCCTTTTACGTTTCAATCGTGATGATGGAACTCGGTGGAGGCACCACCACCTCGTGATCTATGAGATAGAGATAGAGATAGAGATAGACATGCATTACGCATGTGGTGGAACTGTTACACCCACAGGATGCTGCTACTCCTCGAGATAGCATTTATCAGTGCACCTCGTGAGATCTGCTGTTGCCGTCGCCACCCTCGCTTGTTAGCATGTTTTGTAGGTTTTCCTCCCTCAGTGCGGCAAGCTCTTCTCGCATCTCCGCCTCGCTTGTTTTTGCGCTGTCCAACAGCTTTCGAAGCTGTGCAAGATGTGTCGAATTGCGAGCATCAGGCGCGTCTTGTTCAGGACCGCTCCCATCCACCGCGAGGTATCTACTACTTCGTACAACTTTTACTCAAAGCCGCCCACAATCAGTGAAACGACGCGCCTAGTAAGAACACTCACCACGAGGTTCTGAATTAGTTGTTCGAGAAATGTAATTATTCTTCCGATATACCCCTGCCTGATATTGATAGGCGGTGCTGAGAGGGGCTCTCTGGCTTGTGGTCGAGGAATCCATCTGCAGCAGTATGTCTCTCTTTCGTGCTCACATCTATACACTGGACCGGTGCAATAAACAACGATTCGCCTGCGGGCCGCAATCACTTACCTTTGCGATCGAACGTTTGCTGTTCTCTTCATGATCCTCGAAAGCTTTTAACAGCTTGGCGTTCTTATCGTTCGCTTGTTGGAGGTCGGTGTTGAGCGACGCCACCGTCGCTCGCAACTCGTCTGCAGCGGAAGCCTGATGAGCAAACCAAGGGTTGAATACATCGTGAATACAGAAGCATATATTGGTTAGCAAGAAGTGGGAAACTTAGACTTCCGAAGCGACGCCTTTGCCAATATGACAAAGTTTCGAAGCTGTGCGACGACAGGCGACTGCAGCCGAGTGCACCAGGGTCAGTCTTCATTCTGCCACTGCGTGCTTGGCTGACTGCCCAAATAGCTCAGTTGAGGTATTTTACTGCTGTAAAACCGGGGATTTAGGCACGGATCGAGGAACTGCACCACCGTGCAATTATAAACCAAGAATGAGATGACTTGTTTGATTACACCTTTGCACGGGTATCCGAGAGATCGCACGGGGGAGTGGATTTTCTATAGCCTGGCTTCGGCATACCCATGGTGTGCGAAACAAAAGAGCCGTAAGGCATCACTTACTCCCAGCGCGCTACCGCATCGCGCCAATGCCACAAAGACAACCGAATCTCACCATGCTTTGCCCTTGCAACAAGCAAGCAAGCTCTCTTCCCATTTGTGTGGTCTACACGACGCAGCAACGTGGGTTCTCTACCGTTTTGTTCCCAACAACCGCCTTCTTCTCCCCCCGATTCCCCGTACCCCGGCCGAGCCAAGAGCTCTCTATCGCTGTCGATCCCCATCAAATCTACGTTGCTGTCGCCTAGAACAGTCGCTGTAATTTCTTCAGCATCGCACGGATCGGTGAGCTGGCACGGAAGTATGACAAGAAATGAATCATGAAACGATCGCACGGTGGTGCCTATTCTCCGATTCTTACCGTAGCTGAAGTTCCACGACACTGGCTGTGCTGTTCACACGCACGAAGCCCTTTGATCCAACCAGAAATACATATTTCACTTACCTGCGTGTCCCTCTCGAATGCCATGGCTTTTGTTTCTTTTGACGCCTCCAGCAAGTGGTGCTCCATCTCTTCTACCTGAAGACGAAGCAAGAAACCAACCACCAACGGAGGCAGCATGTTGAGGTTTACTCAAACAAAACCGATCCGCAGTAAAAACAAATTCCGAAGTCTTGAGAACGGCGTATTGGCTCTTCCCTCAGCCACGACGTGCCAAACTCGAAGTACACTACAAGTAGCATTTGGTATACAGTATGTGGCCCAATATAGTAATTTGAATACATAGTAGAACTGGCATCAAAATCTCTTGTCACAACCTCAACATGTACATGAACCCGATATATCGAACAGTGGCACTGCCCTGAATAGTGGCATATTCTCCTCTTGCCCCTACATGCCACTATATCGGGCCACCTACTGTATGTATAAGTCTACCAATACGTCGGCCTCAAGTTTCAGACCATGAAATATTGGGCATAGGATGTTGTGGTGCATTGGTTGCACAGCGACACACCTTTAAGTTGTCGTCTGCGTCTCGCTGTACTTGGGCCTGCAGTTCCACCACGACGCTTTCCAGATCCGACACCGTCCGGTTGGCCGATCTCACGCGCGATTCTGCTTTGTCTCTCTCTTCCGAGATCTTGGCCACTACCTCTGGCCCCGCATTCGCCAGCTTTTCCTTGAGCATCTTTATTTCCTGTTGTGGCAGGGGATGGATGTCGTCGACAACAAGAACAAGTACTTGCCGTATTGGAGTAGATCGGCACGGTTGGTGGTGAGTGGCGTAGGGTACGGAGATGCAAAGATTCATACCAATTCAGCGGTGGCTTCGGGAAACGGACGTTGACGTAACTGTGCCAATCAACACGTGCCTTCTCTCGACAAGTAGACCCTGCGAGCCGCGCGAGAATGGCGATAGAGTCAAATCCCCACGCACAAGCACCCATATTGCCCTCTCTCGACATGAGCGGCATGAGGGCCAGTGCGTAAGGAAGCAGCATACGCAAGCGAGTGTAAACAACCCTATGGTAAGATTTGTGACGCTAAGGCTGATATTCTGGAAGAAGCTACAAGAATCAGGCGAGCTCTGCGGCGTCTTTCCCAAGAGCCAATCCACTTTTGAAAAATCTCTTGGTATACCCACGGAGGACTCATAACTTTCACGAAACGTGTGACAGGGAATGTTTCGCAACGGTTCGCTCACTCTCAGTAGCATATTATGGATCTCCGAGAATTCCGACGATGCGGTTTCGGCCTTTGCTCGGTAGGTCTCCACGATGGCTTTACTGTTGCCTAGCGCTTTCCCGCTCTCCATTAGCTCCTCTCGAATGGTCTCGAGCTGACGCCTAAGCTTGACCACCTCTTTTTCGTCATAGTGGACAATCTGTCGGGGTGCGAACGTGACACAAACGGTCGGGCGATAGAATAAATACTTGATCCTGGTAGCAGACATTTTTCCAGGGCATGCGTCCTTTCCTTGCTAGAACTGCGACCAAGAACACACAAAACTTCACCAGAAACCGGAATTGCGCAAGAAGTTCGTAGTGCTCCACAGCATGGGGCGGAGGATATTTTAACGGCATCCTCCTTACAGAAAATGTGCTAGAGGAGGCACACAGTGCCTCATCTGCTGCCACACCTCCATCGTACCCCCGCACTCTTCGCAAGGAGATATCTGCAGCGTGTCGCCCGTGGGCGCGAATAACTCGAGAACTGGGCGGAAATCCAGCGAGGGGATTCCTCCCAAAGCAACATCGTCCGAGTTTTCGGATCCTGCCGCCGATTTTCCTTCCACCTGCTTCCGGCGAAAGGGTAGATTCGTCCATGTAATGTTTTCCACCACGGTTCACTGCATATCTATACCACCTAGCTGGTGGCACCGCAACGAAACCTGTGACTTGCTCTCTTTGTCCCATGTGCACTAGCACGCCTGCAAGCACGACGGTCAAATTACTGAAGATCTGCTGTTTGAAAGATAAGCATTCTACACGGGCCGCCTGAAAAATTAGAAGCTGCAGGAACTGTGCTGGAACGAGAAAACCTGAATATGGAAACCCTGCTTGTAACACCAGCTGGTGGCGAACGTGTGCTCTACCCACCTTACTCTGTATTCGTATAGCTACACACATCTGAGGCGCAAATAATTGAAGCGCAACTGATTAGAACATTTTGTAAATTTGTCATGTCTCGGATATATTGCTCGTCTGTGTTGCATGCGAGAGCCAGTGCTTCGCTTGGGAGCCACCTTCAACTTGGCACCGTGAGTTTTGTCTTTCAGCGGGGACCATTCTACTGCGTGGTGCAGGGGGCCCATTGAAACGTACCTGGTCCCGCAAATCTCGCTTGAGATGCTCAACATCGACGATGTATGCACGCCGGATGGTGTCCAGCGCTTGGGTGCGACGTTTGACGTGTCTTCTCAGTTCGGCGTTCTCTTTCGTCTGGTGGAGCAGAGGATAGTGCATTGGAGCTGAATGTTTTCCTTGTAAAATTCCGTTCCGATCGAATGGATCCAGATTTGGAACAAATGTTGGAACCGCATATTGTATCGAAATTTCTGGGATCAAGTGACAGAGAGAGACCACAACTTCCTTTCGCTCCCGAAAACCTCGTGGAACGCGCGAACACCAGATTCACATTACCCTGCAACCCTACATACACATAGAATGTATAGTATACACAAACAGAAAGACCACCCGTTCAACATATAGCCACAACAGTCGATTTGTTCTCACTTGATCACCGCTCACACACAGCTTCTGAATCATACATACATGTAGAAAAGTCTACAACACAACGGCCGGGTGAAGAGTGAAACCTGCTACTGGTGATGACCCTCGTGAGAAGCCAACTCCTTCAAACAGCTGTCAACGGACGTACGCACCAGCTTATCGACGATCTCTTTCTGCTTGTGCAGGGCCTGCGGTTCTGGCGGGGAGGGGAACTCGTCCAGAGTTTCGACACTGGCACCTCCCAACGAGATGCCATCGTCGCCAACCGCCTGGGTCATCTCGGATCGAGTCTTGATCAAAACAAATAAAAGCAGTAGAGACATAGAGACAAGAGTTATCTTCCCAGGTTTGAGGGACCATCTCTTCCATGTCAAAATGGCATAGTAACCAGCCGTACTCGATGTTGGAGTTCGTTCGCAAGGACATCAACACAGCAGCAATTGTTGGTCTACTCGGCGTATCCCAAAACGACGTCCTGAGATAGATACAGCAGTAGCCTACAACATTTCACAGCAGTTGCAAGACAAAATACCGTATCGATCCCAACATAGGCGTCCTCATCATAGATACGATCCGCCGCTCGAGATTCTTCCCCTGGCACCGCCATGTAAGTGTGGATGTGTGGACGTGTCAACCCCGACCCCAAGGAGGAGCAGCACGCACGCTGGCACGCGGCGGAATTGAGGAAGTGAACCGATTGGAGTGCCGCTTCGGGTGAAATTGGCGGAGCAATAAAAAAGATCGTCCATATGTCCATGAAACCATGCCTACACACCCTGCACTTCTACGCTTGCGTAGTGCTTGTGCACAGAACCTTTGTGGGTTGCTTGACTTGCAACGAACCGGAGTATTTGTTATGTTGCGTATACACGTGCGCGCACAGAATTTCCACCAAAGGGTGCGATGATGCGCATGGATTCCAGCCGCTCATCTGGTTGGTCACCAGACGTGGACGTAGGTGCCGCTTTCCTGTCGCCCAACGCCCAACGCAGAATGATCTTGAATGCGCAACAAAAAGTCTTATGGTATATTTATGGGATCCTCACCTGCACCTAATTTTATTTCTGTGTTTTTCTGTATATTTAAAAAAAAAATGACTTGTCAATACTGTAGGCTCTGCGAATGTACCGGAATTCGTCGAACCGACCGCAAACAGATTGCGACACCTATCGTGATGCGTTGTCTCTCACCATAATGCACGTGCTGTCTTGCGCGTTTCCATAGCCGTACAGTGTCGTCTAGTCGAGAGTACTACCTAGAAGTTGTAGCAGTAGCTTCACGAGTGAAAGTGAAACAGCACGAATGTACATCGCTATTGGCTCACTCGTGTCTAGATTGCGTCACCGGTTGGTCCAAAACGTCGTGGAGAGAGAACGAAGGCCAAACAAAGTGAAACCTACCACGACGACACCACCACTACAACAACTGACTGCATGCGTCCAAACAAGGAAGAGAGTCGGTCCGGTCAGTTTTTTGTACCGAGAATCTTTGTTATGTGGTTGGTATACATAAATCGGGTAAATGGGTTGGATTGGATTGTAGGTACTGCGCGTGCACCTCTCGGCTGCTAACTACTAAAAGCGTGTGTGACCAAGCGTCAGGAGCCAAATGTGTCTTCATATGCATAGCTCCAATCTTGGAGTCGTTCTGAAATGTATGTATAAGAGTAAGCACTTCGAAGTGTTTCAATAAAAAAAATGTTCATCCAATTCAATTTTGTGGCAAGAGAGCAGCACGTATGCATACATTGTACCGAGTCGGCCTTTTGGCTGTCATCTCTCATTTGTTTTTGCAGAAAGAAGACCAACTCATCTCTACACGGAGCCCTCAACTACTGTGAGAGAGCTTGGGGTCTGGAGTGTGGTGGCCATGACCTGCCACCGGAGGTTGACTATTGCCTTTGGTGAAATGTGGCGAGGAATGACAAACAGGACCGAGCGAACTCAGTCAAACTAGAGTGGGATGGGGAGTCGGGGGAGCCTTCGTGAACTCATTTCCCAACCTCCTGAAGATTCAAGAACCATTCGCAGCTAGCTGTTGAAAAGAAGAAGATCTTTAGAAGAATAGTGATCTTATATCACACATCTCGCAGAGCTCTAAATATGTAAGTATCTGCACTTGCACTGTACTGCATGAATTCACCATATCCTGACCTCCACATCTATCCAAAGGTAAGAGTCCAGCACAACAATTAGCGATTACTACACAGCGTTATATTACCTACCTGACAGCTGTGTTTCTACTCTTCCTCCGAGACCATACAATCATAACTCGCCTGTGGGTAACAGGTTCAACAAGAGAATTGGTGCCCATCATTTTCACCGGGCTGCTATGCATTCTAGGACGGGTAGGAGAAAGAAAATTGTTTGAACGTTTGGTTGTTTAGGTGTTTGTGGTGTTGAAACAAATCACAAATGTGTGCAGGTTTCTGTTTCGTTGAGGTTGTGTGGAAACGCTTTGAGTTGAGACTATTTACATGTCTTTTTTTTCGATTTCATGCCATCTGTAAGTGAAGTGCAATAGGGTAGTCTGCGACATTGTTCACCGACAGAGAAACACGACTGTACTCGTGCGAATGGAAAGGAACATACTTGCGGCAATAAAAGCGTCAAGCAAAGGGCGGTCCGGGCATGGGAGTTTGGTCACATAGGTTCCCCGACTTCGTTGTGAACAAGAGCGGATGCAATACACCGGAGTGGCTGACGGCAATGAAAATGAGGAGGAAAGCGACTTATCCTCGATCGGGAACAAAAGATAACGCAAGTCCGCACGGGGGAGATGTCCATGCGAATGTCGAACGAGCCCGCCACTCTCGCCCTTGAACGTGGTCTTCGTGTCCTCAGATGTACTGCCGTTTAGTGTTTGGTGTGCAGTTGTTTCTACGCTGTGGGGGAGGGAACACCCGCTCAGGACTGGCCGCAGCATGATGCGTAATTAGGTCCTCTCGGCGGGCTAAGGCCCATTGCTTGGTGTTCTTGTACGCGTATGTGATAGGAATCTCCAGTCCGAGTAGCATCTTTGCAATGGGTCACTTACAGACGACGTCCGAAACTACCTTGCTTGGCGATTCTGGACGAGAACGCATTACCCCCGCTGGAGCAACAAGAGCGTGCTGAAATTCCTTCCTTTCACTACTGCGGCCTCGTGGGGCTATGCGCTATTTCACTGAAACATCTCTCTATGCACCTGTAAACCCTACTTCACCTCCTAACGTTTTGTGTGTGCTATTTTCATCCATGGATCGTCCTCCATGCTATTCATCACTCGCTCTCGTGATTGACATTACGGTCAACGTGAACAGTGATACTTTATGCAAATCTCCGCAGGTACAGGACACGGGACAGCTATGTGTCCACACCTAAGCACCACCCGAAGAACTAGAGGCTCTGAACTGCAGTACGTGGTAGCCATATCGTGTTGTTTGGACACAACAACGCTTTTCACCTGCAAATTTCGACGAGTGTATGTCCTACAGAGGACTGAAAGGAAAAAGAACAATAAAGGGATTACGCCTAACACAATCCAAACCGTATCTACCACCAGTGAATAGGGCTAACCTATCGCTTTTTCGCCTTCTTTGCGCGGAGCATTTGCTTTTGCTTTTCTAAATCATTGGTCATTTTCTCGATGTTCGCCATGCCCTTTGGCGGCACAGAGCTTTCCTCGCCGGTGACCGTGTTCCGCCATAGAGGTCTACCAGTAGTCTGCGGCGTGAGAAACGGTGAAACGCACAAGTGCATGGTAGATCAGGTTCTTCGTCAAGAGCGTGAGAGCAAGACTTGTTCTCGAAGGTTCGATCACTGTTTGTTGCAGATGCTCAACTAACCTGAAGGTCTTCCTTCCAGCTTCTCGAGCTTAATAATTCTGAGATGATGAACTGTAGGTTCACGAAGGGAGCCCCAAACTCACCCCACGGCCGACGAGCACACTTCAGACGTACCTCATTCATAACCTCTATCCAGGCCAGGGCTGACTCAGCAGTCTCCGGAGCACCGTCATCGGCTGCAGCTGCTTTATTTTCTCCATCCAAATCTCCACTGAGCAAACTGCAGCAATGTAGGAAATATTAGGGATATCGCGTCACGAAGGAAGTTACGGTGCTGTGCTTCCGTCGGGTGATTTCAATATATAAACATATGCATACGTCGCACCCGTCAGTCAAACCCGTGTACGTACCCCGTATATTGGTTACTGATCGGTCATCAACCGGGATGGGTCAAATACGTGGAATCATGACCGTTGGTGGTTGATAGAACGGGGGCCATGCAACCCTATGGCGCAAAGCATCAGAGCAATTTCATGCTGAGCTGTATGCCACGAGCCAGCCTGGTACTTGAGAGCTCTGCAGCTCTGCGCCATGAGGCGTGGAAATGCCACAGCCGATCACCGCGTCGGCCTAGTGAATACAGGTTGAGGTGGTCGCGCCGTACGGGTATAATACTTCCTCAATCGTGTGCTGTACGGTATTTTCTCGAGTTGAGCCTTATGAGTGTGATAAAAAGCAGCACGATTATGTTCCGTGCAGATTGATAACAAGAGCCACGGTGATAATGGAGGGGTTCTGAATCGTAGCTACTTTGGTGGAACGGAACTTGAGCGAACTGGATGTAAAACTAGAGTCGCCACCTGTTGTCAAGCCCGAACTGAGCGACGTTGAGCTTGAGCTTGAGAGAGCCAACGTGCTCCTCGCTCTTCTTGAGGGTCTTCTTCGCCAGGGTGTATAGGCGCTTTCGGCGTTTCCTCTTGTAATATTTCGCGGCGTTCCGGAGCATGCGGTTTATGACGTCTTCTTCCAAGACCAAAGTAACCTTGATCACAACGAAAGCATAGAAACGGGATGCATGCCGTCGTACAGTTCAGGTACTCTGAATGGTTTGGTTTAGGCTGTTTGATGTCCCTATGGGCAGCGCACGCTGAGGATGAAACAGCACCAGAGAGTGCAGCCAACCACGATTTTGCCAACGCATCAGAATCTTGACCTGTTAATATCGTTGTTTTGTGTGTGACAAATGTGCGCCTGTAGATGCTCCTGGAATGAATATAATGTAACAGCTACGTTCGTAATCCCCCCAACATTTCCAAGTACGTGGGGTGGATCTATCACCAGGAGGCTATTCTTACAATGTTGGGGTGACATGCGCTTGATGGTTGGTTGTACTGTTTGATGAAATAAATTTCACCTGAATGCCGTATTGCACTGCTTGAGAACTCCAGAATGCCCTGGATGCGCTGTAACGAGAAAGTTATATGGCAGAGAGGGGCTCGAGATTAGGCGAGGCAATGTGGGAGACAAGTCAAACATGTAGACCGTGATAGGGGTATATTTCCATTCGCGTCAGTTCCTTGCATCACCGATCATTCTGAAGTCACAAGATCCGAATGCAAGGGCTTCAAAGGTGCAACGTCAACGTCCATCACGCTCTTTCGATTCGTTTGACTCACAGTCCTCTTCGGGTGTTTACCCGATAGTCGCTTCTGGCATGAACGTATTTAGAAAATACTTGTTGAACAATAAGGAACACTCAACATCGTAAAATGCTGCAAGGACCAGCAACCAGCGGTAGCCGCACTCTGTACCTACGAATATTCTCACCCCAAAAGAAGTTTTTGCCTTGGATTGAGCACCATCTTGTACAGCAAGACACGCTTGGAGCCCCGCTTGTTCCAAACACGATCCACTCGAATGCGGTCTGCTTCCACGGTTTCCACCTTGAACAGCTCGCCTTTAAAGAAGAGAAGAGGAGTATATTCAGCAGCACAACGCGGTAGTCTAGAATCGTGCAGCTACAGCTACAACCAAAATGGTCACTTAGTGGGACGGTATTCCAACGATGAATGTATTCCTTTGCATTTTTTCTGGAATCTTCAAGGTTATTGAGTTTCGGAAAAATCTTTGGGAGGAGATATTTGCGAAACGGGGAAGTTTTCCGACTTCTATTTCGGAAATCTCAAATAAGATTTTTTGCTGGTGGTCGTGGTTTCGATTCCTACGAGAGCTTATGATGAACAAGAATGAAACTTGATCCAACCCCGTCGTTGCAACAAAGCACAATAAGCCTCAAGCACAATCCGCCTTTGAATAGCGGTATACGTGGAGCACCCCAGAGACACCCGACTAATTTCGAGCGCAGCGATTCAAAACGTGAAACCTCGTTGGAATCGTTTTTTCACTGCCGTGATGTAAGTGTCGCAAACGTTTCGAAGGTCGTTTTCGCCGTGATGATCAAACAGGCAGGGCAATCCCTTACCCTGCACGCGGATGATGTTTTTCGGCTTGAGGAAATCCCCCATGACGTAGGCTGGGTCGGTGTATATGCAGCGATGCCCCGTTTTCACTGTGTGCCCCCCAGGCAAACGAATCCCCCCTCTCTCGGCTTGGTCCTTGAGTTCGTCGACCGTGCCAAAATCGAAACCTCGTCTAACGATACCCTGCAGATTCCAGGTATACAGTAGTGGAGGAGTTGACACAGACAGCTTTTCATCTTATGAATTGCGTGGACCGAGCAATCTGCTTTTGTTTAACATCATTGTCGTTGCCAACGATAGTGGTTCTGACGCTACGCAACCGCGTATGACTGAGATAACACAAGAAGGTTGTCCTCATCCACCACTGGAGATTGCTACTGGTAAGCTTAACGTGTGTTCTGGATCCGCAACGCAGTTTAGCCACTTCTTGCGGTACCAAATGTTGTGACAGGCCTACTTTAGTCTTAGCCCTGGTGTTTTCAGAGTTTGTGTTGGAATTTTTCTTGCCTTTCGCCCGTCCAGCTTCCCCTCCACCCATGCATCATCCTCCCTGTTAAGCGCGATGTATTTTATTGGACGCGCGCGAGCCCTCCTAGGAACCCTTTTCAGGACCTGTTCATCCAGTCTGTCGGAAACAAGGCGCGGAGCTAGTCCCTGCGTGTGTTTATAGTGGGGGAGTTGCAACGACGCCAGGATAAAGACATTTACGCACGGCACATTGTCCCGTGTCTATGCCCAACAATGCTAGCGTAGGGCACCGAGCGGATTGAGGCGATCGCCTTCAGTTGTCACGCTGCCGGGCGTTCTAAGACCGAGAGCGAAACACAAGGGATGTAGTAGCGTACCCGGTACAAGGTATACCACCACTGCCTGTGAAGGAGTGGTTCGGCCTTCCCCCACAGAAAGTAGACCTACATCGACACCTTGCGTGCGTGTGATGAAAAACCCACCGTTTATGAGTTTCTCCACAAATCCGGGTTGACACTGGTTGAAATGACTGCGTAATAGTTGACACCTGCACGAAGCTGTCTGTCTCTCTTGGTTGTAACGCCAACTTGAAGGATTCGATTCAAGGGCTTTTGCGTGAGAAGAGTACAAGTAGCCTCGACAACTCTCTCAGATACACACCTCAAATCGAACTACTTGAACTAGAAAAGCGTTATATCAGCACGCGCTTGTGAATCAAACAACTGTCCGGGGATCGATTCGTGATGATTGCGACTTTATCACGGAAAACTGCGCGTTTAAGTATACCGTATCGTTTAGGAATACCGTGTCGTGTCTCACCGCCAAGTCGAGAGCCTCGTACCAAAGTGCGTTCCGCTTGCGGTCGTCTTTCTTTCTCTGTCTCCATTCTGCGCGATGCCTTGCCCTGCCAGCCTAACGATAGTTGCAGTTTGAAGGGTATATATGAGGGTACATTCAAATGTCAAGGGCTTATGTTGCTTGACCTTCCGAACCACCTCCGATTGCTAGGTCCGTCAGATGCCCTACCGAAAGATTCAACACGAAAAAATCGATGTCGAAGAGATACTACATCGTTCCAGCTTGACAGATGGCCAACTCCCCGGGGAGGGTTACTCGTGAAGGGTAACCTCATGAACCCTTCTGGCTCATAGGTGTGGGTTCAAATCTTTCCAGAGTGGAAAAACGCACAAGTGAAGAGAGCATGGACTGGCGAACCCTCCTCGGGTCAAAATTGAAGGAAGCACTGCAGGAGGAAAAATTGGAGATTTCCTACGTATTGTACTACTTGACCCCGACCGGTGTGTCATACGTCACCCGAATGGTGTATACTGGTGGCCAGAATAGACGACACGAAAGCCCAAACGGTACGTATATGTAGCGCTATCGCAAATGCCCTTACATTGACTTGGTATTATCTCACAAACCTTCAAATGGGCCAGCCCTTCGATGCGGCCAATCTTGCCTCGCCATCGTGCCTGAATCCTCACGGCTGCACGTTCTTTCGCTCGTCCTTGGTCCTCCAACCTATCATGCAACCAGAGAAAAGAGACACTATCACCATGTTTGCATGAATTATCATTGACGCTGTTGTTAACGGCATGCTTTTGGCGCCGCGGCGCAGGAGTTGACATGGGCCAACCTTATTCCCCGCTGAACGATGTTTGTTTCGATACTCTATCAGGCAAATGTGTTCGCTGCAAAAACCTTGATCTTGGGTTGTTCTTGATAGAGCTGGATTCGCGCTGAATACTGTGCAAGCAAGTCACAGCAGGCATCTGTGAGATTGGCCCTTTTTTCTGTTTTGCGCTCATGTCAGGCTTGAAGGAGTGTGCTTGTGCCGCCCAAAATATGTTTCGACAGGTGGAAGTGAACAGCTGACAGGCAAACAATGACGAGAACACGTGCAGTGTCTTGTCGGAAAAGGTCATGCTTCCAACGTGAGCCTCGTCCAAGCCATGCAGTTTTGCTACGTTTGCCACCATCACAGCTCGATGGCAGACATGCTACAAGTTTGCGGTACTCTATCGCTGCGTTTCCCAACTCCTGGTATAACCAGTCAAGTTCGATGTTCCCACCAAAGAGAGCGCGCTTCCTCGTCCCTCTCCTTCCGGCTGCGCTTGCGGCAGGCCATGGCGTACTCCATGTGGAGGCTAGCCGGGTAGTATGGTAGTTTTTCAGCCCCGTGATTAACCTGTGAGAAAGCACACAACAGATAGATGATGCTATTGAACCCTAAATTGTACTTTGTACCTCAACTGGTCGTGCTCCTGTAGTTGACCTCAATAATATGCATTCTGTAGTAAAAGTAGGCGTATCTGTGGATAACAGAGGATAACAGAGAGGAGTGGCGGTTACTACGACAGGGGGGGGAGATGCCAGGAGCATCCGTGGAACCCCTCTTGTTCGTTGATGATTATTTATTCCCCTCTCTTCTATCACAGAAGAAAAAAAAATGGCAAGCTTCCGCAAGTGATGCCTTTTGCGTGTTAAAACCTCGAGATCGGGTTTGCGTTGGTTCACTTCTGATTGTCACTCTGGATTGACGGCCGCTCGTCAGAACCTTCAACGTTTTATTGACGTCACCACCAAGCAACTCCAAGATGTCCTGACCTTAGTGCCGTGCCTGTGTACGAAGGCGTAGCATCCAACGCAGTAGACCTCTTCGCAATCATCGCACAGCCACCTCGCCGCGTACCGTCGGCATTCCACGCAGGTTACCACTAAAGGAGTCCATCTGCGTCGTGATCGGTGTATGAGGGCAACGAAACCAAAAATGTCCTACAGAATCAACCCATCGATCGCACTTTGTCGTTGAATATTGTTGTTGGCAATCTGGGCATCAATGAGCCTCTACAAGTGCTCTTGTAACGCCCGCTGGGCATATTAACCCATGATGTATTGAAGTAGATAACGTCGATGCACCCATTCCTGAGCGTTGAACTGCCTCAGGGATCGCGACAATAAAATAAATCAAACTGTTATACAGGCGAAACTCCCGAGGAATCAATCGATCACAGTTTCTATCCACTGCTGTAGCTTGCAGTATGGAAGGTGCACAGGATAGCTTGCAATATGGAAGGTGCAGAGTAGAAAAGTATGCCGCCGAACGTCGTAAGCCTCAGACGGCCAAGCGCATGCTTTGGATATACTTGTATGTACACCCGCAACAATATCAAGGTGCTGCCACCGCACACACGCGCCGACGGTATATTTGCGATACCATCAGCCACGTGCCTGTGATTCCACCCCTCCTGTTTTCTTGCAGCGGTCAAAGCCCATGCCTTTGCCCCCCCTCCCCCCCCCCCTCCTCTTCCCTCTTCGATCGCGGCGGCCTCTGCCTTGGACAGATTGTCTAGACCCGGGTGTTTGTTGAAGAAGCAAACGTCACAGTACGCGGACGTAGTGCTGGTCTTGAACGTGCAAGTCTCGCAAATTCGGGTGGCCTGCATTCAGATTATTACCGTCACGAGGCGCAAGTGCCAGGCGGGTGGAGATAAAGACGTTCGTTGGAAGGAGAGACGTCCGACCACCATCGGCCCTGATTGTTTCAAGTTGAAGGAGACAAAACGGTGTTTCCACTAGCAACGAAGGACGGGTGACCCGTCCTACGTAAAAATAAAAAGGGCATGAGCAGCAGGGAGAGTTTGCAGTGTGACTCCGGAACGTAGCTCGTCTGTTAGAAGATGACTCAAAAAGAAGAGAGAGGGCGTCAACAGCAGCGGAGCGGGAGACTCCCCTGCTGTTCCAAGATATGACTGAATCGCACTCACATGTTGGTACTTGCAAACACAACACATGTGGATGACAGGAGCGACGTGTGCTCGTCGCTTGCCCCTTCCGTGTAGAGCCTGGAAGCACTCTTCGCAGTAACTGTCCCTGCAAGAGGTGCACATCCGCCTCACGGGCCTGACGTCACACACCGAACATATTACCTGCAGATACGTGAACAAAATTTTTCACCAAACCAAAGGGTAAGCAAAGATGGTATTCATACTTTCTTCCTGTAAGTATCGGAGCCGCTGCCAAAAATATCACCGATATCTTCGTATAAACACTCCGTTCGGCATCAAATCGCGATTTTACTCATTCGGGGTTCGCACATTCATTCCGGAGGAGATCCGACAGGCCACCGTCTAATTGGATCTGTCTTAGTTTGCAATATTAAGGCCAAACAGCAAGGGTGTTCGCCTTACCAAATGCTCCGTCTTCGACGTAGCAACCATCATGGCATGCTCGACATCGGCGGCTCCGAACACCTTAGGCTTGGTCCAGGTTGTGACACCCGTTGTAGCGTTCAGCCAGTAAGGTAGGTGCGTCGTCGGATCAATGAACTTGGAGATTTTTGCTTGAGCGAGGCGGATCGCGCGGCAGCGCGCGCAGTACCTCCTTCCAAGAGACTGCGCGCGTGAGCGAGGTCATGTATTGGGAGGTGTTAGAAACGGATTTGCAAGCTATTGGTGAACACGTATTTCGTTCACCTAGCGTAGAAAGCAAGACTGTTGCGGTACTTGTCTTTGTGCCCACTCGCCTGCAATTTGACCACCTCCAGTGACTCTAACGCGGTTCTGGCCACTTTGTCGCTCTCCAGTTGCTTCTGCCTGAATCGTTTACGGCCGAGGTATCCTCGAATTGTCGCCTGAATCTTGTTTGCCGATCGGAACACAAACCTGAGATGCGACGAGACGAGAATTTAGGGAAGGGGAGCGTGGATCTCGCTAGCTGTTCTCCTGGCCCTTGTCGTATGATGAGCATGATAGCCCACCGGTAGACGAAATAAAATCATCCCCTCAGTGTTAGCACTCTTGCATCGTCTTACTGTGCCTACTTGAGGTGTCTGAGTGACCGGGGTTTCTTGTGGGGCCGGACGTCACTCTGAACGGCTATGTACTGCCACCTATTTTTACGCTGCGTACCGATTGGAGAGGCTACTGATGATGCGATACGACGCTATCTTGACCGAAACAATGCGAGGTATCTGAATGGAGCCACCGACAGTACCTCGAACTACCCAAGAAGAAAGCTGGAAACCTTAACTTCAGAGCATAGTGATAGGCTGCTTGGTGATGTTGGATTACCTTTCACCCGCTTTTTGGCAAAACTTGCGGTATTCCGTGGCTCCGGGAGCTTTGAGCACCTTCCCCTCAACCAGCTCCAGCAGCCTCGCGGCCTTGGCTTTGAAAGCAAGGAAGTCACGAAACCGCTTGGTCTTCATCGTAAACCAGCCACAAACAAGCGGTCATGACGGGGGAGAGTGGGAGGGGAGCGTTTCACTGACGGACTGTGAGGCGGCTGACTGTCGATTCAAACATGTCTACGGTTGTCCCGTGTCTTCACCCTTTCCGTCTGCGAGAAACGTGTCAAGCATCACCAGTTGATTGATCGCTCGGATGGTGTCGAATGTAACCAACTCCTTCCAGACTTTGGAAGCACTTCTCAGCGTTCGAGTTTCAGCAACCTTTTCTCCCAAGACGTGGCGTGTAGTTTATCCCGCAAATGCAGGCGAACCCACACTACGTGATCGGGCTCATTTCTTGTCGTCGCTGGGTCCACAACAACAGTCTCAATCACCGATTGTTGTTCTTCACATGTTTGTGTCGTTCAACAATCGTTGTCTGCCACGAGGCTACGTTCGTCGGGTCTTGTCTATTTTACCTGCGCCACATAGGGTCCGACGTCAAACTTGCCGTGGCAATCGCGGTAGTTGTATGAACCTCTTCCAGACTTAAATTTGACTTCTTTCTTACCTTCGGGAAGAGGGTGGCCGCTACCACGTTGAGGGCAGCAGCGAATTGCGCGTACGTGAGGGTCTTCTCGTCTTTGTCCTTGACCTGCGTCATACGAGGCGAGGCGATGTGATAGTCGACGTCGCCATGCCTCCGTTGTGTTACCATCCGTGAAACGAAACAACAAGAACCACATGTGTGTGGGTGGTCTACATTTTCGCGAGTGGTTGAGCATCAGTTTCTGTCGGTGGAAAAGCATATCGGATGAGGTGAAGATACCTATTCCTCCACAGCAGGATGGGGACACATGTGCAGCAAACGGGGTTAGCAATGGTTTCGATCATAGGTTTCGTCGTCGACGTTGGTTGCTGCCTCTTTCTCTTCCTGTTCCTTATTTGTTCCATGTCCTATCTAGTTGGCGTACTACTTTGGGGATAATCGCGTCTCTCAGACGCTGATTTGATGATAGGGGCGTTCTGCAGGGATGTGATAGGTACACGACAGAATCAAATTCTTTTCGTAGAAATAGGCGGTACTCTGCGTTGGCCCGTCAAATGAAAAGTTGGTTGAAGATCACACTCTACCATCGACGGGACGCAATGGATTGCGTTCATTTCAACCCCCCAAACTTGTTCATACTTGTTTAGAATACGACTGCTTCATGCCAGCCCTGGAAACACAAGCGACCCCAAAACGCGCCTATTTGTTGTCGTGGGGTTACGGGCGTGCAACATGCTGAACAAAGGTGATATTGTTGGCATGGACATACATGTACTTGTGTTGTACCCACCCTGGCGAAGACAAGGTCGACATCGGTAGCGAGGAACGAAGAACTAAACACCCCAGGAGTGCTTGCGAACAGCTTGTTGAACGCCCTGCCTTCAAGGCGGAAAGAACCTGATCCTTCTTCTCCGCTCCGTTTCACCGCAATTTTTCTGAAAGTTTCAGGAGGAAAAGAGGGCTTGAGGGTTCGCTCCAGAATGACCAGGCTCGAAGCTGGCGATGGGAGGTGGTACTGAGGTTGGTGACGACGGGAAACCTAAGTTGTTCTCGAGCTCGAGCAGAACAGGTACGGGGGTAAAAGAGGGACGGAAACTCCGAGGCTAGGACCGGTACGGTCATACAAGTCCCTCGGGAAGATACTGTTGGGACGATGGAAGTGAGCCGTAAGCTCACCGGAATATGAACTGTGTGACTCCATCACCCCTGCAGGTCGGCGCAGCGGCTCCCTCCACGATAACCCTTAACAAAAAAAATCGGGGAAGATACTATCAATCACCGGGGCTTGATATCGAAGTGCAGAGAGCCGAGAGTGCTGAGCCGCATTTGTGCAGCACCGCCCCAACGTCGGTGGGTCTTGCTCTCGCCAACCAAGGAAGAAATCAGGGCTTCAGTGTGGACGCTATTCGCGAGTCCCTCGCCTTGGACAGTGAAACCCGTGCAACCGACAACTATATCCTCGAATAGGGTTGCCGCCGTATGATTGTCAGGACGGCCAACGTTTGCCGCTCACACGTAAAAGAGAGCATAGGGCTGCTTCTACCACCACATTGTTCCCATCCGCGCGGGTGGGATGCGGTCAACGACTGCAGTGCCAAACGGTGTGATACGGAATGTATGACACTCCCTGTCGTACTCATCACCACACACCTCAGTCTGGCTCTTTCGACGCAAAAGCGGCTCATTTCCTTGGCCATTGTGGTCATCTCCCACTCGATTTGCTTCGCCTTGACCAGCTTGTTGCGCCGCCGTCTGGCCAGGTATCGGCGTGCGGTGGCTTGTATCGCGATTGCCGGAGCTGATGTCGTGACGGCTTCTCGCCTCACACGAGCTGCCAGAGATCGAGCCTGCAAATATAGCGAACGTAGGGAGTAGGCAAAAATGGGCGGTTGTCAATTTGTTGCAGACTCTACTAGTTTCGTTCGACCACATTTAGGACTTTTGGTTCAAGACAGCTGAGGGTTTGGGGGGGGTTGGATGGAAGGAGGAATTATGGTGCTTATCGTTGAGGTGTGTCGAATGGTTGTATGCTTGTATCGTGATACTTGTAGTCAACAGCCATCCCGAAGGACGTAGTACAGGCTTCAGCGACGGACAAATTTTCTTTCGCGAGTAGTGCAACTTGCACTTGGTGTTGATGAGCAAGGAGACAGCCGGCCGACGGCCCCGTGCCTGGTCTCAATTTGCGATAGCTTGGAGGCGAGATCCACCCCCTAGGTATTGCTACGTCCGGCACCACCGAGAACAAGTTGTTCAAATAAACTACATTGGTAGATAGAGATCCCGCTTAAGGCAACGATCTCCATCACCTGCGCTCCCCGTAGCCTTCGCTGCAGCACAGTGGCAGCCTGAACGCGTTGTCGCCTGTCTGCAGCGGCGCGCTTCCCCAGGAAACCCCTCCAGACCTGAAAAAGAGGCCATAAAGAAAAAGAGGCCATAAAGAAGGACTTCGAGAGCATCTCAATAGCTTTCGTAGCAAACGTTTGCCACCGATATATCGCTCTGCGTCGTAGCGCCACACGCGAACAAAGAACCCATCGTACTTGGCTAGTGTAGCTGAACTCGAACGTTTTAGTCCGGCAATATCGACGTCAAAGTTCCTCGTGAACCAAGTACCCTTGTGAGCGCCTGGAAATCGACCTAACTTTGGCTTGATGTGACTTGACTCACTTTTTGTACCCTGACAGCTCGGAGGCCGTATCGCCGAGACTTGGCCTCCACCCTTGCGCGTCGTCCCCTGAAAACACGCTGGAGGTTGTTTGCTGCCTGGTAGTCCACAACGAGAGAATCAACTAGACAGTATCGTGAAACCATCGAAGAGACGTGGAGTTGTAAAAATAGTGCTGCAGAGAGTCTCCCGACACAAGAGGTAGTCTCGCAGAAATTTGATACCGTTCAAGAGTTTCGTTATGGACTGATACAGAACCACACCTTTCAAGTTGAATCATCGAACGGGCGAGGAGTAGTTGCAAGATACCCGTTCGTTGTCTCAGGTTTTCGAACCAATAATTAAAATTTCCACCGAGTGCACCCGACATAGTTCCTTTTCTGCTTTGGAAGTACAAGCGTCAAACATCAGTGCAACTTGGCATCAGAACACAAAGTTGTATGCTTCGCACCCTGTACTGTGCTTCGCGGCGGGCTTCAGCATCCTGTCGACGTCGTTGAACCCTCATCCGCCGAATCCGCACGACCTTGGTCATGAGAGAGTGCAGTATGACGACGGAGTGAACACGAGCATGTAGGGGGACGCGAGTCACGCGATCGCCGAACCGCGAGTTCTAGCACAGGAACGTGTAGTGGGGGGGGGCTTCGCGCAACTTGGGGTATATTTTGGCAGGAAGGGACCGCCCCAGGCTGTTGCTCTCAAAATTGTCACGTTCCAACTCAGACGTTGCTCGGACACCATCTATGTCAAGCCACAGCAGCTCCATGCTTACTTACTGAAACTTGTGTGGGCCCCCTTCTTTGTCTGCAGTCGAAACCCTAACGCAATCCTCTACCGTGTCAGGCAATAAACACCTGTCTGTGAAATCGACACCAGATTCGTAGACGAGAACAGCCGACTGCAAGTTCGTACGGCAACATCAAGGGTCAATATCAGACCTGTCGGTGGCTCCTGAACAACGCCTGAATCTTGGTGGCAGCTTTTCTGTCCGTCGACTCCTGCCAAGGGTTAATTGCTCGTCTCTTGTCGGCCAGCAATATCTGTTACATTGGGATTCAAAAGAGGAAAGGTTTGCTGCGTTTGTCGCCCTTGGTAGAAAGAACGACACCCACGAGATGTTCGCAAACGCCTCGAGCAGACTCCATAGCTGTTATCGTAGCAGTCAGCACTCCCGTGCGCTCGGGCAACTGCAGGCGGTAGTGGAAGAGGCGCGTTGATCCGATCATGGATCCGAAGAGTGACACGATCAGCGATGGCCGTTGTACGAGATTGAAGAGTGGGTAGGATAGAGGTATCATTCTGATACAGAAAAAGGACATACCAACACAGGGTACGCCTATACTTCCGACATAAGTGTTGAACTGTCAACGATGTTTAGTCGACTAATAGACGTTCGTAGATTCGTGCTGTGCTCGAGACAATTTAATCCAATCCTGGTATTCACGCAGATTCTGTTGAGGTACGGCCACTAACGGCTGTTGCGAGATGCAATTAAGCCTCTTTTCTAAGGTGTTCCTCAATAACCGGTCCCTGCACACCACTCTTGCAACTTTTCGGTACGATTTCCACTCCCTGGGTGGTTGGGCGCGGTGTTACCTCTGAGGAGGTTCGCTACGCCAAAGCAGGAAAGAGCAGCACGTGCCAAACCTTGAGAGCGACAGGATCGATGATGTAGGGCATCCCTTTCCCCTGGGCGGACAGTACGGCCCCTTCCCGTGCTGCAACAGCCTTGATCCTCGGTACCTCTATCGTGCGGTTCCTCAAAGCACGCTCCGCGTCCATGGTTGACACCAGCTGCTCTCTGGTAGATATGATAGGTTTTAGGATGGTTGGGAGCCGAGAAAATCGAATCGCTATGTTCATGAGCAGTAACGTCCTTGTTTCAAGCGCAAAGTTGTTGGCTAGTGATGTCGCATGCAATCCAGAAGATGTGTTTCCCGGAGGCGGGGTTTGCCTCGCAGAATGTGCGATGCTTCGATAATTGAACATGTAGGGGCAGATGAAATTCCATTTAGGGACTCTTTTCCTTGAATCGTAGCCATCAGCAGTGTTCTCAGACTGTACCCCCAAGACCTGGATTGGGCGCATGTGCATACCATGATATGTATCTCAAGACTCAAATACTCCCATTCTTCCTCACTTTGATCGTTGGAAGCGCCTCTCGTCCACCCTGTTCCAAGCGATCTTCCGCCTGACGATACTCTGAATTTTGATCGCGGAGGCTATTTCATCCGCGTATCTTTGCGACAATGAAGCGTCGTCATCACCATCACCATCACCATCACCATCAAACAACAGCGTGAACGTCGGGAGTGGGGCGGGGGGCAGTGTCCGACTTTAGTGTCGTGTGTTCGACTTGTGACATCCCACTCAATCCGTTTGAAACAAAGCACTCTATAGGCGAGTCAAGATAACTGCGTGGCCCTAGACCGCAAGCAATCTTTGATGTTTGGTTGGGAACGCAGACGGGCAGAAGCTTCGCAGAATGACTTGCACGGGCGGGTTTCAACTGAACCCGAGCATTTGTTCCCTTCAAGAACAGTAATCCAGGTCAGCCCTTCTCAATATGAAATGCTTTGTACAGATGAGGCCAACCTTTCCCTCCGCCTACCAATCTTGTCGAGGTTGTGAAACGAACTCAGCAGTGCTAGCTCCTACCTGATCAAGAATGCCTCCTTCCTCTTGTGCAGCTCCTTCTTGGCGAGATAGACCCTCGCGGCGCGCTGGATTCGGATTGCTCGCGTACGCTTGCCTATCCGTACGAGGGCGCTGAGGTTGCGTTTCAGCACGCGCGACCGCCAGACGGCCTGTATCCTGGTCACAGCCCCCTCTCTCCGAAAGCGCTCCTGGAGATTTCCACACCTTCACCAAGTGCGGTGCGGACAGAATTACAGCTGTAGCGTAGTACTGGTATTCCGACAGGATTGTGCATCAAAAGACATGTTCTTTTACTGGATACATCGCTGGAGCGCATGGCATGAAGCGTTTTAACTGTGAAAAGCGAGGACCAGAAGCAGAGATATAAGACTCCAACGAAATATAGCATCCACGTGTTAACAACACTACTTCTAAAGTACACCCCACACTACCAGGGTTAAAGTAGAGCGGGTTGGTGGTTGACGTATGGCAGACGGGGATTTCTCCCACCTGCAGTAGCTACTGAGCGATTGTGCAGGTGCTTCCGACATACCCATTGGGCATATATTATAGCACATAAGTTGAATGTGGTAACCTTTTTTCAAACAGAGCCTCCCGCCTAGCTTGGGCTTCCACTTTGGCAGCAACCTCCGCGCGAAGTTTTTCTCTGAACTCTCTTTCACGTTGCTCTTCTTCTTCTTCAGCTTCTCTAACGCGTCTTTGCTCCTTCCGCCATCTCCGGGCGCGAGCACGAGCGTTCTTTTGCCTTTAGGCGTACGAAAAGTACCGATTCAGCATAAATGTGTGAAGCACGACGCAGATTGTCAGAGACGGAGAGTGTCATGCTATTCCATGTCAACATCGTGGCACATTGTAGCATTGTGAGGTAGGCGGAAGAGATGCCTTAGAATTACAGGACATCCGTCGCAGACGAGCGGCTCGAATATTCCATTTCAATGGAGATCTAATGCACAGTGCTTTAGGCGGCTTCTGTAGGCTACACCATAGCGACCGATATTGAAAAAGGTGAGGTTACTTCGACGTCGGACAAGTTAAAGAACGTCACGGGTGTACCACATAAGGGCAAGTGATAATCGGCTGGCTTTCTGTTTGTCCATTAAAGACAGAACGACGAAAGTTGTTCGGTATGAACGGTGGCGTACTGGAGCGGCGTGCTACGGAAGTCGCGTATCGCAACCCTTACCTCACAGCCCGTTGCACCCTGCGTGTGGCCTGCAACAGGCACCGCCTCCGTTGCGCTCGTCGGCGACCGCTCTCCCCACGAATCCACCTCTGCAGCGTCAACGCTTGATTTTGCCTGCGTTGTACAACTCGTTCCACCACACGCTTGGCGTGTCGGTCCTGACATGAGCATTTTTAGTTCTTATCGTTGAGTCTTGTCCAATGTTCGGTTTAAGGGACGCAGCCGCAAGGTAATGGCGGGCCAGTGTGTGCCAGCTTTTGAAGCAACAATCGACGGGAAAGTTCTCACAGCTGACCACTGCTTTGTGCCTTGTTCGGAAGCGTACAGAAACGTTTTGCATCGTATCTCCTACTGGTATTGTGCCATATCCGATACGTTAAGGGTAGGGGCATTCCCCGTGTGGCGTACTCGGTCTTTTGCCGCACAGAACCAACGACTGCGCAACAACCTTATTGCGGCTGGACCTGAGCGTTTTCTCTCACCTGGTTGTCTCTGAGTCTTCGCCTTTCCGCAGCTTCCGTGATGGCTAGCGTTCGCCGCAAAGAGCGTTGAATAAGCACTGTCGCACCCAGATACCCCGCGAGTACGCTTTCTCCAGACACAGTCTTGACGGCGCGGTGGATTTGGTTGGACGATGGAAAACTGTAGTCAGGACATGCAGTGTCTGATGGTGTACTCACCTTCCACAATCCGAAAGCATTAATATAGAAAACGTAAGCGTTCTCTTCTTGTACGTATATGCTCCGATCGTATTCTCAAACCCATCAAGATTACCCGGTGTTTGTGCACATCACGTATTCTCTCTTCCACAGCTACGACGACGTAAGCCCAATAACCTAGTAGCCTTGTGTCTCGGATCAAAGAAAATAGCACGTCGTTTCTCACCTTCCATTTACGAAAGGCCAGGAGCAAGAACTCCTTCTGGGCTCTGAATTGCATCGACGAGAACAAGGTCTTGGCTAGGTCCCTGAGAAGAACATTCCCCTTTGCACCCAGTTCGTCCGCCGCCCTTTCCTGCTGTACCCCTTCATCCGTACTACCTTGTTGTGTTCCCCGACCAACAGCTAATGCATCCGCACCCTCCATTTTCGTGGTATGTTGCAGCCGCTGTCTTTGTGCGGCTCCTATTGCGCGCAACTCCCGAACAGAGAGAACGGAAGGGCTGCCGGATCGCCGAGCCTCAACTTTGTCCTCCGGCTCGCCCAGAAGGGTACGCAACCGGCGCAGATTGTCCGCGAGATCCTCGCGATGCTGGGACTCGTCTACCCCGATGACCTTCATGCGTTCGCTCATTTCTAGACCCTCTTCGCTTTCTTCTGCCGATGCTCCTGCTGTTGTTGCTGTTGCTGCCGGTTCACTCGGGCCTCGCCCATTCGAGCGTCTTATCTTGGTTGTGCTACGGCTGAAAGGCGAACGTTTCGGAGAACCCGTGATGGGCGAGCTAGAGTCCAACGGGTCTTGAAAACAAGACGGGCTAATTGTCGGAAGAGTTGTCGTTTTGTCCGGTCTTAAAAGTCCGGCCAGGACACCGTTGCTGTGTTCGGTAAGGCTTTTTGCCACGGCCGTGCTTTTGGCGGCCGCCAGTACCTCCGTTCGACTGGTGATCGTTGCCGTGAGATCGTCTATGTCAGTTTCGACTAGGCCCACTTGTCTGCGGCCGATGGTGGAGTACAGGCCACCTGGTTTTTTTCGGTCGAGCTTCTGCGCCGAAAAGTTTCTGGCGGCTTGTTCGACGCGCTGTGGCAGCAATGGGAGCGCGTGAAGCCCGGAAGTAGCAAGGCGGCAGGGGGGCGTACGAAATATCATACAACCGCAACTTGGCGGAAAACAATCACCCTATGAGTATGAAGAATACAACAAGATAGTTGCGATTTCACATGGACACAAACATTGTCCTTACGCCATGTACCATGAGTGAACCACCGTCGAACGCCAGTATAGTAACAGTTGGAAGAAACAGGATTGGGCGCATCTACCTGAAGGTTCTCAAGTTCGCTTTCTTCCGGCCGAGGAAGGCGCCGAATTCTCTTTGACGTCCTAGGAGATATGAGGCTTACTACTGCTGCGCCGGCTGAAATTGGGCGCGGCGGGTAGTAGTCGAATGAATCGTGTTCGCACGGAGATTTCGTTGAGCACCGCAGACTCGATCGAGAGCTCGATCTTTGACCATCATTGTTGTCATGTAGTGTCGACGATGATGCCAACACCGCTGTAGTGAGAGCCTCGACATGACGTCCCAGAGTGTCATAGCTTTGGCTCGGCCTGGTCTCTGGAGTCTGATTCGTCTTGCTCCCACCTAGCACGAATCCAATGCTGCCTTCACCTCGTCTTTGGAACCTAGTGCCCTCTTCAAGCAGAACGGTACGCCCACCGCTTGTATGCGGTGACCCGTCATTTTGTGCCGTTTGGAGTTTTTTTCCGTCACCATTCGCTCGGCTATTCTCGACAGTTTTCAGTCGGTCGAGCTTGTGCTCTAGCTCTTCTTGCTTTGCCCTAGACGTCCCGATATTTCGAGCCCTCTTCGTGTTAGGGTATGGTCTCTTGCCGAGACGGCCGACAGCAGCTGAGCCGCTCAGTGCCAAGGGAGCACGCGCGCCGCCGTGGCCAAATGCCCTTGATGAACAAGCTCCATGGTTCACGGATAAGTATGCCTGTTTGCACGCGGTGGACCGAGTACACGATGGTCGCTAAGAATACCTGGAGAGTACCACAACGCACATTATTTGCTTTGTAGTTAATCATGGAAGTGTATACGAGTAGTAACATTGCTACCCAAACCCTTACACCTTTGAGAAACAAATCTCCGACACTTTGTTGTACGGCAACTACTGCTGTACACAGCAGTACAAAGGTACATAAACAAAACAGCAATATTGTGTATACTATGACTCCAGTCAATGAATGCACTGTTAATTGTGTAACCTGTACGATCTCGTCTGCCTCTTCAGCGGGATCGAGCACGTGTTTCGCCGGCAGCTCCTTCTTTACGGGGCCCACGCGCCTTCGGCTGGCGAAGTCGTCGAGGAGCTCGTGGTATGAACAACTGTCATGTTCAAGCCTCGACAGACGGTCTAGGATGCATGGTAGCGTGACCTCGCCATCAAGGTCATCGCAACCGGCATGCTGACGAACCCGAACCTCGGCGGTAGCAGCCATTGTACATGCTCCTCGAGAGGGCGCGAAGCGCACTTGTGCAGGCAACAGAGGAACAAGGAACAGGGAATAAGGACCATGAGCTGACCGTGAGACCGTGCAACATTCGTGACTCGTGACCGGGTGGCCGTTTTTTTTTTGTTCCCTTGACGCTGATTGGCCGAAAAAGTGACAGTCTCAAGCCTCTCGGTTCCCCTCTTCCCTTCTCATGTCGCACGTCTCATGTCCTGCAGCATTTGCGAGGGCTCGGTCGGCCTCTTGCTCACGTTTTCACCGTCAAATCACACCACTGCCTGAGTCACCAGATCCCCGTAGGAGTACCTGTAGAGAATGCAGATCGTTAGACCTCGTGACCTGTGTACCTCTTTGCTTGTTGCAAGCAGACCTCATCGACACGCGGTACGGCAATGTGCGAGAAGACCACGCGTACAGTGGTTAAGTGGCGCCGACTCTTACTCCCTGCCCAAGTCAAAAGGGTTGCCCTATCGGTTGCTCCAGCATGCTGGGGGAATCGAGGTGTCACTTCCAGAGCAACGCCGCTTTTTTTCGCTGAGGGGAGGAGGGAGCGCAGGTGGAATTTCATCGAGGAATGCCCGAGTGGTGATCGATGTGCAAGGGCTCAAGGTTTGGTGCTACATGGTACATGTAGATACGCCGTTCGGGCGTTGGACTCTGCGCACACGGTTGTAAACATATAACTCCATTTGGTGTTGGGGAGATATCTATCGAGGGGTCCGATGCCAAAGAAGGACGATTTGTGCTTGAGTACCGGCGAGACCAATCATAATGCTTGGTTTGAACGCAAGCAAGTTTGGCATTCCCCGTGCAAGTTGAACGCGTCTGTTTACTCTCCCCAGTCTTACGAGTTAGTGCCTGCGTGCCAGCCGCCAACCTCACGTTTTCGTATTTCTGTGCACCACGCCTTGCAATATGCACACCAAGTGATGTACACCACCATTCTTCACGTTTTGTAGTGTATTCGACGTGTTTGCACTACTGCTGTGCCATGGTGTGCGGTGGAGTTCCATGGCGTCCTACGATGTGCCGTCACGATGTGCCATGGTGTGCCGTGGTGTCCCATGGCGTCCCATGGCACGGTCCATCGACCTGTCCATACTTTGTCCAAATAGTATATATGGTACGGTTGGGAGTGTCTTGGATGATTTCACATCGCATTCGGCGTGATCCGATCCTGCACCTTACGTCGTGAGTCCCGTTCAAATCTCTGGAGTGTTCATCTGCCCTGTCCCGCAAGAAATCAAGGACAAAAGAGGACACCCACGTACATATCGCCATTATTTCTAACGAATCCTACTCCAACGTTCTGCCGGTTGCAGTGCGGAGGGTGTGTGTCGAGGGGAGAGGCGGCTTTGAAGGGGGTGCCAGGTGTGGGAGAGGCCACCATCAACCTAGCAACAGGCACCGCCACTGTTTCACTATCCGGTAAGAAATATGTCGCAGGTCAAATACTGTCGGTTCGAACAAAATGATGATGTGCGCCAGCACTGCTTTCAGAATTGAATAAGCCCTTAGCAGTGGCACGCGGCCTTGTTGGAGTTGGAGGTCAGACGAGGCTGCTCAAATGGCTAGTTTCGTGCTGCACGCACGCACTCGGAAGTTTTCGAAGAATGACTCGAGGATTTTCACGCCGTCACTTCATTTATGTTGCGCCTTAAGGTGCCACAGATGGAGGAGGAACCCCCGTCGCCACTCCAGCGGATCTCGTAGCAGCCCTCGCTTCACAAGGATATGCCTCCGAAGTCGTGCGGATCATCTCGGACCTGGAAACTGGGAACCAGCAAAGCGTATCGAGAGGGGAAGAGAGGTGCGGCCTGACCCTGAATGCCATAACATCCGCGCTTGTCCGAAATACGAGAAGATGAATAATTTCAGTTCAGTTGGTGGTGGTGGTGGTATGCGAAGACTAAAGCAACGTCCGTCATAACTGTTTTTTGTCTCCGCCCGTCTGTATGCGTCGGAACAAATCTCATGCAGTGAACATCCTCACGACAGCATTCTCTCTTCCTCTTTCTTGTCTTTTTTGTATCTCTTTTTGATCCATGTTGTGCACAAGACCTTCCCATACCTTTTCGGCAGCGGTTCGTGGATGCGACAGTAAACCAGCCCCGAGCCAACCGATCAGTAGCTTTACCCTATTTTGTCCTTTGCATACATCTCCCTCGTTGCCGCTATGCAGTATGCGCCTTCCCCCCGCCTTCTCTGCCACGACAGGGAAGCCATCACGCCTGCACAGCGCCACGAGCGGGAAGCAGCGGAATCCCGACGGCGTGTCCAACTAAGCATCCTTCTCCTTGCAGTCTCTGCTACGGCGCACCTCGGACATCACGCTCATCACCTGCTTCCACTGGGGCATGTCCCGTTCTTCTCGTTGTTGCCAGCGGGGTGGTTCGATTGGCTTCAGGCCGGGGTTGCCACCGCAGCGTTGGTTGGGCCGGGTAGGTCGTGGGCACGCATACTTGCACCTTGTGTACTTGTTGGGGGCGGGCTGTCGCTCCGGTAGTAGAACAACGACCAGGGCCCTTTGAGATATTGTTGTACAGTGCGATTTGATTCTCCTCTGTTTCGCGTAGGATTGTCATGTGTTTGGCTGGAAAGAACTGCAAGAACCCATGGAGTGTTGACGTCATGCATATACCAGTCCACCCGTCGCCCCTTCACCCCACCATCGCGCTGACCGGCTGTTGAAACAGGATCGAATCTTATCAAGTCGGGATTGGCATCGCTACGACGGTTGTCCCCCGACATGAACTCCCTAGTGTCGACGGGAGTACTAGCGGTGTACCTGTCTTCATTGGTCTCGTTACTGAAGCCATCTCTCGGACTAACGGCGACATTCCACGAACCGGTACGCAACCGTTTTGAGACAAAGCTTAAGTAGTCGAAATGGGGAGGATTTCAGGGGCACCGCAGCAGAGGTTTTGGCCACTGTGGCCAGGTTGGTGTGGTGCAGACATCAAAGATTTCTCTCCACCCCATGATTTTCCTCGACCACAAGCTCCATGTTGTTCGTTTAAGGTTATCTCGTTGTTTCGAACAGCTTCAAGTATTCTAGTAATATTCCGGGGCACAACATATCCTATTCTTTGGTTCAAGCTAGCGACCGCTTGCGAGGATCGTCCGCGTCTGGGTGCCCTAGTACAGCGGCGAAAGACGCATGTAGGATGCTGATCACCTGTTACCTACCCAATAAAAGCATTTTTTCGAAGAGATATTTCTTTCGTTCCCGAAGTCTTTTTGGATCCGTACACCTGTGTCGCGCTTTCGGTTTCGATAGGTGATGTTGCTTGGAGCTGTTCTTCTCGGCAGGAGCTTGGAAGCCAGGCAGCGGCTAAAAGCCGCGAGGGGGCTGCAGAGTCTCTTCGACATCAGGCCCGACAAGGTGGATAGGACAAAGTAAAGGCGGACGACGTCATCCAAGTGGTTGGATAGCCTACCAACGCCATTGGTAGCAACCTCAATATCATTAAGATGCCAGCGAGAGTAAAATGTTGAAAGTACGGATACGAGGTCCGGTAGGATGGTTGGCTGTTTTTTCTTTGCCCCCCCTCAACAGCAAGTCGGGGTCGAACGTATACGCTAGTGTTTGTTAAAATTGCTTCCTCAATATGGTTCAAGTTTGCTTCATTTGGTTGAGTCGTGTGCCTGATTGAACAATACTATCACGTACGCTGACCTCAATAGGTACTCTACGACAGCGGTCGTGGTGAGACGAGAACATGACATCATGATAGACATTTTCCTTTCCCCCCCCAGCCTTCTCTCCCTCTTCTTCTCGTAGCTTCCCAACCGCAAAATTGCCGCTTTCCAGCAGGCCGAAGTCTCAACCTCTGAGCTTCGCCAACCACAAACACATCTCTTTGTGCTCACTCGTTTGTGCGTTTCGTCCATCTTGCCTCCATAAACTTATCCCTGCGGGGCAGGCACGAACCGTCGACGCCGGCGGCAGAGTGAAGGATATCCCAGCGTCAAGGGTACGCGTTGGTGAGGCGTGATGGTCGTGATTGTTGCAGCAGGGGATAGAGTCTCCGGGACCTGTCTGCTGTTTACGCCACGCGCGTCCACCCTTGTACAGAAGATAACCCTCGCGTCGTCGTGAAACGTGTCTTATATCTCGTACAACTGAAAGTAGCGTGGCTTACTGTGTCTGTGTACGGTGGGTGCCATCACCCGGTGCACCGCATTCGACTCTCTGACTCTCCGCCCTAGAATATTTTCGGTTTCGACCACTCTTTTGCGTCCTGGACCCAAACCACCCCTCAACGATAATGCTGAAACGTACTTTGCAAGCCGCTGCAGACGGCATGATAGCGCCCTCCGTTTCGTTTAGTGACTACTCAACCAACCTTAATCTAACCAGCCAATGAAATGGTGCGCATATATTTGGTAGAATTGCCAACCGGTATGGTGTTTGCTGCGGCTTTCACAGGTGACACGGTAGAGGTGCTCCCAAGCGATCGATTTTCGGTGGACGGCGTGATTCTCGAAGGCCGGACTGCGGCTGATGAGTCCTCTCTGACAGGTGGATGTCCGATCTCTGGTTCCTAGCCAAGTTTTCCTTCTTCTGTTTTTGGTTTCCTCAACGCGCACTGCTGTTGATATTCAATTGTTCTATTGTGCAGGATGGTGGTCACGTCGCATTCTCGATCATCTTTCCGTCGAACGTTGGGTGTCTAGACTGTATACTCTACTCTGCAAAAAGCCTACAAAAAGGTCGTTTTGGCTGCTGCTTCGCATGCGTTCTGCCACAGGAGAGCCGATCCCTGTTCCAAAGGGGCCTGGAGACGCAGTGAGGGCGGGAACCCTGAGCATGGGTGACGGCGGTGCCGTAAGGGTGAGGGCCACGGCTACCGGAGCGCAGAGCGTGCTTGCTTCGGTGATCGCCCTCGTCGAGGATGCCCAGGTGTGTTGTCGGTTGTGGGCTGTCGTTTGATTGGCTGTGCTAGCTAGCTGTTGGTGCGGGCGTTTGTGCGTCGTTCGTGAGGTGAATTGAGGCGAATTGATGGGATTTGGGTGGGCTGTATTTCGGACGGCCGTAAACCAATCTGTTTCGTTTGTCCACGGCGTTTTCGCTGCTGTTCTCCTTGTGGCGTGTCGTGTACATCCAGGCGTACCCGCCCTGCATCTATTTCTGTCAAGCGCACAACAACGTGGGACTACTACTCGAGCAGACGGATGATAGGATTTTCACGAACCACACAACACATACCCGTCAAGTTAGTCGACCCACACCTCCCCCGTCTCCTTCCTTCCCCACGAAAACGAGTCCTCCATCGAAACTCCGCTCACGGGCATGCTGACCGTGGAAACGGCACTGATGATGACGACGACCAAACGAAAAACCACCATTATCACACCATTATTCAGGCCCGCAAGGTCCCCGTGCAGCAGCTCGCGGACAGGATCGCCGGGAAACTCACCTGGGTCGTCTTCGCCGCATCGGCATCGACGCTCGTCTTCTGGGGTGCCTTGTCTCCGTCCCTCTTGGGCCTTGCAGCAGGGCCGGCGGCGGCGGCATCTACGGCAACACCGTCGTATCCGGCTCTTGCTGAGGCTCTCGCAGGGGGCTCCCCGTGGGTCCTTGGGTTGCGCCTAGCGGTGGACGTTTGCCTCGTGGCATGCCCTTGCAGTTTGGGCTTGGCGACACCTACTGCGATCATGGTAAGCAAGGGGCATTGGAGAGGTGGGTTTTAGGCAGCTGCGATAGGGCGGTGAGGTATGTGAGTCTATTCACGATCATTGAACCTCAAACATGTGCTCTTTTGCACAGGGATGCAATAGCATACTGGGGATAATTTGTTTTGACGTACCCGCTTCGTCTGGATGTTTTTCTGGAGGAGCATGAGGTCTTATGCCAGTGTTAGTTTCGTCCCTTGCGTTTCAGTTAATCTGTACCATTGCGTCCATGCAAGGGGCACAGGCATCTTGCGAGATAATGGCATCGATCGACAGTTGCAACAAACCTCTACAGGTCCTGGGAATCATCTGCACGCAAACTTTGCAGCAACTGAAATATCGCCTCTGCTAGCCCCTCGGCTGATTTCGCAGTCTACACACCGATTACTTGGTGCATGCAGTTGATTTGGTCTTTGGTGGTGCTCAAACAAGGGTCTTTCATGTTAACACCCCAGGTGGGGACTGGCGTGGCCGCAGAACGCGGACTTCTTCTCAAAGGCGCAGACGTCCTAGAGACAGCGAGGAAGGTGAGTTTTTGTACAGTATTCTTTCACTCCGTGCTTCGGTGCGGTGCGGTAGTGTAGCGCAGACTGGTTCGACCCTCTCACTCGCTTATGGTCGATCAAGGTTATGAACTACAGTTCAAACTTCGTTTGGGAATCCCGCGTTGTTCCCGCTATTACCGCATCTACTCTTGGATTGTATGTAATGTAACGGGCGTATCGCGGGTGTGTGGTACAATATACGTATGACAAAACGTGACAGTCCGTATCCAGTTTGAAGATTATTGTTTTAATTCTTCCCGTCGGACGGGCTCAACGCTCCTAGCTGAGTGCGAAAGTTGCGGGGCGTTCTACTCGTATTTCCTAGACTAGTCTCCATAAATGCTTTTGCGCCGGTTTACATACCGTATGCAAGACACAAGAAAACACCCCCCGGCGATGGCGTTTGGGATTACAAAAAAGAAATCACTGGGTGGGTGTGTATTGTGTGTGTGGGTATGGTATCTTATGTTGACCTGTTCCTTGATCTGAGAATAGGTGTAATGTTCTATGTCAATGTTAGCAATATTACCTATGGGTGTGGTAATTGTTTGTGAGGGTGTTGTTTTATCTGATGTGGGTGTGTTGTCTTTGTGTCGTATGCTATACGGCGGTAGTTTCGCCTGTTTCTGACGGCCGACTTTCGCTCGTGTTGGCGTCGGTCGTGCTGCGCAGGTGACCACTGTGGTGTTCGACAAGACGGGCACGCTCACTCTCGGAAGGCCTTCCATCACCGGTGTGGTTAGTCTGGACCGGGAATGGGACAAAGGGAGGGTAAGCTTTTGGATGATATAGTATTGTGTGGTCTTGGTGTGGTTGCGTTCGGCTGGTGAACTTCCACATGCTGCTTTGCGTTAGCACCGAACCGGTTGACACCATGAGATACCGTGCACTGGACTCCGAACGAGTTCACTCTCTCGCTGGTTGGCCGCATTCGATGCAGGTTGCAGAGAACGGACGGTGTCCCGTTGAGATATGATGATGACGTTGTGCGTTACCAGCTGTGAAATGCAACATGCCTTTGTTTGTGTGTCTTTAACCCCCCCCCCGGCCTGGCTTGGAAGATACGATCGAAACAGTCGCCCAACCAAAAGCGAACGTCAATGGTTGAGCTTCGCGACGTCGCTCCCCTCCCCACTCCGTCAGTGCGGCTGTGCGTATATCGGAAACTTAGTGGTCTCAATGGACTCGGCTACCACGAGCTGTTGTCTTGCCACAAAAGCACGCCGTGATCGAGGAGGGTTTGTAAGCTAAGGCGGAACGGCAGTAAGATTGTAGGTCCCCTTTGGTGCCCCGCATCCCTGTTGTCCCGTCTTGACACGGACAGATCCTGGAGGTGGCGGCGGCGGTAGAGAGAGGCTGCCGGCATCCCCTGGCAGAGGCCGTGGTACTGGCTGCGCGAAAGGAGACGCTCGGGGAAGCATCTCACCTAGAAGCGGAGGATCTTCGGACCGTGCCCGGTATGGGTGCTAGCGCACGGGTGGGTACTCTGCAATCGATTTTCATGCAACTCCCACCGAAACGTTGTTGTGTCAGCGCAAAGGCACCCAGGTGAATGAGGCACATTTGGCAAATACGGGCCGTTGGTTGTGGTCCTTCCGCCGACCGCGCTTGGTTGGACCAAAGCTCGAACACACCACGCGACGCCAAACCAACGGACACCCACCCATGAAATATGTACGCGCGCGTGCATTACGTCGCCTGCATCGAAAACTGTGTGAAACGAGTTTTAGTTCAGATCAACGAAAAAGCGCCCATTGGTGGTTGTTGAATCCCCCCCCCTTCTTGGCCCTAAGGTGAAGCTTGGCGGCGGGGGCGACGACAGAACGAGCGCTGTCCACGTGGGCAGTCCCAGGTACATGAGGGAGGCCGGGTTCTTCACCAGTTCGCATCGCGATGCTTCTTCCTCTAGGCTTGATCCTGTCGTTCGACGGCTTCTGTCTGACGACGACACCGAAGCTGGTGCTGGTGCTGGTGCTGGTGCTGGTGCTGGTGCTGATGCTGATGCTGATGTCGGTGTCGGCGTCGGTGTTGTTGGGGAGCCCGAAAGCGACCGCAAGGAGTCAAGCGCTGCTCTATTGGTGAGCGTTTTTTGGTGATATGCAAGATAGATGTGGGGAGACACGATACGACGCAGTGGCTGGCGTCTCCCACGGTGCAGTCCCTCCGAAACTTTGCCTTCGCATCCATGTGTAGTGCTGTCCACTATTTTTCGTCTTCGACTAAATCGACTCGATTCGACTCAATCCCGTGAGGCGCCCGCCAACACTCGTGCAGTTCGAAGCACATGCATTGTCTCGAAGGCGTCCAGCATTCCTCCCTTCCATCGTGAAGAGAGCTTCCTCGCATCAAGCCAGATTCTTCCGACGATGACGTCGCTGACCGCACGAAGACAGCATGCATCGGGCGTTTGGTTTCTTCACACAGCAGCCGCACAACGGGGGCCCTCTGCCGCTCCTTGCTCTTCTTCTCCACGCAACAAACGCACTCCCCTTTGCACCCGGCCCCTGTCTTTCCTCCCCTCGCTCCCAAACCGACCAGCACGACGTTTCGCAGCGCCTGGCAGACGGACAAAACACGGTGGTGGTGGTCGCTGTGAACGGCCGACCCGTCGGCCTGCTGTTTGCGGCGGATTCCATCCGTCCGGCCGCCTCCGATGCTGTGGCTTCCCTCGCTGAACGGGGTCTCAGCGTGAGGATAGCGAGTGGCGACCGACGGGAGGCCGTGTGGGCGGCGGCCGCGGCGGCTGGGGTACCGCAGGAGGCGGCAAGCTGGGGGGCGGCTCCAGGTGAAAGCCGGGGCGTATCGCCGACGTTGATGGACGTGTTGGGATGAGGTGCTGTTGTTTTTGCAAGGACCACTCGTCAAGGCCGTTGGCGTTTTGTTGCTTTAACTCCGGGAGATGAAGGAGTACGGCGTTGCCTACACGTGTCTTGGCAGATGGGTTGTATTGGTAGCTGCTGCTGTAGTCCCCCGTCACTCGGTTGCAATTTAAGTTGGTAGAGACGATGTTTCTGCGTTTTTTTAGCTGTTATGGTATGTGTTGAGAGTTACTCCATTGTCGGCTCCCGAGATGTTTGTCCTCTCTAGCAGAGCATGAGTCCTCCAAACGAAACGATCAACCAACGCCCCCGATCCCGCCGTGTTGGTTCTTAGTTTCCTCCGCCCGCATCACCGCTCCCCGCCTTACTTCCAGCGTGCGCGTCCATATACAAACAACCACGATGATACCGGAACATTACTTTACGCGTTCTGATGCAGTGGATAAGGTCTCCCTGGTGAGATCATTGCAGGCTCGGGGTGAGGTGGTCATGCTTGTCGGCGACGGCGTTAACGACTCTCCGGCTCTGGCCGCGGCGGATGTTGGTGTCGCGCTGCGGGCCGGGACGGGGCAGGCGATGGAAACCGCCGATGTCGTGCTCATGCGGGATGACGTTTGCGGCGCAGGAACCGCGATCGATGTCAGCCAGCTGACTATGCGGAAGGTGCTGCATAGTGATTGTCTGTCCGAGTGAGAATTCGGTGGTGTGCATGTAGCGGCGGAAAGTTTAGGGATGTCTCACACTTGATGCGGGCATACAGCAGTGTTGCCTGTCATCTTCTGCGCTCCTCATTGACGGGTAAGGGGGGGGCGAACACAACTGCGGTTGTTGTCGCTCACAATTTCGGTTTTTGCTGGTCATGTTCAGAACCTATGAGGCAGGCAGGTGCCTACCGCTCTTCTTGCCGTAACTAGCTGCACCGCGGTTTTTGTAAACTTTCTTGGTCGATATATTGTAGTCGCTTGAGAGCAAACTACACGTGATGATATATCCCTCTCCACGATTCCCATTGGTTTCCGTTGCACCGTGCGGTTTCATGTCGTCAACAGGTGCGCGAGAACCTCGCGTGGTCGCTGGGGTACAACGTCTTGGCGATACCGCTAGCGGCCGGCGCCTTTCTTCCTGGCTGGGGCGTCATGCTGTCGCCCGCACTTGCGGGGGCAATCATGAGCTGTAGCTCGGTGGCCGTCGTGACGAACTCGCTCTTGTTGAGAAGGACGCTTGCGCGAGAACTCAACACGAAGAGGAAGAGGAAGAGGGGGGGATGGATAACCTCCAAGTAGCTCCCCTTTGCTTGTGCATTTTTCCGCTCAGCGAGCTTGGCGGATTCGATTGGTGCAGGAACTGCAACGAAATGGCCACAGAGCAGATTTGCCAATGCTGAAGCTATGATGCGATCTTGAAACTCGAGGCAAATGTTGGTAACGTTTACGTTGTTGGCATTCGTGTACGCCGACAGGCATACACCGCTATCACACGGACGGACTAAAACAGGCTCTTTGCAGTGGCTTCCTCTAGGAAGTGGAGGGGACGTTCGGGCCGAACCCGTCCCTGCTGCGACCAATCGTTTGGTTCAAGAAAGATGGTTGTCGCCGTGGACATGAAAGGTCACGCCGTGGTCACCAAAGGATTCGAGAGCGGCGATTTCGCCCGAAAGCCCGCTGTCCCTTCCTAGACAGACCCAAATCCACCGCAGCCCTGCTGCCATCTCGCCGAAAGCGGCTGGATCCATGCTACCGCCTGTCTCTGGTTGTCCCGAAAGCTCGATAAGTCCCGGTAGAGCCTCTCCCACCTGCGGCGGGACCGTTCCCGGACCACATGTCACCTCGCTTAGCTTGTTTAAAACCAGACCGGCATCAACGCGCATGGCGGCTATATCCCACACCTGCTTGTTGTTGCCGGGTGAAGAGCGAGGCGGGCAGCGAGCAGCAGCGAAGGGCGTAGAAAGTTATTTGCTCCAATAGCCGTGCATGTATCAATGCATCGTGGGCGGTTCCGAGAGGCTTCCCTCGAAGCAGGCAGACCGCAGACTGACGTCCCCAACCACGCGCGCATGGCATCACTGCAGTGCGAAAATGTTCTATTTGGTTATTTATTGGGAGGCACGGAAGACAAAATCAAGTACCCGGAAGCACACACGAAACCTGGTACTGTACACTCGCGTCCTCGTCACTCTTTGTTGCTCGATTTGTCGATTTTTGAAAATACTTTTCAGTCAAGCGGAGAACTCTCACAACTACTGAAGGCCACTCTGAACGTCTGCTCACCTCCGCAGCACCGTACATCGCGTCCATGGGGTGCAGCCAACGACTCAGAAACGAGTAAGCCTTGGACCAGCTGTGCGTTGCGATCGCCGCGTAACTCGCATACCTAACGATGATATTTGTATAGCAAAAGAGTGCAAAAGTGCCCAGAAGAACATGCGTGTAAATCAATGGTTGCGGAACGGTTTCTTGTCTCATCGCCAAGAGAACATCCACCCTTTCGAGGAACGTTTTGGGTTCGTTGAGCCTCGTTCGCTGCTGTTTGGTCCGGTGTGGCACTGAGGAAGTGTGGGGCGATCAGACGTTCGTTCGCTCTTACTGTACGTTGGGCTTGACCAGACGCCAACAAGAGCACGTTCCTCACACAAGAAGTGACAAGCAATGCATTGCGCGTGTACTGCCTGGTGCATTCCGCGTCTACTGTTCGAGTGCGATCACGTTTCCTCAGCTCAGATGACGTTACACACCAAAGGGTTCTATTTAGCTTAAAACGCGAGCTCAAGGTTAGAACCCCCCCCCTGCAGCTCACCGCAGTGTGCGCAGCAGTTCCTTGTTGAATGGGTGCAAGAGACTCTGCCGAACAAGCAAGCTCTTCTCCAGCGCCACGAGAGCAACCTGGTTTGGTTGGGATTTTAAACCAGCGCATCGAAGTGGAAGAATCGTGAGGAAGAAGAACCCAGGAGAGGAACTGAATTCCAGCGGTCTTTCCTCTTGCTCCATGGAAGGTGTTGGCCCCAAGCAAAAGAAGGCCGTGAATCTATTGTATGCACCAAATTGACGTGCAATAGACCCCTGCTTCCCTTAACCCGCCGGAGTACTCTCGAAACAACCGCCAAGTTTGTTTTCCACCGAAAGGCTTTGACGCCCAAGAGCTGTCCCTTCAAGGTTACACGGGGGAGGGGGATATCTGGCGGCTCGAGCAAGTCACAACTCTCCACCCACGTCTGGCTCTTCTTGCATGTACGCCTCCATGCCCTTTCGAAAGTTCCTTCCCGCTCCCAGAAGCCTTTCTTCGCAGCCCCTGTAATCGGCCTCTGGCAAAACTATCATCTCTTGTGCTTCTCGTGCTGCACAGGTAGACCGCGCCGTGCGTTCTTCAACATAAACGTTTTCCCCTTCTCCCGGTGGGGTTGGTCGTGTAGATGGCTTGTTAAAGGCATGGGATGTGCCACAGTGGCTGCACGCATGACCTGCGCGCGGAGGTGTGTTGACAAAACCACGGGAAAAAAAACTTGCGGAAAAGAAAAGGAAGGACCGATGAGCTCCCAGTGCACGGGACCGTCGATCATACAAATCCACCACCAAATTACCCCCCTATGAATGATGGGTGAAAATCTCCACGTTCGGTCAACAGCTGTGCAACCTTTCATTCAACCGAACTGCTCCGAAAACGCACGAGGCAACCAAGAGCGGTCTTGAGTGTACAGGCGAAGAAAAAGCGACAAAGTGAAGCAACCCTCATCCTCACCACCGCGCCATGGAGGGGGAGGCACAGCGCCAGCACACCCTTTCGTAGGGCAGCGCAGCCCTACCAGCTCAGCATCCCACTGCCTCGAAACACACCTCCGGCATCGGCACGCGAAAAACCAGCTGTGTCTGCCCGGGCAGATGAGGTTTTGACACGCAGTATGAACGTCGCCGCACGGAAGGGTCGCACGGAGCAAGCATCGCGAACGAGGGTGTGATTTCGATTGCCACTGTCCTTTGGCGGTATGCAGGTGCTCACTAAACACGACGCGTCGTCTGTCGTTGTGTCTCTTTGTGTTTTGCAAAACAACAGTCTTAGCATCGCGAAGTTCACTACTCCAACGCGAAAGCTTCTGCTGTACGGCGACATATAGCGAAGAGCCAGGCGTTCGTTTCTTTCTCCATCGGGATGCTTGAATACCGAAAACGGCCGCGTTGAAGCCATCTGGTCGAGAGCTCTCCGAAAACATATCGTTTCGTTTTGGATCCTCTTCGTCATGGAGATCTCGAGCTTTGAAAAATTGTCCAGGGGGTGTGTTATCTTGTGTATACGGTAGTTAGTTCTGCCGCCGAAAACAGAAAAGTCGGGCTCTAGTAGCGCCTCTTTGAGTGTCAGGCAGCTCTAGGTATATTTCTTCGATGCTTTGCTGACGACACCTGAGTTGCGCTCGTCGGACAGTTGAAGGCTGGTCGATGGGGATGTAGCTCAAGCATAACTCTTCTCCCGTCGCGACCGGCTTGGTGCATCGAATCTCCAGCTGTTGTGGGCGTGGAATGGGGTCAAGAAGAAGTCAGGACCAGACAGAACGAGGAATGGGAACATCATCGAGTAGAGAACGGCGTTGGTGGCTCTGGGTCAAATAGCAGTGAGGAACGAAGCAAGAATATTCACCAGGTTGATCGGGGACAGTCACGCCACGTCGGCCTGGGGAGATGCAGATACAGACACACACACACTGCGAACGTAGAGGCACATCGACTCTACGGACGGTCAGGTCGAGGGCATCGCTGGATTAGACATACAGCCTCTGTGCCCCACGCTCCGATAGAGTGGGGTCAGACCAAGCCAATGGATGACCATCGTGACAGACACCCAAAGGAGCTGCAATTGCGAGAAAAACTACCTCCAGCCAACCAGTGTGTGCGCGCACCACACTCTCCGAAGGCCTTCGCGGTTGCTTCTTGGTCCGTTCGGAGCACCGACAAGGCAATCAATGATCATATATCGAACCCGAAACTCGGTGAGTCTCCCGTCGAATCGCACGAAAAGAAACCCCGGCTGCAGAGGGGTGTGCGGACGTGTCACTGCGACTACACAACAAGGGGACGAGGGGTATCACCTGGGAACCTCTCCACCAAGCCTGGCAATTGGGAGAGCAGCTGTGGTTGATCATCGCTCCGGACGGGAAGAGCCCTAGCCCGGTCGGGCCGGTCCCGTCGCAGGTCGTTATTCCGTTCAAGGATACTCGACCGAGCTGACCCACACGCGAGAGACAGAGAGGTATTGACAGAACAGGACACGCGCTTTGGGTATCAGCGGGGAAGCAACAGCAGAGGAATAAGAGGAAGACGCGGGAGACCTTGGGAGAGTTGAAGCGACAGGAACCACTTCGAAACGTGCTACCACATGTCGTGGTAATCTATAACGATCGTCGAGAGGGATGCACAAAAGAGGAGGAGAAGGTCTCGAGAACAACCACAAGAGGCGGTATGTTCGTAGGGACACACGAGGCATCGGGTGCACAAACAGCTTGAGCTTCTCTCCTGTTTACCTACCTCTTTCCTAGCCAAGTCCAACAGAGCCGCACTCGGAACGGCCTCTTCGCCCGGCACTAGCAAGTGTCCCGCTCCAGCGCAACGGTCGAGCATGCCAGCGGCTAGCTTGGCCACCTGCCATGACAAAAGGAGTAAACCAAAGAAGGGACAAGTAAGAAGGGCGAACCCTGCAGGCGAAAAGAAGGGATGGTTGGCTGGGCGGGTCCCAGAACACCAATAAATTAGTTCACACCAGGACACCTTGGTGACTGCGGTGCCGGCCGCTCCCTTCCTTCAAGAAGCACCTCTTTCTAATCAGACTCAACAGAGTTCATCATGACGGCGGGATTGAGAACTGGCGCAAACAGCCCAAGGTTTATTGAGCCACCTAATAACGATCATGGGTTCTTGTCCGCGATTTCCTCAAGATACTCCAAAAGCTGAGCACCACAACCACACGACTTCGCTTCCTATGAGCGAGCCGCCACTGTCATTACTTAGCTCTACCGCCACTGAAAGTAGCATCGATACACCAACGACAAGAAAACATCTTCCGCCAAAATGAGCAGAAAACTCCCTGAGTTCGGCGAGGGGGGCGCTCGCCAGAAAGTGCAGGACCTATCGAGAATCAACGGTAGCCCATTGTAGCCACACGCCTTCCTTTGAAGTCCCCCGTCAAACAATCTGGCGGTGTTTTTCGTCCCCCCTCCCCCTTCTCGCTTACCTGCAAGCAGTCTTGTTCGTTTTGTTCGGGCCTGCTACTGCTGCTGCTGCTGCTGCTGCTACTGCTACTTCGGCATCCCTCCTCCCTTGCAGCCTGCAGCTGCTGCTCGTCGTGTTTGTGCATCAATCTGTCTATCTTGGAGGCCTGCTCAAGTCCAAGCGAGCCCGAACATCTTCGAAAGAGAATCTTTGCGGACAACCGGACGGTTGAGTATGACACCCGCATATCTTCATGCACGTCGTTCAAAGACCTCGAACATTCGGGGCCACTGCTGAAGCCAGTGCCGCTGCTGCCGCCGAACACTGATCGACACTCAACGCATTGAAAGATGCCGCCCACCCTGCGTGTGTCATTTCACAGTTTGTTGTTTGGGAACAGAGGTCATCAACACGTTGGTTCTGGGCAGCTGGCTCCCTCACTGGTCCACTGGTGAGCATTCGTTGGTTCGCATGGATTGGATGCATCGAAAATGGGACAAATCTCGATCAGCCCACACGTTTGTTAGTTGTCTAGATAAAACGAGTGAGATTTGGTGCGTTCATCACACGCAATACTACGACGAATGCGTTGTTGCTCGTTGTACAGGTCCGCACTCCTACCGTATGGGATCCGCTCCACATAATGGCCTTTACCCAATGACAAAGAATCATCAAATTGTGTTCCTTGCCTGCTATCGGTAGTGGTGCGGGCGAGGCAGTCGTCGCAAAGCAGGCGTCCAGGCGTCGCCACGCAGGCCACGGCCCGCTCCGCCAGGACAACTTCGCCTGGCGTGAGGGAGCGAGCTGCCACACACGCACGGCCCCTTCTTCTATCTACCTCCACCACTCTGTATGGCAGGCTGCTGCCTCCATCGCCCATCACCGAGTCTTGAGCCGCCCTGCCTGCTGTTGTCTACCTGGCTGGAAAGCTGCTGTGTAAAATTTCAAATTCAATGATCAACGGGAGCGTAATACGTTGGAGTTGATGTTGTGGAAACCACGAAATGTTACACGCTGGTATTCATGGAGACCACTACACAACCACTAACCTAAAAATGAATACGTGGACCCGTAGGAAATTTCATTATTCATTACACTAAATAGTTCGTCCGGCCGACTGTAAGTGGAGAGGGACGGCGGCAGTGTTACAAGTTTGTGTGCCACAGACGTAAATTTTGTTGTACTCTGAAGAAGTGATTCAATATTGCATACGCCAACACCTTTCAACTGTATTCATCGACACCATATTTCGGACAACTGTACTCCTCACCGCCTTGACCACCTTCGCTTTCAAAATGCCTCCAATGCCGTGCCGCGGAGAGGAGACCGGTGTGTGCAGATTTGCTACCGGCAGTCTACGAACCTGACAGTCCCGTGTATATATTTTTTCCCTGGCTCGATCGAGTTGATCGCCAAGCCAAGAGCGTGCCAAGCAAAAAAGCCGTGCGCTCTCGTTATCTTGCCAGTGGTTCTACTGCTGTGAACTGACGTTAGCCTACTTCGGCAGCAAGGACGGAGATAGATGACGAGCTCAACCGAAAGGCGTGCTGCCCACTTGTGCTTCAGAAACGCCAACACCGAACATGTTGGATTTGGATCCCTGTTTCGAATTCTTCACGAAACACTACTTGTATTATGACGGCATCATCAAGGTTTTTATCTGGCACACACGGGTATTTTATATTTTACTCGTGCCGGACCTAAACCCGCTGGTATATTTCCTGGTCGCGTGTTGTTCACCGGAACTCATGCGTGCACAATTCATCCCCTGTTCCATGTTCCTCGCCCGACAGATTCCGCACAGAGTGGAGAGTTGTTAACAGAGCGGGCAATCATGGCCTGCTGGAAGATGGGTGCTGGACCAGGTGCTGGTCGGGTGTCGTTAAGCGATGGTCAGCGATGTGGAACGATGCTTAAGCCGGGGTGAAAAGATAGAGGGTAGTTTCAGAGTAGGGTTACGGGCCTTTTCCATCGGCAGGAATGACCTTTGCTGAAGAAGAGCTTTGACACCAGATTGAGCTGAACCCAGCTGGGTCATGATGGCAGGTTGCTCACCGGTACCGACGATGTCAGCGTTGAGGACAGGAGGCAGACTACTGGTGTCAGCCGTACCGATGCGGTGGACACGTTGCTTAGTCGTGCAAAGCCGAAGGCCACTTGCAACATATCATACATCCTCACACGTGCCTCGTCGGGGTTCAAAGCACTGAAGATTTTAGGTAGGTTCAAATCAAAAGCCCACGATAACTGGCATCAACAGTCATGCCTCCAAAAACGAACCCAGACTCCGAGGGGCACAAAGCGCTCGTCAGCAGCCATGCACCTTCTAGCCGTGCTTTTCGATAGGCTTCGACCGGGTTGCCTGGCTCACCAGTGAAATATGCCAGGTTCACCAAACATGTGTTCGCCGTCGCATCTACAATCTGCTTGGCAGTTGGTTGCGCACCTTCCAGAGCGTGTCTTTTCTGCATTAATTAGCCGAAATCGATGGACAAAATCCATTGTCTATGGGGTTTGGTACAACCCTCTTTCCTAGGCGCAACAGAGATCGCTGCTCATCGAAACACATGACTGTTCACAACGACAGGGTGTGCGTCGGGTTCCTCACCAACATCAACATTTGACCGGCTTTCAACATACCTCCCACGGGTATATGTACACGTACGGATCGACACCACACACAGTAAACAGTACATATAAGACACCGCGGCACCAAGACCAAAAGTCCGAAAAAGTCATACATCGGTACACCGTATATATCCGGAACAAACAATACAACGATCCAGCGCTGACGTGCTTTGCTTGTTCTTCAAACGATAAGTCAATCCTCAACGCGCTATCTTGTGCTGGATTGTTGTATTGGACACACTGTCATCTATCGGATAGACCCAGAGATACGTAGATCTACACCAGGTAGCTCTCGATGGATTCCCCCAAGACTCCTTCGATGTACTTGACCAAAGCGCGGCACTCGCTCTCAACTTCCGGATGACCGTCCTGCGAGGGAAACAGCGTAGACGAAAAGAAACAATCGACGTCAGAGGGGTGAAACACAAATCGGTACTCATGCGATATGCAACACGAGTCTTACCAGGAGCGGCCACGCAAAAAAGTGCTAAAGGGAATCCAAAGCTGTCTTCCAAACACAAGAGAACAACAGTTCAATTCGTAGACCCTAACGACCATCCATCTATCTGCATTTCATACAACTTCTGTTAAGCTTTCTCACCTCCAGTAGCTCACTCAGGAATGGCAAGCACTCCGGCAGCAGCGCCAGGAACTCCTCCCCGACCACCTCGAAACACTGCCGCAACGAAACCAGCGCCGCCACCCTCACGCCCGCCCTCCTCGACCTCGTCTTCATCAGCACGGCGTTCGCCAGCGCCTTCCACAGCGCGTCCTTGCCCGACGCCGACGCCAACTGAGCCAGGCACGGCCCCACCAACTCTTCCGCGTGGAGCCGACAGGACGAGACGTCATCCTCCGCTCCTCCTCCCGCTGCGGCAGCGGAGAAATCGGAGCCGCATTCCAGCTGGGCCACCACGGCAGGCAGCACCAGCTCGAAGCGGGTCTTGTTGACGAAGCCCGATCGGTCCGACTGGAAGCAGCGACGGAGGGCCGAGAGCACGAGGCGCGAAGCGGCCGACCGTCGCCACCGGAGCTCGGGAGTATCCTCTCCCTCTCCGTCGTTGCCTTCGCCAATCTCTTCGTCCGAATCTGATGCATCGCCCGAGGACAGAGTCTTGCGGCGCTTTCTCTTGCTGGAGGCTTCCTCACTGGCGCGCTTTCGCTTCTTCTTCTTCGCAGCAGCAGGAGAGCCGTTGGCTGCGACACTCGTCAGGAGGCTGGCAGCTTCCATGTCATCGCAACAGTCCGTCAGGACATGCGCGAAGTACGGCGTGAAAATGCTCTGTAGGATGGCGTAACGAGGGATCGTGCACAGCGTCAAAAGCACAAGAAACACTCAGCCCTGGAGACCCTTCTTTTATTCCGTTCAGGGTAATATAATCCCTCTGCTGCATGCCTTCACTCTCGGGATTCTCACAAGGCACTTCGGGGGCGTACATTCGCGGTTAAGGTGATCCCTGATAGAGACTCTAACCTGCATCTAAAGCGAGACACATTTCGGCATAAAACGCACCACTCAATTATGGCCCCACCTTTAAAGCCCCTGCAAGGCCATCGAGAACTCGGTAGAACGAAAGCCGTCGGTCCAGCGCCCCCAGAGTTGCCTTGAGGTCGCCCTCTCCAGACGAAACACCTGCCTTCCACTCGCAAAGGTGCAGAAACAGTGGCCTTAGCTCCACCTCGCTCAGCCTCATCACCAGGCCCACCAAGGCCGAAGACGCCTCGGTTTCCACGAGTGCGGCGCTTTCCCTTACTTGGGGAGTCGATCCACTCGCATGCTGTCTTCGGAAGTCGAGCGCTTGGGTCAGCAGGCGGGTTAACTGTGGAAGAGCCGCGGACGCTGCCGCCTTCTCCAGCCCCGCAACGATCTGAACGAGCGCGAGAACACACGCGCGTACACGTGCCAAGGCACAAAAAACTGAACCCTGATTTGTGTCATGCGTCCTGACAAATTCCCCCTTGTATGTGCATTCACCGCATACGCCAAAATTGACAGAACGAGAAACATCCCATGTGTCACGCCCCCCAACGACTCTCGCTTCCCTTCTAGTACTACATGGTGCACTAGCTCACCTCTTGTACGTAGGCCAAGAGCCGAGCTATCGACCTCCCCGCGGCTCCCACTCCCTCCTCCTCGCCCGCCTTGACGCTCTCCACGCAGCCGGAGTAAGCTCCGCACACCGCCGGAACTAACAACCTCGCCTCGACCCCCGTCGAGAGCAACGACAGCACCCGGTCTGCAGCCTGCTTACTACCCGCCGCAGCAGGACTACCACTGGAACCAGCGCCAGCCGAGGCAGGCCGCAAGGCGACAGCCAAAATTCTCCCGAGGTACGGGCTCAGGAAGGACGGCAGGCTAGCGGCGACGGTGGCCACTGCCGACAAGGCGCTCGTCCAGAGCAGGCTCCTTCCCCCACCGCGCCCTCCGGCGCCAGCAGCGCCGTCCGTGACAGCCGTTGTAAAGGGCGTCTGAAACTCGAGGGCTTCGAGCATCGCGGGAAAGAAACGCGGCAGGCGGGGGAAGGCCCGGACACCAAGGACGGCGCATAGGGTAGCCACCAGAAGGAAGGCGCTCGCGCGAAGAGGAAGGATCCCATCGGAGCCTGGTTGGCCAACGGCTAGATAAACATTGCAGTGACATATGCATATATGGGGGAAGGAAAAGAAAAAGAAAAGAGAGATGAGCAAACGAGATGTGCATGGTGTAGAGCCCGCAGGTCTCGATCAGGGCGCACGGGTTTGAAACCGCTGCATGGGCATAACACACATCGTCCGCGCGGGTAGGTCCGGTATCGTGCACGTACGTCATGTTTCACGCGTTTCGTTACCTTACCTTTCGTGGTACTTTTCGAATCACAGAAAGAAACGTCACACCGTCCGCGTCTAGATACATGTAGACTGAGGGATTGGGAAGAAAGCAAAATAGAAAGCAGATTGTAGGCGACAGTACCAACAAAGCTCACCAGGCAGAGCGCCGGGTCCCACCCCAGCCACCATTTCAGTGACGTCACCGAGGACGCCCTCGAACGCTCCTTGGTGCCGCCTTCCAAGCACGCGAGCAAGCACGTCCAGGCTCAGCAGCGCTGTCTGACGGTTGACGGCGCTCTCCTTCATGCCGTCTTCGTCACGATCTTGGTCCATTGCATCGGGTCCTCCTTCTCCTCCCTCCGGAGAAGACGGCCCCATGACCTGATTTGATGATTTGATACAATTCATCAGCAGTTCAACGTCGAAAAAATGGAGGGTTTCAGCCACGACGTGAAATTTCGGGCAAGAAAGGTCATAGAGTACACGGTATCGCAATTTTTCGTGGTGAGTAAACCCGCCGCTACAGAGTGCTCACCCGACCGGATTGAGTAGACGCACGCCACATTAGTACTACATTCGAAAGTCCAAATAAAAATGCCAAGAGGACAATGCCACCCACCAACTGTACCCCAAAGCCAAACCAAAACCCTTCGCCATGTCACCGACCTCTTCGATTCCTTCTCCAATGTCATCATCGTCCTCTCCTGCCCTGCCGACAGACCTCTTGCCCATGGCCACGAGCCTCAAGGAGGGCACCATCTCCACGAACAAGCTTTCTTCACCCGGGGACAGCCGCGGCGCGCCCCCGCTCCCCCCTCCCTCGGCCGGATCTAGGCGGCGTGTGAACATCCGCAGGGCTTTCCGACGCAGGTGGGGGTCCTGACCCCGCAGACACACAAGACACAATCCACAAAATTACACAACACACGAGAAAGGGAGAACCACACGATGGGAGTACGTCAGTATCGAGTGTGGGAGAAGGAGAGCAAGTGCTGCTGTTGTGGTATATGGGAATGTCGTGACGACCAGCACGAGTCTGGGACAAGGAAAGGAGCAGGCTTCGGCAAGGACAACACCTTTTCAGCAGCGAAGCTGCACACCGGCGGGTATGGTTTAGACAAGACGCGTTCTTCCTCTGTTGCCTGGTACAACACGATTGCGTCATCGACAGCATCGCGCAACGGTTCACGACACGACCAACACCAGACCTTAAAAATCGGAATACAAACCAAGCACATCGGCGGCCGTCTACTTCGGTTCAAAGCCAATCTCAACCATGTCCAACAGTAGATACGTAGATTCATGCACACAGATGTATCGGGTTGTATATCCGCAACACCAGAGAAGCAAAAGGCTGGAGCGGGAAAGTAGACCCGGGCCGCAATAAAACATGCGTTCGATGTAGCAGGATTGGACAAACCTCGGCAGGTGGGGAAAAAAGGCCCCGCCGGGGTAAGTTTTGTTCCTGCAGTCAAGCATTGGGACACGTAGCGAAGAAAGCAACAACCCATATTCTACCCTTCCGACTACGACTGCCGCAACCTTTCGCCAAAAAGAAGAACGGCGTATCATCCAACAGCATAAAAAATATGCACAGCGTCGAACAGAGGGAGGCCCCCAAACTTGCCGCACCTAAAATTGCGAATCCACGCGCATGTTCTACAATAGTACGAGGTCAACCATAACAACACACGCCGCAGTGAGGTAGGGACCCAAATCATTGTTCACGACAAAAAAATACACAGCAAACAGGTTCAATTCAGACAGGCAGGCGCTTCACCAGTCGCCTGTCAAAAGTACCGCGGCACGACACCACAACGACGCCAGTCCTCATTGGAAAGAAGTAGTCTGTTCCACAGGTTTGCCTTCTGGAATTTTAATCAGCATACTTTTTTAATCACAGGACGGTATTAGAAGCTTCTCGTCATGACGTAGCCAGAGTCAAACAACACGACACACTCGTACACATACGGAGGCCACAAAACACACACACACACACACACAAAACGGACCTGGTGCAGAAGGAGCTCCTGCGTGACTGCAACGAAGGACGGGACCGATAGCAGAGACTGAAGAGTCTCAAACACCGCGTAGGCTAGGCCCTGAAGAGAGGACCACGCAGGCTCGTCTCCGCTACCGCTTGAAGAAACCCGACCGCAGACCGACAGAGTTCGGAGAAACAAGAGCAGCTCCTGAAACCAACGTGAACAAAGCGGGAGACCAAGAAAAGCTCAGAAAAGTGCCAAGGGCGTTTTTGCGCGTGGTGCGTGGATGGGATGATTGAACGTGGGGATTGGTGAGCGGTACAGCTCATGTCGGCAACGACATATAAAGAGCCATGAGGACTCACAAGGACAGCGCGGTTACAGGTCGTACAGAGGTGCGTCGCCGCAGGTGTAGTCCAGAGAGCAGAGCAAGAAAAAGACATCAAAATAGAACACCATGGACCACATGATGGCCACAGAAAAAACAATCCGAGTCCTAATGGAGCTGCTTGCTCGTGCACTAGCTCCACGTTGGTCGAGATAAATAGACTATTAACTCATCGATGAACTCAAGTGTTTACCGGAGCAAGAATGTGCGGGCTCTGATTGTCCAGGTCGTCGTGGGAAAAAAAACAGACCAGGAATGCCCAGAAGCCCATCGCTGTCAGACGATTGATCTTGCGCTGCCATATGGAAGACTCGGTGTTGGGTGGGGATGATCCACACCGAGAGGCAAAGAGGAGCGCTGTCAAAAAAAGCTGTCGCTATAAACAATCCAAGGTCGGAACCGGGCTTCGTGAGCCCAGCCTGAACGACAAGTACCAACCAAAATCCAAACATTGATCGAGACCCTTGATCAAGCAAACCTTGGGACCCCGGGCACAACACTTCTCTCTCCTCACAAAACGAGCGTTCATCCTTCATGCACACCTCGCAGAGGAGGAGAAACCCTTCTTGAATCCCTTCGTCCTCGCTCAAGCCTTTCCCGTCGGCTCCACGCTCTGCCGCCGCCGCGACCGCCATCACCAGGGGCCTCGACACCAAGTGGTCCCGCACAAACGACAGCACCAACTCAAGGAAATTTCCCGCCATGTATTTGCTATCTTCCTCGGACAGGGCTCTGAGGTCCATAGTCATGAAGGCGGGGCTCGAAGCCTTCTTATCTCGTGCTGGTTCCTGCTGTACCAGAGGGAGCTGCAGGTAGTCCGTCTTTAATTGATCTTCTCCTTTCTCGCTGGCGGCAGAATCTTCGACGAAGCACTCCACGGCTTCGTCGAGAGCCTGTCCGGAGAGGCTCCCGGAACGTTCTGCGGCACTCACCGACAGCCTGTGGCAGGCTTGGACCAGGCCCACCAGCGTTCTCACCTGTAACAGACAAGAGGATCAAGTCCGATCGGGAACGAAAAAATGGCGAATATCGAGACCGCGGCAGGGCAAATCGGAAAGCAAGCGGCAGAAAACATTTCGAAAGCCAAGAAGCGGTAGAATGTGTGGGTCGTCTCATCTCAACCTACTTTTCGGTGACCGGCGTCACAAAGGAATTCTACTTGTGGTGGTAGGCGCTGAAACCTTCCCGAGTCCAACATTCAAGTCAAACGCAAGGGAAAACGTTCAGAACTGAGTAAGGTTTCGGCCTGATAGTTCACGTTCTAACCTGTCCCCGTGCTCTCGAGCGGTGGATCGTCTGGTGCACGAACTCAATCAGAGCCGACGTCGTCTCCTCATCCGCCGACTTGCCACCGACATCCGGCCTACCGGAAGAGACCGCTCTCCGCAGCAGCAGGGCCGACATGATGGCGAGCGACTCCTCTCCGAGGGAGTCGACGAGGGTCGAAAAGAGAGCTCGCCGCGCATGGGCGGGGGCATCATCGAGCGCTTCCACGAACACCTATCATACAAATTCAATATTGAATAAGCAGTTGCGTGGTCAGTTTTCCGAATAAGTTCGAAACAGGGGGAACAAAATACAGCGATGTAGTTCATGTGACGTGATGAGCTAGGGGACGCGACGGGAGGAAATTGCTCTGTGGTATGCATATAATTATTCTGGTTGGGCCGGATGTAGACGTGTGACCAAAGGGTGCCCGGAAACAAAACGAAACACAAAACGGCTACGAAGCGTTGGCTGCCACACGCACGGCAGGACTTCCCGAGCACATTCGAAAACACTTTGGCGTCCGATTCATGGGACAGCACAATAGTTCTCAACAGGCCGACCACAGACCGTAAACTACCACCCCCCGCCCCGTACCCTCGGTCAAATACGACGCTGCTGCATACCTGAACGACAAAGTGGGCACCAACTCCGGCCTCGGAGCCGTGCGCCTTCAGCGCAGGCACTACACTCTGCACCGCCTTCTGAGTTTGCCGCAGCGCAGCTCGGGCACCACCACCACCACCACCTCCGCTCGATCGGCCCTCGCCACCCGCGGCGGCAGCACACACAGCATCCAAGAGGGAGCGGAGCCTTGAAGCCATCTGCGCCGGGAAGAGCGTGGCCATCCTCGACAGGAGAGCCAGAGCGCTATTCCTGGAAACGCCGAGGGCAACCACAGCAGCACGATAGGTCTTGTGTGGTTTGAATGGGTATAAAATGCATTGATGAGATCGGTCAACCCACCGTCGAGTACAATGCTTGCCCAGACATCGAGTCCAGCTGCGTTCGAAACGGAATATTCAAGTGCGGGAATGTGGCACAGGCGTTGCTCTGGCAGTTCAACATTAGTGGATATCCAACGCATGCCGAGGAAAAAAGGCGGGCGTTCTGGTTCATGTTTGACACAAACACGTGGCAGAACTCGAGAGGGGCGGTTCTAGGCGCGAAACACAACTGTCAACCTACTGGAAAACGTTCAGCCACCAGGTAAAGAGCAGTGGCTGAAAGCTCGGTTGTTCAACTGGACACAATGTCGAACATACGCAAAATGCTCCAGATTCGTTTACTACGCACACTTCAGGGCATCTGACAAGCGCTCAGCATTAGCATGGAATATTCGAGCAGTTCCTCTTAACGAAGGATCTCAACTACAAAACGATTTGATCATCTTTGCGCCAGTCTGCATGCCTCCAAAACAACGCGCTAAGTACCTTCAATCAACCGGGACACAGATGTGCATAGGCTATCATTTCAAAAAGGTGTGGACGGAAGCGGCACCGATCTGCACAACCCCGAGACACGCACCAAGTTGTCACCTCACAAAACACAAGGAACAACAATACAAGAAAAAAATTGGTGAATCACGAACCACAGACGTGGGAGTGAAAGGGTTCGTCCCTTTGTTCATGCAGACAAGCGCTCAGCATTAGCATGGAATATTGGAGCATTTCCCCTCGGAAGGAGATCTCACTATTCGAAAAGTTTGTCGTCAAAGCGCTTGCCCCCATGCAACCCGGAGTCACCCGCCTGCCTCTATCAAGCCACCCCCTACATATGGCAACACCACTCTCCACACCTTCCCTGCGAAAACACCAACCAATCGTTGTTCCAAACAATCATCAAGGCTTGATGTTTTCAACAGAATTCAGCACCTCTTGCTGGGAGAAGCGGCTCGAATGGAACGGGCCAAAAAGAACACAAAAAACACGCCCAGCCTCCTGTTCGAGAGACCACCGAGACTGGACATGAAAAGGTTACAACCTTACCTGGTCTGTGGACTAGGGTTCTCCCTGACGCAGGCCAACACCGTCTCCGCATCTTCCCCGGCGCGGCACCCCTCGTACAGCTTCTCCGCGGCCGCGCTGCCGCCACCGCCGCCGACGCCGCCCTTGCCCCACCGCCGCAGCACGCCCCCCAACACGTCCATCGTTAACCAGAGCCCGTACTCCGCGGCATCAACAACATCGCCCCCCCCTACTGCTGTAGAGGAGGAGCCTTCTTCCTCCGCCGCTCCCTTCGTCACGACGGCGATCAGCGAAGGCAAGACGTCGAACAGCGGGCGCGCGATCGCCAGAGGGCCTGCCCAGCCCCAGCCTTCAGCGCTAGTCGTCGCCCCGGCGGTAACTGCACCACGACCGTTGCGAACGCCCTTGGTTGAATGGGATTCGGATTGGGACTGTTGCTGTTGGTCCGGCACAGAAGACGAAGACGACGAAGGACCGCAGAGGGCCTGGGCCAGCTCGACCAGGCCTCCGAGGGTTAACACCCAGCCGGTCTCGGTGGTTGCGGTATCGGCCTTGAACGCTGCTGATGATTTCTTCTTGCGCCCCTGTACCAATCGCAATTCACCGCACATTGGTTGATGGGTGGGTGGGGGGGGGCGGGAAGGGCGTGAGTCGTGGGGTGGGGGGGGGGGCGAAATGTAATCCCCAATAGCAACCAAACCAAAACACGAAATAAAACACCTCTGGCACCATTTTCTGGGTGTGGTGGGCATGTCCCTCTCGCTCACGGGAGGAATCTAACAAACAAAAAAAGAAATATACGCGGGGGCACCCACGACATCCGCCGTGCCGGTCGGATAAGGGGGAGGGGGACGGCATCATCGTTTACGTTTTGGAAAATGTGCGGGCTCTGATTGTCCGGGTCGTTGTGGGAAAAAAAAAAGACCAGGAATGCCCAGAAGCCCATCGCTGTCAGACGATTGATCTTGCCCTGCCATATGGAAGACTCGGTGGTGGGTGGGGATGATCCACACCGAGAGGCAAAGAGGAGCGCTGTCAAAAAAAACTCTTTCCTAGTCAAACCAGACCCGCAACGTGTACATTAGTCGAACCCAATTCAAGCCCAGCCAATCGCGAGCAAACCCGCCAGCGTAGTTTTTCTATCACCGCCAACCGGGGGATTCCATGAATATTCCCACCTCGCGCAATCGACGACACAACAGAAAAACCTTCCCCGATCCATAAACCCAACCACTACCAAGAAGAACCCATGCCCAGAAAAAGAAACAAGCGCTCTCATCAACCAATACTAACGGGGTCGATAGCAACAAGACCTTTTTGCGGGTTATAGCCCGGGGCGTCAGGTCTACGCTCGGCACAAAGGCCCAACGCACAAAGAAAAATTCAGGATCTGCCACAAAAACAGCACCGAAACGCACGAGACCCGTATGTCATCTTTACCTTGGAAGGGGTCGAAGCTCCAGCACCAGCACCCGAGAGAGGTGGCAAGCCAACAAGAAGAGCCGCCATATCGCCCGGCAGGCAGGGCAAAGCCCGCGCCGCCGCAGCCACCAGACTCCCGTCAGCACCGGCGAGACCCGCCTCCACGAGGACAGCCACCAGATCACGCCTCTGGCGGGTGGATTCATCTTCCCCGCGTGGTTGAGCACCGACGCCACAGCTCGGAAGGGAGGTTGCACACAGGCAGTGCAGAGCGTGACTTTGCGCGGGTCCGGGGCTCCTCAGCGCCCGGTGCATCAGCTGCTCCGCCTCGACGCTCGCGAAAATCGTCGAAGACGCGGATGCCGGATAATCTTCGGCGGCGCTTGCCTTGTCCTTGCTCCCGCGCGTTGTTTTCTTGGGACTTTTGGTGTTCCTGCTGCTCTCTTCACGTTCAGCCACTGCTACTGCCACCGCCGCCACGGTTGCGTCGCCGACGGCAAGGTTGAGGGTAACTCCAAGGAGGATGTTGAGGAGGCGTTCGTTGTTCTGGTTGTTTTGTGCCTGCTCCGAGTCCAGGCAGCAGCGCAAAAGCGGCAAGCAGCACTCCCTGGAAAGCACAACACACAATGGCGAAAAGGACCATCAATTCACAAACAAGCACCGGTGACGCATGACGGACAAACGGAGGCGCAACACCAACTGGAGATTGACGACAACCAGTCTAGCCGACAACTTCTCAGAATGGGAAGCAATCGTGCTTGTGGCCGGGATTCTACCAGAAAATAGGCGCCCGAAATAAAATGGCGGCAAACCCACACCGATGCATCACTTGTGCCGCCCTATTCATGGGTAAACTTGCGCAGAGGTTGTGTCAAGTCTCGCAAGCAAAATATCGAACACGGTCAACTTTGTGCAAGAAATCGTGCGGACCAACAAACGGAAACCGGAACACATACGCCAACCGGAAAGAAGAGTCTCGGTAGGGCTCGGACAGCCAAGGGTGTATCTGCAGTTCAGTTCTTGAACTGATCAGAAACTCTAGTCCATTATAATTCGTCATAGCCCGGACACTCTTCTCCCATCAAATACCTCACCGTTGAGTTCACATTAAAATTCGTCATAGCCCGGACTCTTCTCTCCCATCAAATACCTCACCGTTGAGTTCACAAACACCACGAAAAAACGTATATTCGGGATAACACATGTCCGCGTAAAATGTCTTCCCGGTAGGGGTACTGCTCGACGGTTACAAAACATACCGTGCACGGGCATAGCCAGGAGCGCGCGACAAATCATTCCGGCAACCGTCACGACCGGGACGGAAAAAATCCTCACCTCATCGGTGTCTTCGCCCACACCAAACACTCCAGCAGGAGCGCAGAGGCGGTAGGATCTCTCCACCCGAGCCTTGCCGCCCACGCCACGAGGTAACGCAAGACATCTTCCTGCCAGCCGCCACCGGCAGCTTCTCCGAGAACGGTGGCGAGGTGTCGGGTCAGCTCCCCGGCGTCGAGTGCGGACTCGCGATTTTTGCCGGCAAGCGCCGCGGCAAGCTCGACGAGACTAGACAACGACGGCGCGTTTAGAGATGACGGCTCGGCCGCACCATCCCCCATCTGTCCCAATGGCAAGAACTCGGAGTCCTCAACCCTCGGACCGGGGGAGGGGGCGGGCTTGCTTTTCTTGGCCCCGCTTGTAGAAGCGCCGCCGCTGCTGCCGGACAACTCCGCGCTGAGAGCATCGCCGTGCGCAGACACAGTGGTGATGAACAGAAGGCCGCTATCTCGTAGGCCCTTTTCGTTCGCCGACAAGAAAACATGAGGCAAAAACCCGAACGGAAATGTGCTTATTGATCTCATCACTTTGCAAACTGGTCAATGGCAACCCTGAACCAACGTGTACATTTTTGCACTGACTCGATCAAACCAACGTGGCACACCGATGGTTGTAAGAAAGCCACCTCTCAGTGCATCCTACAAAACGATCGTTACAAGCGAAAAAAAAGGGACATGCGTCGTAGTAGCACATCGGCCACAACACAGCCATGTCAGCATTCTAGCACTACTTTTGATGGAAACCCTCGCCCGACAAAACGCAACATTCATTCGCAGCTTCAAAAAATCCAGCAAAAGAACAACACGTCGCCAAAAACTGGCAATAATGTGGCGGCGGCGAAGCGACTTGTTCGAGCGGCCATGGGGAGCTCACGGGGTTCAAAGCCCTAACCCACACGGCGCAACGTCGGTTAAAACAGCTCGGGTAAATCGCCACGAAAACGCAACCGCCTCACTTAAGGGCAGCTTTGCAGGGCAACCTTTAAATGGTGGTTTAATCTCCCTGGGTTTCAGTACCGCAGATCAGCCTCATGAGGGTGCCGAGGCTAAAAAGCTTCGGCGCGGCGGCGGTTATCATCCCAGGCGGAAGTTCAGTCAAACTCAAGATAGACAGCACGTGCGCCAAAACACGGAATGGACCGAGCGAACTCAAGTGTGACTCCTCTCAACAGCAGCATGCGCGCTAACGCTCCGCTAGCGTGCTCAGCGACGGCATCTTGGTCAAGACAGACGTCGACACTGCAAAACTCTGGCTAAACAAAGAGCAGCCAAAAAACCATCAATGGGCTGCCACACTTCCATGTACCGAACGCAAATACTGTGGGGAGTACACACCTCATCATCCGACGCGACAGCCAGCACCGCAGCGGGGAAGACCGCAACGATGTCTCTCTCCGCCGCCTTCGACGACTCCCCATCCTCGACCGTATCTCCAGATGCCACCGCCTCCGCCCCTGCTCTCACAAACGTCGCGGCCACGCAGAGCGCACGGGCGGCGGCAACCAACTTCGCGTCGTCAACCCCTCCGCCACGTCTCGGCTGCTGTCGCGCTGCGACCCCACGACCCCGTCTTCCGGCCACGGTGACGCCTTCTATCGCAACGGCGGCGAGGGCGGGCAGTGGCCGCCGCTCGTACCCGTGCAGCACCACGGCGCTCACGGCCTCCCACACCGCGGTGGCCCCTCCTTTGCTGCCACCCTCGGCTGTTGCCGTCAAGACCGACACCAGCACGTCGCCGAGAAGCGGGGCGGGGGTGACGGCGAAACCATCCCCACCCACGGACGTGTCACAGTTCCCGCCAACGGACGGAGTCGCCGCTGACGCCGCCAAGTGATCCTCGGCAAAGAGTGACGACGACCGTTCCAGACGGGGCAGGTGCGCCGCGCAGGCTCGGAGGTACCGCAGGAGGTCCGCGGCGCCGACCGCGCCCACAACTTTGGCATCATCTCCGTCCGGACTGGCAGAGAGGAGGTGAGGGCGGAGGCGAAGCTCGGACGTCGCCAGTGAGGCCAGCAACGAGGAGAGGCTGGACGCTGCTGCTGTAGCCGCCGCTCGAGCCTTGGCGTTGCCACCACCGCTAGAACTGGCAGAAGCGAGGTTCAGCGCGCGGTATGTGCACTCCAGGACGAGCCAGCGACCACCGGCACCGCAGGTATCTCGAAGAGTCTGCGTTGGCGCGGGCGTGTTTTGGTTCAAATATTTCAGGACAATACGTGAGATACGACAGAAAGGAAACTTCGGATCCATGTTGTGCAGGCTGCAGGCTGAACCCACCACTGCGGCGAAAAACAAGCGCCGCTAAATATGCGTACGTGTCAACACACTGGCAAACGAAAGATTGATTGGTACTGTAATCCAAGAGTCGACGGTTTTAAAACAATCAGCACAGCAGGGAGGGCCGGATCATTCGAACATCAGCCTAAAGACGAGCTACATTGCCAAGCTCGTCTGAAGCACATCAACATGAATTTAGATCAAAGCTCTCCCTAAACGACACGTGACAGGGCGAAGCGAATACGGACGATTCAGACTGCAGTTAAAAAATTTCCTCCATGGAGCATCAAGGACACGTTCGTGCCGGTTAAAAGCTTCATCATCACCGTCCAGCCTTTCGTTCACCTTGCCAACTACAACAACGCTTTCCCTGACACTCAACACCCAAAACGAACGCAGACCCAACTTCATGACCCCGATATAAATAGCGAGTTCCACGTCTCACTACAGAGAACTGGAAGGAGTCGTTTTGCTGAAGCCCCACGACGAACGAACATTCACACGGCCTCCAGTTCACACCCAATGCTTCCAGCAGTGGAACCAAGGATGCAGAACTTCTCTACCGCCATGCCTAACAAGCTCACCTGCAACTGATGATTTTTGCTGTCCAGATCGCCTGGACCGACAATTGCGGCCGCCAGAGCATCGCAAACCTCCTCCCCCATCACCTTGAGGCCCTTCGACTTGACCCCTTCCGCCTCCAGGTCGTCGGCGTCACCCGACTTTTTCTTCTTGCTATTGTTCTTCCCGGGGGACTTTGCGGCGGAACCCTTGCCGCTTCCTTCGTCGTCGGACTTATTCAAAACCTTACCGACAACGGCGAAGAGACCGGCCAAGGCGTCGCCCTCCACGCCAACACCCAACCTGCTGACGGCCTCTATCGCCGCGCGACCGACCGCTCTCGAGGCCTTCTTGCAAGCCTTTCCGGTGGCGGCGGCGGCGGCGGCCGGGTCCGTGGCACCCTCGTCAGTAGCACTGTCCCCGCGGCCGTCTGCACCGACGGCCTGTCGCTGCGCCGACCTCACGCGAGCGGTCGCGTGCGGGCCCGGCAGACACTCCAGCAGCAGCGACAGCGCCGGATCTCTGGCCTGTTTGACCCCCGCAGACCCTCCTTCACCACACGCGGAAGACGCAGCGGCCGCGAGGCGGACGAGACCGCACAGCACCCTACCCGCCGAAGCCACGGGGTGCTTCGGCCTCACCTCCGAAATAGCCGACAACCACGGACCCGCGGCCGTCATTGCGGCCGACGCAACAGCAGCGGCTCGATCAACCACATCCGAATCGTCGGCGCCGCCGACACCATCGCCACCAGTAGAATCGTCCGCCATAGGAGAAAAGGAACGAGGACGGAGAAGAACTCGTTGAACCAGGGTATCACTTTCGGTGATAGCGAGGACGACGTCTGGGTCCTCGTCGTGCAGCCGCCTTACAAGCACCGGCGATAGTTCTTCGACACCCCCGGCGGACGTTGATGCTGATTCTCCAGCCGCCGCGCCATCATTCTCCGCCGCGCTCAATATTGCGCGAGAGAGTTGTTCGACGGCTCGGGCTCGCACAACGGCGGACGAGTGCTCAAGAGCCACCATCAGTGAACCATGAACAGCACCATCTTCACGGCCTTCCTGGCCCACAGTTGCAGCCTTCGCCATCGACATCGGCGCAGGGAAGAAGGGTGCAGTGTACAACGAGACAGCGGTTTGGACAAACGAAAACACAGGTATGAGATTGTACGTCGGAGCGGTAGAGCACTCATGACAACCACGGGCGCGATTTCAACAGTCATGGCATTGCAACCTCCGAAATATGTGCGGCCTGACCGAACCGGCAACAACGGTAACCTCCACCTAAGGTCGGCGCTAAACTTACAACACAAGAAAGACTGACAAAGCCACGAACTCACATCCTCCTCCTGTTGCTGCAGCGGCAAATGCGGAGCAAGCTGTGCGCCGGCGAACGTAGAGACCAACAAAGACGACAACGCCTCCTTCTTCAGATGAGCCTCGCGTTTGGCTGTCATGACCCCGGCATCGTTTCGCTTGTCATCGTCTTGCAGGGCCGCTTTGGCCGTAGCCGTCCTGGCCTTGGTCACGCTACGGCTGATCTTCGCAACAGCGGCATCCACTTCTTCAGGGTAACGCTGGCTGAGCACCCGCAACACCTAACGTAAAAGAAGACAAAAGAAGGCAGGCAACATTCAAGTCGAGACTACAGGTTCGACACCAAACCAAACGCAACACCCCGCCCTGGCTGTCGCGTATGCTCATGTGTGGTTCATCGTGAAGAGTCGCAGCAGTTCGCAGTTCGCCATTCTTGTCGCAGCCATCTCATCAGATTGTGTCACAACAGCGGCCTCCCACCCATGTTCCACATCCACTGATTTTTTTTTTAATTATCGGAGGAAGTAGGCACTGGCAATTGATGCCGCACCAACAATTGAAACCGTTTCATCTGTGACGTCACCAAGGGACAACAGCGCCGTAAAACCCCTCGGCACGATGGGAGGCCTCCCATTGTGCCACGGGCGATGGCCGACCACAAATGACAAACTCTGCCAGCACCAACCACGCTCTTGCGCTCGCTCTTCATTTCTCGAGCAAGAGAATCACAAGAGACGTGGTCCGCGTTTACCCGCTTTAAGCTAATGTTGTAATATCAGTACGCTTGTCCACCGTCTCACAGCAGCATTTGTTGTTTCTATTAGTTGGTCATTTCCGAGGTTCAGATCTACTCGAATACATACACGCATCATGGTTCAGACTTTGCACGGGAGCCGGGATTGTGCTACAGTTGCCTTGCCTTTCCCAGTGTTCGGATCGGATGATCCAGCCGTTTTGTTACATTCAAGGCTTGTGAGGTTCGCGAAGTGATTGCACCGGCGTGGTAGCTATCTACCGAGCCTATAAATATCACCCATCGAACGCCACATCGCCGCCGCACTCGTCCTGGACGGACCGGGCGGGAACCCAATATACCGGACCAGCAATTGGAGACAAAAAACTCGGTGATGTGGACTTACAAGGGAAATCAACATCACCGACTTGATTTCTCATTTGTCGTTGTGGTATGTTGAACTCAAGGTCTGTTCATCTAGCCTCGCGTTCGATGGGTCCTAAAAAGTCTAGGTAGCCACCACGCCGGCGTACTCATCTCCGAGAACCTCACAAGCCTTGAATACAACAATACAACAAAACGGCTGGATCATCGAATCCGGACATTAGGATAGGTAGGGCAACTGTAGCACAATCCCCGTTCCCTTGCACTCTCATAAACCATCACGAGTGCACGTACTCGAGTAGCTGAGACCCTTGACACTCGGAAATGCACCAACCAATAACAACAAAAACTGCTGCTGTGAGACGTGTGACAAGTGTACTAATACACACGACCTTCAATTGATGGACACGAGCCGCGTCCTCTTTTCATCATGTCTGCAACTTTCAATAGGGTGTCGTGTGTACAACAGAACATCACAATAGGCCACGTGCTAACGATGGTTGTGGCGTTGTGGTAGTGTTGTTACCCTTGGTGGCTATAATACCTATTTGGGGCTCTACACCAAAATGATCAAAATGAGGCGTGTCTTGTTTTCGCCTTGGGTGTTTTTGGTTTTTGGTTTTCGGGACGCATACTAGGCAGAACGCATACCAGTATTAGGCAAAAGGGACGCATACGCATTCAAGCAAAACGGAAACATCCGTGTTTTGAAATAAAAGAGAAGATGTCCGGGACCGGGCGCGGCCATGCTCCGCAGGCCGCCAAAAGGCAGCACTGGAGAACAGCACAAGGCACGCCCAACCACGGCACACGCATCGACCAAACCGATATACGGGAAGGACGTGCATGCATTAATGTATGCTCCATACCCGAGGATTCCTTCCATCCCCAGCACGCGGCCGGGGTCCAGCGCCCTTGAAACGAGGAGCAGTCAACACAAACGTCCAAGCTTACAGCAGTAATGCTGTTTCACGAAAAAACAAAGGAGGTGACCAACACCGATGACAGACGATCAACACAAAAAAAATCAGGGCTACAGGAGTACCGCCGTTTTACGGGGATAAAGCGGTGAAAGACCGACACCCACGACAGACACAAGGACCCAAACCACCTTGACGAAAACGAAAAGGTACGAAGCCTACGGCTTCCCAGAAATATGTGAAACCTTTTCAAATACTTCCACGTCTCAAATTGACGCGTCAACAAAAACAAGGCACTTGACGACAGCAGCGCATACGATATGTAACCGAACGCAATACCAGCAGGCTGCACCATCGACAAAAGGTTTAAGCGGTTGCCACGAGCGTGTGTCAGGGTTTCTCTGTTTGAGACACTGGTTGCGTCATAGCGCGGGTCTTACACCGGCTGATCCAAAACACGGACCAAGTGAATCGCTCATCATACACACAAGGAACCACCTCTCGTACCCGCAACAAAAACAACCAACCCCATTCAAGTGCTGGCCGCTAAAAAATCATGAGTACGTACGCATCCAAGAGGACTACCCTCAGTGTGCACCACTAGAGACAAAACGAACAAAAGGCAATATCAACTGCATTTGCAAGAACTTTCCACAGACTCGAAGCGAACACAAAACATTGATGAAAAACAGTGGACATACAAGCGTGACAAAAGGGACCCGGGGGCAATAAAACAAAAACCTTGATGGTTCCAACAAGACGGGATCATCATCGGTCCAATCGCGATCGACCACTGCTTCAAAGACTTTAGTACCACACCACTTCGGCCCCAAGTTCGTGTGACATTGAAGTTCTGGATGCAGCGGTCGTCCGCGAGCAGACCCGACAGTTATGCCATATTTTTGAAGTAAGAAAAGGTGTCTACAACCATGAATATGGTTTGATCTTTTTATCCCATGATCATGTTTTTGTCACATCGACAAATGGGTCAGCATCACTAGCGTGTGTCAGGGCTTCTCTGTTTGAGACACTGGTTGCGTCATAGCACGGGTCTTACACCGGCTGATCCAAAACACGGACCAAGTGAATCGCTCATCATACACACAGGGCATTGCAGTACCGTCTCTTATCCACGACTTGAAAATCCAACCCCATGCAAGCGCTGGCTGCTTAAAATTCGTGAGTACTCTACGCAGAAGGATGACAGTCGGTGTGCACCATTACATAGAGACAAAACGAACAAAACGCAAGAACAACTGCAGCAAGAATTGTACACAGACTAGAAGCGAACATACGACGTTCATCAAAAACAGTGGATATATAAGCCTAAAAAAAGGGACCCAGGCAAAACGAAATGAAACCCTTGCTGGTTCAAACAAGACGGGATCATCATCGGTCCAATCCATCGACCAGCGCTTCCAAAGCTTCAGTTTCACACCACCTTGGACCCATGGTGTGATGTGAAAGTCTTGGAAGCACCGAACGCTTGAGGGGAGACCGATAGTTATACTGTCTTTCTGAAGTAAGCAAAAGGTTGTGGACAACCATGGACATGGCTTGATCTTTCTTATCCCATGACCATGTCTTATCACATCTTGTCACATCGACAGAAAGGGTAGGCACCAATAGCGTGTGTCAGTGTTTCTCTGTTTGAGACACTGGTTGCGTCATAGCACGGGTCTTACACCGGCTGATCCAAAACACGGACCAAGTGAATCGCTCATCACACATACGCCACGTCGTGCAAACCTCATTTGTCCGGTCGACACAAAAAAAAATGTAAAAACTGTTTACTGAATATGTACGGTCAACACAAGCAAAAAATGTATATAAACTGTTTATTAAATAGCTTCAATGCAACACACAGAACAACGTCGGGTCAGGCTTTCTCTGTTTGAGACACTGGCTGCGTCATAGCACGGGTCTTAAACCGGCTGATCCAAAACACGGACCAAGTGAATCGCTCATCATTCCCCTTCGAGGCCCGTTGAGGGCGAGTGGCCTTCCGCTTCCTTACACTCACTTCGACATTTCGAAATATTGCTTTCGCTCACAAGTTCCAATGTGTTCATTTTTCCAACGAAACATGGTGAACTGACACAACAATAGGGATGAGACAACACGAGAGAACAAAGGGTCGGACGCACCGAACGTCGCTCAAGAGAGTCGACAAAGAGTATGAGTTTGAATGTTACCGACCAAACGATGGTATATTAATACGAACGGCAAACCAAATCAAAGTCACGACACGACAACAACGACAACGATTGACTGATTTCGTGGAGTTGGTGAAGTCAATTGCAATTGGACCGCCACAGACGGCACCAACATCAAGAACGATTCTTGTCGATTTGTGTTCAAACTCACGGTCTGGCTCTCGGTCTTCATCGCGGTAGATCGGCGGCTCTTTTCCGGTGCGTCGTCTACTTCCATGGCGGCTTCATCTTCGGCGCCTGTCAGAACCAACCAATTCATGGACCAAACGTCAGTCCAAGAGTACGAAAGCGATTGAGAAAAACAGCAGACCATGAGGCCGATTTGTCGTCAACCGGCCACGCAAGTGGTCGCCTACACAAGTCGACCACGGCTGCATTCGTTCAAGACAAGCAGGAAGGTGGACCGTTACAGACGGGTACCACAGCAACAAACCTGATATAGACAAAACGCCGACCAAATAGCCAAGCCGCTCTGTTCGCCCACCCGCTTATACTACGAGCAGATTTTGTCAAATTGTCCGAACCGTGTGATTGAGCGAGGCAAGAACCACAACGAAACAAGCTCACCTTCCAGAGTCAAGGCCAGGTACGACCTGATAAGGCGGTCAACAAGTCTCCTAATGAGACGTGGAAGCGAGTGCGAAGGCCAGTAAGGGTAGGTGCAGAGCCTTGTCAGGGACTCTCCGTGCCGGCTATCTTGGTCAGGTAGGTGCTGCACGTAGCTGTCAGGGTACAGACAAGAAGAAGAAAAAATATCGCAACACCAGAGCAAGGGTGAGTCAAGTCGTCCCGCAAACCAACCAAGAACCAAAAGAGAAAGGCATGGTTGAGATGTAGGCCGTGAGAGGCTCTTGACGGCCGAAGGTCGGTTCAGCGTATGATTGTGGTCACACGGGCGAGGTTTTTTCTTTTCACCCCCTATCAAATGAATCTTAACCCCTTAAGATATCAAAGACGTGCGCATTTTTTGTCTCGGTGCACGCGTCTTGATTACAATATTACCCCCCCCCCCATACACACAAATACCTCACGGCGCTTCGCGCTTGGTGATGTGAGAGCCTGGTCCGGTGAGAACCCGGCGTGCTCCGTCCCGGCTTTGTAGGGATGCGAGGTCAATGGTCAAACGACTACGGCATGCACGACTTTGAGTACACCCCCCCCCCCCCCCCCCCATACACACACCCACACTCGACGAAGAGGGTAGATGGAATCAACGACGGGCCAACGTTTGTTCGACAAGCACAACTTGTGCGTCGACAGCGACAATATTCAGTTCGCCTCTCGGCTAGGCTATAAGCAACTGACCGAATCCTGTACTGGGCGGCAACAATGACGCAGACGGCGTGGTTTTCCCTAGTTCATTCTTCGATAGTTTTCTCACGGCTCGTACACACCTCTGAAGCAGTAGCCACAAGAACGCTGTGGCGTCGAACTTCTGGGCAAGGCCCGCAAGGACACCCGCGAGGGATTCCATAGCCGATAACTTCTCGAAAGCAGCGGTTGGAAGCAACAGAGGTGCCGCCGCCGACGAGTTTGAAGGATCCTTCTTCGAATAGAAACCCACTTGCGTCTGCGCCAAGAGAATGTCGCGGTACCAAGAATGCCAAGAGAAACCGCGTGTAAGAAACAAGAGGAATTTCTTGCGTGATACGCGGACGCCGGACCTGAGGTCCACCCTCGAACAAAAGAAATTGACACCAAACCACGGCAACAGGCCGGTACAAGGAACTGTGTGGACGAAAGTTCGTCAACCGAGAGCAACTCCCGACACGAAATCGCTGGTAAAAACGACCACGCGGAACATTCGCAACGAACAGGAACAGGTTGTAAGTCGATGGCAGAAAATAAGCTTGGAATCCACCTTTTGCCGCGCGTGTACATTGTAGCCACATCGTTGGGGCGCAAAAAGTCAAACACACTCTGACGGAGAAGAACCTGTGTACAATTACGATGCCTGAGGGCATGGCAGCAGCGTCATCTGCAACGCACAACTCATAACGGCAACATTTAACCAGCAGAACGTCACCTCAATGCTGCGAATCAATGATCCCCATCAAATCAAAGGTGCTACACACAAGCGGCCCGGGTGCATCGGAATCTAAGCAGTGAGATCATGCAACGGCCACTACAGCCGCAGTCATCTGACACGCATGAATATATTGTTGGAAAATTTCGTCATCAGCACCGAGCGGCTCACACCAAACACCACACACCAAACACCTATGCTCTTCACCACTGGCGTCCTTGAAATTCGCTCGCCGGAATGCCATCAACCAGAGCAACCAACAGCACGCGGAAACATAACCATAACCCACAAACCTTCACACACAACAGTAGCGGGGGGCAAATCGCTCTCCCAAACATGGACGAGACGAGAACAGACGTACCTGGGCGACAGCTAGGGCACACAGCAGGGATGGCTCTAGCCCCCCTTGGCAAGGCTTGCACACGAGGGCGGTAAGCGCTTGGCCGGTCACGTCCAGTGAAAGAGGGCCCTTGCCCGACAAAGCTGAGAGGATCATGTACGAAGCCATCTGGGAAGCAGTTGATTCGGGTTTGGTTGGTAAAAGTGAGCCAGAGTTTGTACCAAAAAGTGATGTTGCGACGCGGCACGGCAGGAGATCCGAAGGCAAAGGAATGGAAATGTGTGGCGGATAAGCTACGCCTAGCCTTCCGCATTGTACAAGAGACAACGCCCGGAGGGTGGGAGGGGGGCAACACACAACAACAAACGCCCCCCCACTTTAGGTCACGCAGTCGACCAAATTCACGATATCGCACAAACCACAGGTTACACACGACGCGCTCCCGTACTCAAGCTGTTAACAACACGTGAAAGAACAACAAATATATATTGCCTCGGCCGCGCCGCCACCACCCACCTGATACTCGGGGGACTTCGTGGCAGACAGCCCGTGCACGACAGTGGGCACCAACGCTCGGAGCAAAGGATCGGAGGTCGTGCCCAGGGACGCTAACGCCTCAACCACGGTCGCGGCGTAAAACGAGAAAAGCTTCGCCCTGCCGGCTGCCGTGGCCGCGCTGACAGACGACGTCGATGTCGATTGCGCCGTCGCCACAGAACAGGACGCGGCACGGGCTGCGGCACGGCGCGCCGATACGCAGAGGAAGCGGAGGAGGCCGAAATCTCGTGCACACCTCCGGGCGATCGCCTCCCGGGGGAGCGGAGATCCGGTCTTCTGGACAGGGGTCAGGAACTCCCATCTGTTCATTAAATTATTGCAAAACGCGGCGCGATTGCGTCATGGGGCACGATTGGGTCAGGAACTCCCATCCTTCATTGTATCATCATTTTATTTTATTTTGAAAATGCGGCGAGATTGCGTCATGAACTCCCATTTGTTCGTTGCGTCACCGCCATCGGGCCTGAATGAGGGAACGTTCGTCTCCGCGCTGCAAAGAGTGGACCACTCCTGGTGGTGTGTGGTGTAGTGCGGGAGAGTTAGCAGACCATGTTCAAATCCTGTACTTCCTTACTATGTTCCGCTGGTTTGAAAATGCTTTGGGTTGAGAGAGACACAACAGATACGAGAGATTGTCCACAGAGGGAATTGCGCCACTTCTGCTTCAACAAAGAGGAAAAACATACTGCGTGACACTGTCCTCTAGATTTGCTGCAACTCAAAACGGCGACCACAAGACCAGTCACAACAAGGACAGACTTAAATTGGCCGCCGAAAAAGTTGCTGCGACCAACATAGATAAATAGGATGTGTTGGTTGTTTTACCAGTGGAATCCAACAAGTTTCGTTCACATAAAATGCTTATATTTCCTTAATGTATTGACAGCTTATGTACCAGTGCAAAAGTTAAAGGTTGCTTAGATCCTGCATCTGGCAATTCTCGACAAGAGCAAGTAAATTATTTTTTCTGCCGGAAGGAAACGTCGGTTCCACAGACACCGACAGTGCAGCAGCCAGATGTCATCCTTCAGATTTGCTTATGATCGTATTTTCTCTGGGGGGCAAGAGGAGTCTCCGCAAGAAAAGACAGGGCCAAGCTGTTTAGAAAATTCGTGAGGAACCTCTACCGGCCATGGAGACGGAATGTTTTTAATGGAGAACTTGATCGTGATAACATGAGAAAACTTCTTCCTTTTGATCATGAACTTAAGCGAGGCATTGGCGTACGTTCTTGACTGCTGTTGCTGACAAAACTCGACAGTTACAAGATCGACCAACAACCTGGACCGTCACCTCAGCAACATTACTCCTCAGACCCTTTCTTGACTTAAGAGTCGAAAACGTGCCTGTGTTGGCGCCGTTCCAACAAAAGATGTAACCTCTTCACACCGTGTGCGTGCAGACGACGAATCTTGATTCTTTGCTCCCATCCAACACTTCGCCGTCACCTCTGCTACTTGCTACCTGCAGTTGCTTCTTTCGATGAGTTATCGGCAACGAAACCCCTATGCGGGTGTCGTCCCAAGGCTGGCAGAAGTGGCCTAAGCCCCTGCTGGTGCAGGACTCACGACAAACAACGCCCAACACGCAACACCAAGGACAGAAACCTCGCGGCAAGTAGACAGCATTCGTTCATCGCCGTTCGCTCACCTCGACCCCTTGAGGCTGAGCAGCTGAACCATCCGCGCGAAGGCCACGGTGTCGTGCCAAGGCAGGCAGCACTCCACCACGGCGTCGACGTTGTACTGGTAGACCTTGTAGTGCCGGATCAGGTACTCGAGGCAGAAGTGCGCCTCCCGGCAGGCGAAGTGAGGGGACAGCAGGGCCAGGAAGGCCGAGATGCTCTTGTCGATGCGGTCATTCGACTCCTTGGTCTGAAGGTCACGCAGGGTGCCCTCCGCTTCCTTGCTGAACAAAGTGTCCTGTGACATGATAGAGGGGGGTACAGGGAATAAACTCGTCATATGCTTCGGTTATCCTAAAACTGCGGACTGATCGGACATCAGATTGACAAGGAACAAAGACACGCCGGAGGGCGGGGGTGGTTGGAGAATCGATTTGTCATACAGGGTTGGCAATTCCTAACACTGTTGTTGACTGATCGAAAATCAGATCTTGAAGAAACCAAGACACACGCTTGACGGGGTGGTGGTTGAATCGGGAAAACATGAATTCGACGTTCCATGGTGGCAGAGAACTCAAACAAAAAACTTCATCTACTCTCGGTTTATCACTCTGCAGAGGACGTATCACGTCATCACATGATTACCGCTGTACGTGTACGCGCAGCCAGGAGCAAAACATAATGTGCGGGCTCTGATTGTCCGGGTCGTCGTGGAAAAAAAACAGACCAGGAATGCCCAGAAGCCCATCGCTGTCAGACGATTGATCTTGCGCTGCCATATGGAAGACTCGGTGGTGGGTGGGGATGATCCACACCGAGAGGCAAAGAGGAGCGCTGAAAAATACAACACCTTGCATTTTCGTGGTGTTTTTTTTTTCAACCACGGCGTGTGGGTCAAGCACGTACCGAAAGCTGTAGACTGGCGTCCCGTATATTTGTACATGGGACGGAAGACATAGTACAGAATGCCTCGCTAACGACTGCCGTAGAACAGTCCTCTGGAATCAGTTCAAAGTCGGCTCGCTACGATTGGGCCAAGACTTATTACGGGCCAGACAAGACAAGCATTGGACGAGGAGGCATTTATAGGGGAGAAAACGATTCTCTGGATTTGCCCTGCACAAAACCTTTCTTTAGTACGGAGCCACACTTTTCCACGAGAATAGTGTCGGCGAAGCAGTGTCATTGCTGCTGCTACATGCTATTGTAGCTGATTGACAAGTCGATTTGATGGCTCTCGACACTGCTGTGCACCACAAGAAGTGACTGCCATGAACAGGGATGGATGCGTCCAAGGGTAAGTGACTGCCATGAACAGGGATGGATACGTCCAAGGGTAAGTGACTGCCATGAACAGGGATGGATACGTCCAACGGTAAGTCACTGCCATGAACAGGGATGGATTCGTCCGAAGGTAAGTGACTGCCATAAACAGGCATGGATACGTCCGCAGGTCGAATAAAGGTCACTCACGCCCCAAGATTGGGGCGGGAGACGTTGCGCGAAGGCTACGTGCCACTGCTGCTGTTGCGTCGAGTTCCGCGCGCATTCCTCCCTCCGTCACGTCTTCAAGGAAACAGACCTCTTTTCGCGTGCGTGCATACACAGAAACGAATGAACACACCTACCTGGAAGGGGGAAAAGTCTTGGTCCACGGCCTCTAACCGCTGAAGCCCCATTACTGCAGTCTCCCTAACGGACGACAGGTCCACTTCGGCCGCCTGGCGCGATAGAGTTTTCAAACGTGAAGCGCGGAAAGAGGAGGACACAGCGGCTCCTGTTTGTACACATGGGCATGTCTGTCGGCTAATATTTTCCTGCGGAGATTATATTTCCTGGGGCTCGGTGAAACTCACACGGACAATAAGGCAGCAGCGGCATTTTTGTACATGCGCGCGTGAAAAAAGAACACGCCTTCTTGTGTTAGCCGGCCACCAGGTGTTGTAGGAAGGGAAAGCGGGGGGGGGGGATGGTATCTAAGAAAAGACACAGGTGGTGATGACTTCTGTCCGTCACCGCTCCCACAGGAAACAGGTTAGACACGTGGCTATATGTAGTCCAAGACGCGTTTACGGCACTTCTACCATCGTCTCACCTGATCAGGCGTGAGTAGCAGCGACGGCTTGCCCTTCTTCCTCTGGATGTACCCGGACGAGGTGCCGGAGGAGGCATGCCGCAAGGCGTCCACCTGCCTCCTGAGAGACGACGCCATGGTGAACGATGGCGATTCCTACGCGCCTGCTTACGCGGGATGCACAAACCAGGTCACGCCGTCAGTGCATGTCAATCAATAAGGGCAGCCGCTCTGTTGTTGACTCTCGTGGACGCAGGTTTGGTATCTCGCAGAGGGGCATATGTCAACAACATCGGGCGATGATGGCAGCAGCTTGATTTCGCATGGCACAGCAGTCGCGGCGGAGCACGGGGATGCCTGCCGTGTGAACCTACTGCTTATTTGTACTTCATGTAACAGCGGATTGAAGTACAACGTGTTGGTGAAAGCCAGAGTGAGAGGAGTGAGAGGTACTGGGGTGTACCTCAAGGAGTGGCCACTAGGGGAGACGAGAGCGAGACGAGTTCGTTGCTGTTGCCCACAGCCACCCACCCAAATTACACATGTTGGGAGATGGCTCTGCTGTTGTCAAATCGGTTTGTGTGGTGGACCCCCCGCACAAATTGCGAGCAATCCAGACAATCCTTTCGCATATCAAACCACGGACGCAGCAACAAGGAAGGTGTGAGCGACCTTTGCGTCTTGGACGCGCAGCAGCACCAGCGGGAGGCGAGGGCGCATGGGAGGAGCTCGGCAACCACAGCAAGGAACAAAGCTCAGCAACCACCCAACACAGGCTTCGGAAACGTCCTTAGCTGCAGAGCACAGGAGCGCCACAGAGGCATAGACTATTCTCTAATACATCACGCCACCTTCGTGTCTGCCTCACCTGGTGCCGGTGGAGGCGCCTATGCCTCGACCTCTGGGAGCAATCACAGAGGCGTGTGGGCGTGTGAGAGAGAGAGCTGTGGAGCCAGAAAAAAAAAATAGGGGGGATTATTGGGACAGATCCCCTCTTTTGCGACAGAGGCGTACAGACTCTAGGATGATCGAGCGGATCGAGACCCGAGGCGCGCGGTCACTGCCACACAGAGGGAAGGAAGCGTAATATCGTCGACGAGTTTTGCCACAACAAGCGAGTAAACATTCGAGCAGGGTGAAAACCTAAGGGACATACCGTTATAAAATCGCTGTCTACTGCTGTCTTGTGAAGTAAAAGCGTCACAGGGAGAGGTTGACGCCCCCACATCATCATCCACATGGCGCCTACACAACTCTTCCACTGCTGTATTTCATCATTCAGACCGGGTGCGAGGCGTGGGCGAAGGGCGCCACGCTTGCCCGCGAACTTTGGAACCGCGTCAAGAAAATGTCGAATAAAGTCAATATTTACTGAAATTGCCAAGTTGCTTGAGTGCGCCTGTACTGCACTTAATTGCATAAATATTATATTTGCCGTTGACTCAAGTTTGACTCATCATTTAGTCTTTTACGCAAACAAAGACAAATGCCTCTTTCTTTACCTTTCACCAGCAGAAGAAGAGCATTGATCGTCGGCGTCCTAGCGATGAGTTCTACTTCTAGTCCTTTTTCGCTATTAGCTCCTCGTTGTTACTTCGGTTGATTGTAGACGGTAGTCCAACCATCGACCGCAAGAAAATGACACCACAACGTCGCCTCCGAGGATTCAGTGCGGAAAAAGGAGGCCGTAGTCTCACCACTGCAAGGCTTGTTATCATGCAGTCTAGTAAAGGTTTCTGCGGCAAAAAGTATGGTGCTCGCGAAAACCTACCGCTCAACATTTTTCCAAAGAGACACAGCCGAAAGAGGCTGAATCATCATCATCGCCACACCAAGAGCGCCACGGACGCACACAAGAGAAAACCCCGACAAGTTTCATTGCCTGTAATATAAATGGGACACTTGATTTCTCCGGAAACATCTTCTTTCACTCATCTGTCCTTAAGAACTATGCTCGTGTCTGGTAAACAGTCAGGTTCCTTCCCCTGAACATGAATCGAACGTGTCGTCTGCTGTTATATTAAACAGACCGATCGCTGTCCGCCATCAACGCGTGGCATTGACACCTAGGCCGCGGCTCCAACAGCCAACAAATGATAACCTACCTCCGTGCTTAACGTACGAAGTCCTGCCGTCATAGTGCCCATGAGCTTACTGAGATACGTTCGGCACGTTCTGCATTGCCTGGGAAAAGCATCAGGGAAAACCTGCCGCATGGCACCAGCGACACCGAGGAAAAAATACCCAAAGTCAGAACAAACGTTTCGTGGGCAACAAGAAATACTTTGTTGCTTGTGCCACAACTCGAAACATCATGCTTCAAGTACACTCTAGCGAATGCAGTCGAACCTCGGTTGAGGACAAACCTGTTTTTTTGCTAAAAAAGTGTCCTCAAGCCGGGGAAGTGTCCTTAAGGTTGATACCCCTCCTTATGTCGTACATTCTCCGAGCCACCATGCTCGTGGACAAAAGTTGCCCTTAACTGGGGGATTTCCTTCATGTTGGTGTCCTTTAAGCGAAGCATAACTGCTTGTTCACCGTATGTATACCATTTCGCTACAAACCACTTAACGAAAACACCAATTACATGTAAAGAGTGTAGCGCGAATCCAGCGTCGTCATTCCCAACAGAAGATAAGAAACTCTGTAAGACGCACCCTCGTGGTAACTGCTGTATAGTCGTAGAGAGAGAAATATTCGACGCAGCGACAAGCGCCACACCCTCCTGGAAGCTTGGTTGACCACATTGAGGTCACAACATAGACCCAACACGCAACTCAGTGCCCCCGGTTCCGTCTCAAGCTTTCCTTTTTCGAATTGCTTCTGGTGCTGAAGAACATGCTATCTACTGTCGGCGACAAGGCCAGCGCTGATCGCAAAATGCACAACAAAATTGCGACAAGCATCACTGAGACTCGGTTTCATCCTCCTCCTCCTCCTCTTCATCATCATCATCGTCGTCATCGTCGTCGCTAGAGTCCTCCCCCCCGAAGGAGGTGACAGTCTTGCCGCCGAAGGACAGCTTGCTCTGCACCCCGGAGGAAGCGGGCAGGAACGGAGTGTACTTGCTCTTCATCAAGTCCAGAAGGGTTTTGCTCTGCGTGGATGGGAAGGGGGGGAATGAACGGGCGAATCGGAATCCATTTGGGGCAACAAGCTGAGATCAGAGGAGGTTTGGTGGGGCCGGGGTCGGGGTCGGGGGCGGGGACGGGGGCGAGGGGGGGCGAAAAGGCCGGGCCATATGACGTACTTCGTGTCGTATCACGAGTCGAGTCGAAACCAGTGTCATGAGCCAGGATAGCAGAGACACTGGGTGTGGGGGCTGAGTAGAGACGACCACACGACGATACAACCAAACGACAAACGAATCAATGCTTCGGCGGGGGGTCTGTCGGATGATGCTTTCTGCTACACGAAAAAAAACAACTCGTATGTACTTTCGTCGTTAAATTTTTATGAACCCGCTCAAGGACCCACATATATTCAGGAATGACTTGCAGAGAGGTAGAGTAAGTGGACGATGTGCACCCGCTTGATTCCGGGGCAGCCTCGGCCCACACTGATTTGAAACGCACAGTATCATCTCGAAATCCCACACGATGCGTATCGTAGATAACCACGAACTTCCCCAAGGATTTGGTTGGTCCCTCCACGTTCGTCTAGGAACGGCTAAAAGGGTCGTGCCATGTATGTAGCTCTTCTCCCCCAAAATCTGTTTCCTCGCCTACAACGGATTTGGGAGACGCAAAGGGGAGCTTTTGTAAGCCGAAATCTAGAATCGTGCAAACATTTTCATCCAATACACTACATAGAGAGGTGTGAGTGCGATCTTAGCTAAATTGTGATTTGGGGAAGTTTTTTTTTCTTTCTCCCTTCGGGTCCTTTTTTTTTTCGTATACCTTTTTTGGGTAAGCTAGCCTGTGACCACGGGAATCGACCCCGTCAAGTGTAAGACTAGTACGGACAGAAGAAGGTACTAGGCAGAGAAAACGAAACGGTTATTAACGTGAAGACAACAACAACAACAACAACAACAACAACCCAGCCCGCCGGCGGAGGGCAGAAGAAACACAAATAATAGAACATTGAGTCGATTTTCGAGGTTGCTTGGGAAACGCTGTTGTACACAATTAGTAATTAGTTTTAATTATGGTTTTTTGTTTGGATTTTGGGAAGACAAGCCAGGGTGCATGCCCCCCCCCCGCCGTTTGCGACCGACCGACCGACCGACCGACCGACCGACCGACCGACCGCGCGGCGGCTATCGCCCCGTGCCCGCTCACCATCTGGACGCTGTTCTGCATGACGCTGGTGAGCTCCCTGTTGATGGCCTCCAACAATCTGACCATCTTCTTGCACTCATCCCCGTCAGGCTTGGCGGTCCGAGACACCGCCATCGATCCCGCCGCCATCTCGTTGGCGAGGGCCACGACAACGTACTGCCGCTTGTAGCCCTCCTGGGTCTCCGACTTGAGAGAGGGAGGGACGGACGGGGGGGGGTTCACGCGATTAGCGTTCACGCGTTTGATTTTTCCACTTCTTGGAGGAAGCGTGTGCGCGCGCGTGTTCTTTTTCGTTGCTTCGATAACCGCTGCACTGCTAAACACGCCTCTCGTCTCTCTTCCCGAGGACGGGGCACTGACACTACACTACTGCTCTAAATAGAGACACCGCAGACACTCGGGCGCTAATTTTCTCTTTTATGTGTTTTTTCCATTGTTCACACGATAAGTTCTTGCTCGTCCCCCCACCCGTTCCTTACTACGGGCTTTGTGTCCACCACTTACCTCCAAGAACAGCGATCGATTTTTCACCGTGGCGTGTCTGCTGAACCAACGGATAGGGGGTTGGTCCGCAGTGTGCCTGCTTGGTTCGTCGCGTATGTTTATGCACTGCTCACGGGCGAAGCAACCGCTGACGGCACCAAGGCCACCTTAAAACATCCACATAGTTCCCCCCACTTATTTGAAGCTAGTGTCAGGGATACCAAAATAAACAGCTTTTTTAACTACAGGCATGGCGCTCAACGTGGTGGGTGTCTACAACAGCACAACGTGCGCGCTTGCGGATAATCAGAAAAGCAATTGAGTTCGCACAGGGTACAGTACTTCATAGGCTTTCCGTACGCGTTGTCCAGGTCAACTTCAAAATTCAGCAGCTTAATCAGCTCTTAGTCTGTGCCATTTTCGCCACCTACTCTCTGCAAACAATTGCACACAACTCCACCTACAACAACAACAGTCCCGACAGAAGGCACAAGCACCAACGGCGGCAACGACGGACCAAGCACCGACAACAGGAAGAACAACACCCGGCACCAAACACCAAGACAACCAATCACCTCAAGCACGTCGTCCTCGTTTTCCAGCAGCACGTCCAGCGCCTTGAGGGCACGCCCGAGCCCTTGCGGCGATTCCTCCGCGTCCGCGTACGACGTGTCCTTCAGGAACCGCTCCTTCAGCAGCCGGTGACAGACCTCGTGGCTTAGCGATGGCACCACAGCCGCCGAAGTCGCAGCTGCCGCAGCAACGGTGATGTCGGCCGCTACTGTGGCGTTGTTATTGTTTCCCCCCTCCCCACCCCCGACGACAACGCCGTGGCCGCTCGAACCGTGAGACGGAGAGGAGGAGGAGGAGGACCGCTTGAACGGAACGTTCCTCGCGAGGAGCGGCCACGTGAAAGTCGTCACCCGAGATTCTAGCCCACGCGCTGAACACGAAACGAGACAAGGCCGTTAAGGAAACGCCACACGACGAGAGAGACAAGGCCGTACGCGGAACAACAAAAAAAAACGAACAAAACACAGGGCAGGCAGATAAGAGTGGCAGCGGTGGTGATGTTGACGGTGTGGATGGAGAGGTGGATGGAAAGGGAGGTGGCTTGTTCGTCGTTGGCCAGGACAAAAAAACGAGGGTAACGAAGATGAATAGCAGGCGGTAGGTAGATCGGTGACTGTAGTCGGACGCCAGCAGGTGAAGCGGGTGCCGAATTGAGGGCTTAAAGCCTTCGAGCCTAGAGCGAGCTTGGTCTTGTCTTTTGTCAACCAGAGCTACTGCTATGCATACGTCACTTGTGTAGATATGTCGACCTGGAGGTGTTGCCACATCCACGCCAGGACAACCTTCCAAAACACGAAGCAACCTAGACGGGGATCGAAGCTCTACACGACCACCTTGCAAGCGATCTTTACAGGCGTAAGGTCCAATCCCTGACACTTCAACACAAAAAAAACATGATGTCCTACTCACCTTTCTCCGTTGTTCCTGCCGATATACAACCACAGGTAATTAACAGCACCATTTTTCACACAAACAAGTCAGCGGGAAAAGCGCATACAAGAACTCGGTCGACAAATTCGCTCACCGGAGGGGTCGCATAAACCGGCCACCAGCGAGGAGAAGGCGTCTCCGTACTCTCGAGCCGGCATGGCATCCACCACGGCCACCAGGGCTCGACACGTCTCGGTCTCGCAGGACCCGTTCTGTTCGTACAAACAGCAGCATCAATCGCGACGCTTTCCATTTCTCACTACTGTCTTGTAGAAGTATTTCTTACGTTGTTTCGAAAAAAAAAAACTCGTTACGCGTAACGCGTTACTTTAATTTTTATTTGGCCTACAAAGTGGCATGTTTGTCGTCAATTGTCGTCTCAACACCACCACCTCAGCACAACCGAACTCGAACAACATGGACCCGATGTGCGTTATTCTGCTGTGTCCGAGAGGGGCTGTTCAGAAACGAGCTACTCTTTGACTTAGACCACAATAGCACGGTATGGTATGTTGCAGAGCGTCTCGAGTTTGGTTGTATGAATCGCCCAACAAAGTGGGGACATCACCGCTCGTCTGATCCAGCCATGGCCTAAGAAACGCCAAGTACACGTGATGCATACACGCAGCCTACTGTTGCCAATCGCACCACCTCTTCGAGCGGAGCGTTACATGAAAGCACCGCATGGTGCGTGGTGAGCGAGTGGTTGAGTGAGGGAGCGTGCCGTGGTGGTATTATAGTGCATGGAATCGTGACATGCGATGCTGAGGCGAGACAAAATAGCAGAGAGATGACATGGCCAACGTGCAAAATCTGCTGTGTCAAACTAAATTCTGCTGTGGCGTCTGTCAACGCACTCGCGATCCGGACTTGTGTTGGTTCGTCTCGACCCGAATCGACTCACCACCTCCTCGTCTAGCGATGCGGCAGCGAGGTCCAGCATTAGTTCTCGGAGATCGGCAAGGCCCATATCGTGGGCACTTCGTTCGACCATCGCATGCGGTACAGAGAACCAAGGACAAGCACGCCGCACAGACACACACGGCGGCACACACGAGGGGAAAACGCCATCATCACGCGGGGAGGGGGGGACAACATGCCCAGGGGTACCGTGCGGTAGGGCAACAAAGAGCTATATCGGTTGGAGTGCCCTAGGAGGGGATAGACAAGGGAGCATGAGAATTTGACCTACTGCCCAACTTGACACTTAACGTGGCGGCAGCAGTAAAACGCCTTTCGCCCCGCAAACACCAACACTCCCCGGTGTGTGTGCGTCTTGAGCAACATCGAAACAAAAACCGCGGAAGAACGCTTGCCATGAAAGTGAATAGGGGCCCGATCGTACCCTCGGAGAATCAGGCGCTCTTCTCGTCGATTCCGTTTCGGTAATCCACTTGCCTTAGAATCAGAACTCAAAGTTACCGTGCGAAGCACATTCGACGAAACCTGCGCCAGTTGAATGACGGCACAGGGTATGTTTTCTCCGTTCAATTCCCCGGCCAGAATTGCCGGAGAGAACTATCCCACCGAAAACGTTCCGAACAAATCAAGCCTCAGCGGTGGAACCAGTCAGGCTGCTTTCCGCTGGCTCTCTCTCGATTGATTGACCCCGCATCACCATTTTCTCAATGGCAGAGACCACCCCTATAGCCTCTTTTTTGTTGTTTTATTGCGTGATAGCAGTCGAATAAACAACAAACCTACGCCACAGATGTCGACAACATTCCCTTGAGAAGGACTCGCTTCGGAAAAACGGCCGATACGACTGTAGAAACTCCCGCCTTGCGTGCAGGTTGCTCTCACACACTCCTTAAGCCATATCAAGACGTAACTACAAGCGCCCACTGCAACCGCTCACCCTCTTCGCAAGCACGCCACCACGACGTTCAACGCCGGCCCCAGGTTTCTCCTCAAGCACACGTTGTCCTCCTCCTCCTCCCCCTCCTCCTCTTCTTCCTCTCCTTCATCAACCATACCATCACCGCTGCCGCTAGCGGCGGGTAGCCACACCGCACCGCAAGCGCGCCAGACATCGAGGATGTCCTGGTAGCGGAGCCTCCATCCCTGTGGGGAAGAGGGGCACGTGCAGCAGGCGAAGGAGGTGGAGTAGATCACGAAAACGAAGCGCTGCTGTCAGACTATCTGCTCTTGCCCTTGAAAGCACCACTCGACACAACACTGGCACACACGTGCACTGCTCCATGTCCTCCCCCCCCC